GGCTCCTGCACCTGCATGGGAGACCCAGAAGACTCTCCTGGCTGCTGGCTTCAGATCGGCACAGCTCCAGCCATTGTGGCCAATTGGGGAGTGAACCCTCCCCCTCTCCTTCTCTCTCTGTGTAACTCTTTCAAATAAATAAATCTTAAAAAAAAAAAAAAAAAAAAAAAAAAAAAGTATAACGAGCCCACACATAAAGACAACTACTAATGATCTTATTCACAGGCAGAATCTTAAAATGTTTATCCCAGGGGCGGGCACTGTGGCACAGGAGGTTAAGCTGCTGCTTGTGATGTTCTCATCCCACGTTGGCTACTTAGCTTCCTGCTAAGGCACCCAAAAAGACAGCAGGTCAGAGCCCAAGTACTTGGGTCTCCGAAACCCATGTGGAAGACCAGGATGAAGTTCCTGGCTCCTGGCTTCAGCCTGGCCTACCCCTGGTAATTGGGAAGTGAACCAGTGGATGAAGATCTCTGTCACAAATACATTAGTAAATCTAAAAAAAAAAAAATTTAAAGATGATCTCATAGAAGTAGAGTAGAATGTTGTTAGTAGGGGCTGGGTTGGTTAGGAGGTAGAAGATTGGGGAGAATTTCATCAATGAACACACAATTTCAGTTAGACAGGAAAAATAAGTCCAGGGATGTATTGTACAATATGTTAACTACAGTTAATAATATTTTGTGTTCTTGAAAAGTGCTGAGTGGGCATAAAGTGTTATTGCAAAAATGGTAATAATATGAGATTAATACAGATGTTTATTAGCTAGATTTAGTTATTCCACAACAGATACCCTTCAAAACATCATGATATACAATAATACGCTGAATTTTTTGGTCAAAAATTTTTTTAAAGATTTATTTTATTTATTTGAAAGAGTTACAGAGAGAGGTAGAGACATTGAGAAAGGTCTTCCATCTGCTGGTTCACTCCCCAGATGGCCGCAATGGCCGGAGCTGTGCCGATCCGAAGCCAGGAGCCAGGAGCTTCTTCTTAGTCTCCCACTCAGGTGCAGGGGCCCAAGGACTTGGGTCATCTTCTACTGCTTCCCAGGCCATAGCAGAGAGCTGGATTGGAAGAGCAGCACCCAGGACTTGAACCAGTGCCCATATGGGACGCTGGTACTGCAGGCTGAGGCTTAACCTACTGCGCTACAGCGCTGGCCTCAAAATAAAAGTTTTAAAATACTAACCTCAGTATTAAGGAGATGAGTATTACAGAACCAGAAAATATCTTTTATAGTAACTCAGTCGGGAGAAATAAGTGACTAATGATGCCCCATAGTAACAAGGCTGCAGGAAAATGAATACTAGTTTGGTTCACATTTATAACTAGCTGAAGCAGCAATTAAACCCTGTATTTTTTTTATAATTTTTTTTTTGATAGGCAGAGTTAGACAGTGAGAGAGACAAAGAAAGATCTTCCTTCTGTTGGTTCACCCCCCAAATGACCACTATAGCCGGCGTGCTACGCCGATCCGAAGCCAGGAGCCAGGTGCTTCCTCCTGGTCTCCCATGCGGGTGCAGGGCCCAAGCACTTGGGCCATCCTCCACTGCCTTCCCAGACCACAGCAGAGAGCTGGACCGGAAGAGGAGCAATCGGGACAGAATCCAGCACCCCAACTGGGACTAGAACCTGGGGTACCGGCGCTGCAGGCGGAGGATTAGCCTAGTGAGCTGTGGTGCCGGCCCTAAACCCTGTATATAAATCCTATGAATCAAATTTATTCCACTCTTGAGTCAAAAGAACTATTTGAACATATACGTAAAGATGTATGCAAAACTATACTAATATAGTTTATAATGGATAAAAGCTGAAAATTGGAAAAATGGTTTTAATCAACTGTTGTGTATCCATAACCACTAATAATCATGCAACTACTAAAAGTGATGGTACTGCCCTAATTTTGGTAGAAGTGATGCCAGTGTGTTAAAAATTTTTAAATTACAACTTTGTGAAACTATTTTGATGGAAAAAAAATACATATGTCTAGAAGGATCAGTAAAATGTCTACAATGACAGCCAGTGACAATTTCAACTACAGTGAACAAGAGGATGAACCTCAAGTACCCAAATACTCCAAATAAGGAAAAGACTTCCCCAGTACATGCTTTTCTTCCAGTCTTCCCTTTCACAGAGAAACTTAAAGTACTACAAAAATTGATGCTGTTTCTCTTCATTGGCTTCTCTTTTTTACTTGTTTCCCATTCACAAACCAACTATATGATTTAATCTGTAAATAACATCACAAAAATAAAAACTGTAATACATAATCTCATTGGATGAAATCCGTCTCCTCCACAAAGACCCAATAGCATCAGTCTACTCTGGACATAAGTGGATAGTGCTCACAGCCATCAGATTAGTATCCCTGCCCATCACCATCATGAACTCTGTTCATGAGGATTTAAAAAAATAAAATAAAACATAATGATGAGATGTTATGCCCCTATAATTACTAATACAAACTTTGCTGTCAGACTTCCAGGCCCAAAGTCCCAGCTAATGGCTATTAACTGTGTGAACTTACACATATTACTTTTCACTTAGTTCCTTCTCAAAAAAAAAAATGGTGATAATTATAGCTTCTACCTCAACAGGTTGTTATAAGAAATAAATATGACACTACATATAAAGCACTTAAAGTAGCTTGTAATTAAAGTAAACTGTATCCCTGAAAACAGACTACTATAGACCTTGCTCATAATTAAAGAAAATATTCTTCTGCATTTTTTTCTTTTTTTTAAAACGGGCTTCTCAGCTCTTCTTTCTTAGAATGCTACCTATTTAAATAAATTTAATAAATTATTTGCAATTTAATCTTGATTATCAACAACTTACAAAAGGAGGGTATGTGAAAGGCTACAGCCAATGTGGCAAAATACTTAAAATTTTTTGATGTGCGTGATGAGGGAAAACAGAATCACAACAGTAACAAATCTAATGAGCACTCATTATGAAGCAAGCATTATTCAAGGGTTTTACATAAATTATCTACCCCGAGCAATCCCACACGGTACATTTGATTATTAACCTCATTTTACAGATGACAGAACCGAGACGTAAAGAGACGAAATAAAGTGCTCCAAGCTCACACGACTCTAAGAGGCAGATTTAGAACTTCGAACAATTTAGCCCCATAACCAAACCATTGTCACTACACAGCCTTCCTTAAGTATGGTCTGAAACAAACTCAGGCTTTCAAACACTGCAAACCACCTGTCACATTTCTACTATCCTGCTTCCTAATAATCCCCTCCCTGCCACTAAAACCCCATCACATTGTAACTACTTAAAAGCCAGGGAAGCAGAAGACCTTGTCACCAATCAAACCATTTTTCATCTTTCCCTGCTTTTGAGTTCTGAGCAGCAGAAAGGCACCTAGCCTGTGATTCCGTCTGAACCGTCATAGCCTCAAACAACTCACAGCCTAAAATAAAACTGTGCAATTAAATCCTGCAGCAGGAACTTGGCCTGCAAATTACCCAAATTATTACAAAGAGGCAGTTCCAGGACAGCGCTGGGTCCCAGCAGGTTAAGTCACCATCTGGGTGCCAGCTGGAGTCTGGCTGCTCCACTTTCGGTGCAGCTCCCTGCTAATGTGCCTGAGAAAGCATCAGAGGCATGGCTTAAGTGCTTGGACCCCTGCTTCCACAAGACCTGAAGAAGCTCCTGGCTTCAGCCTGGCCCAGCCCCAGCTGTTGGAGCCATTTGGGAGAGTGAACCAACAGATGGAAGGTATCTCTCTCTAATTCTGACTTACAAAGATGGAAGGAAGGGAGGGAGGGGCAGTTCCCAGGAGAAGCAAAATGACTGCCAAATGTTCATGTAAATGACCACGATGCGGCTGGGTGGAATCTACCCTCACCACTCACCGTGAAGCAAGGCCAACGCTCAGGTCAATTTAGAGGGTAATTCAGGTGTCAAGGCCTAGCCAAAGACTAATGGAACAAACCTGTACAGCTTCACAAACTCGTATTTACCGCCTCCCAGAGAGCGTCAGCAAATTCCAGAGGGAGGAGCGAAAATTTCTTTCTAAAGGATTGCGCTCCAGGTGAGAATCTGAAGCAACCCTGAGAACAGCAGGGATCTGCAATGGCTGCTGTTTCTAGAGGGGGACTGGGGGAAGCAGGGACCGACTGGAGCTGGAGTGCCACCACGAGGGTGGCTTAGAAATCGCTATCAGAAATAAAAACAGCAAAGCGAATCTGTAACATCACTGGTTAGAAAACCTCAACACACAGAGGGTGTCAAGCATTTTACAACTGCTGCGAACTTGCTAACAAATTATGTTTTCCCTTAATGCTGCTCTCCTCCTCCCAGCCCGATCCATCCAGGGCTGCTGCTTCCCTTCCGACTGAGCTCATTGTTAACTCTTTCACAGAAGCCAATGTCCCCATGGCCGACAAACATAAAAATGCATTTCATGGAACCGAGGAAACACAGGCTAACCCTGACCCTAGCTTCTACATCCGTAACAGCAATCGCTTCCCCCCTTCCCTCCACCTTCCGAAAGGGCAACGGGATGCACAGAGGCCAGAATCCGTTCGTGGAGCCCGGCACGGATGGCTCGGGAAACACCCCCTGTCCCCCGCCTGCTCCACCAGCGGCCACACACAGGACCCGCGGGAACCAAGAGGACGCTGAGGAAAAGCTTGACCCTTCCCCGGGTCGGAAGGGCCACCGACAACGAAGGCCGCCCTGGACTCTGCCGCCGCCCCGGGAGGGAGCTCGGGCAACGCCGTGGTCCCGAGAGCCGCAGCTGTTCTCAGCGCTGCGTCTTTTTGTCTGGGGGCCCTCTCGCTCGAGGATTCACACATCAAACTCGGAGCCATTCTGGGCCACTGGACAGGGCAGGAAGGGTACAGGACGCAGCAGGGCGGCGAGCGCCTAGACAGCGTCACAAACCCCGCAGTCATTGTAACCCGACTCACACAGAGGTCCGCGCCGCCCCCGCGCCGCCCCGGCGCCCATTTCCTCAGTGCACGCTACCAACTCACCTCTCGGAGCCCACAGCAACAACGGAGCCGGAAGGAAACTCCGCGCGGAGGCCTCTGGGAAATGTAGTCCACGGCCGGGAAGGGCTAGTTCCCGCCCCAGCCGGCACACAGAGTGCGCAGGCGCAAAGCCGGGGGCTGTGCCGGCGGGAGCGTGGGCTTGGCGGGGAGGGGCTTATGTGGTTAATACTATCATTGGATGTCCGGTTTTCTTACTGACTGAAAAATCTAGAAAATTTTTAAAAAATCAGTTCTGTTAATTACTGTGAGATGTCTATTTTCCTTTTGGTTCCATCAGGTCTTGCTCAAGTGATTTCAAGATCTGCTAAGCATCTAACACTTGTTGTGTCGTGCTGATGAGGAGGGTTGGAAAGTGAACCATTACAAAGAGTTTCTTGAGAGGTGCTACTGAATTTGTCCTGTTCTGGACTCCTGGGCAGAAATGCAAGAAGCCAGTTTCAGGGTGCACACCTCAGAATCCTCCCCATTCCAAATTCTTTTATATATTAGTGAAGAGATGGAAGAATTTGTTCTTTTCCTGAAACATTGGAAGATAATTGAAAATGTGTAGGCAAATCTTGCTAAGTCTTATTTTGTAAATAATGGAATATATATATAAATCAGGAAATAAGTGATAATATCCAAACCATCTTGTAACTATTATCTGGGTCAAACTATTTTTAAATTCAAAAGTCGTATTTGTTACTTCTGATTAAATTTACATGGCGGGGCAGGCATTTGGCTGCACTCCTGATCTCAGCTTTGTGTTGATACACACGCCGGGAGGCAATGGTGATAGTTCTGTAGAGGGCAAGCAAACCCCCGCCACTCACCCTGAAAGTGGCTGCTCCCAATTACCTGGTTAAGCAGCTGTGCGTGGTTATCTTGTCTAGGGAGGAAAGATGTCCTAAGCTCTGCTTCTGTGACTCCGGTCATAAATCCGCCCCAGGTATCTTTCATAAACTTACCAGATCCACTACCATTGGAAGTGTGGTCCTAAGTCACACAGGCTGTATTTTAAACCCACCAGTGCTGTAACAGCTAAGGTATGATGCTGATGAACCTAGAAATGTTGCAGGAAACTTGGGATTGTTGCTCAGTTCTCAGGAAATGATTCAGCTGAGCCCACTGGCCTTAATAAACCACTTTGGATCCTCCACTGTCTCTGATGTCTGTATGAACCAAGGGAGTTCCCACCCCAAGTTTCTGTAACAGCTCAAGTGGTTGGTCCCTTGCTTCCTGCTGAGGTTGAGTTGTTCTGAGAGGAGCGGGGCGGTGGAGGCAAGAGACACGGAGTCACCACACAGACACAGGAAGTGGGGTGATAGTGGGCCAGAGGCGAGCAGCCTGCATACTCGCTTATTTCAGTTGGTACAGCAGCTTAAATAGCCAAGGCAACCAATCTGGTTAAGGGGCAGTTTATGCCCTAACCAATCACAGCCTGTTGCCAGGCCAGCTCCATTGCCAGGTGGTTTCCAAAGCCATCAAATCACAGCCTGTTGCCAGGCAGGCTCCATTGCCAGGTGGGTTTCGAAGCCATTCCTGAGTAACTGATGCTGGCTTGCCAACGGCCATCTTGGCATGGCCTTGTCATTCCACCACAGCTTCCCATGTGGGACACCTGAAATGAGTTCCTAGGTACTGGTTTCCGTGTGGCCCAGCCCCAGCTATTGTGGGCATTTGAAAAGTAAACCAGTGGGTGGAAGATCTCTGTCTCCCCTGACCCCTCTATGCCTTCAAATAAAATAAACTTTAAATGTAAGGATCCAGTGCTGTGGCATAGTAGGCAAAGCTGCTGCTTGCAATGCCAGTATCCCATATAGGCATCAGTTCAAGACCCAGCTGCTCCACTTATGATCCAGCTCTGCTGTGTTGTGGCCTGGAAAAGCAGTGGAAGATGGCCCAAGTCCTTGGACCCATGCACCCATGTTGGAGATCTGGAAGAAGCTCCTGGTTCCTGGCAACAGATCGGCCCAGCTCTAGCCATTGCAGCCATTTGGGGAATGAACCAGCAAATGGAAGACCTCTCTCTCTCTCTCTCTGCTTCTGCCTCTCTGAAATTATGCCTTTCATATAAAGAAATCTTTTAAAAAATCATTAAACTTAAAATGTCAATTTCACTCATATTATTACATTTTTGGTATTCTATTAGTTACTACAGATCAGGGAAAACATGGTCTTTATCTTTATGGGACCGGCTTATTTCACTAAATATAATGGTTTGCAGTTGCATCCATTTTGTTGCAAAAGACAGTATTTCATTTTTATGGCTGAGTAGTATTCCATAGTGTATATATACCATAATTTCTTTATCCAGTCATTAGTTGATGGATATCTGGGTTCATTCCATATCTTAGCTATTGTGAATTGATGTGCAATACATATGGGGGTAAAGATAACTCTTTCATATGTTGATTTTTATTTCCCTTGAAAGGAGTAGGATTACTGGGCCATATGATAGACCTATTTTCAGTTTTCTGAGGTATCTCCATACTGTCTTCCACAATGCCTATACTAGTTTACATTCCCATCAACAGTGGAATAGGGTACCTTTTCCCCCACATCCTCACCAGCATTTATTGTTTACTGACTTCTGTATGAGAGCCATTCTGAGGTGTGGTGAAACTTCATTGGGATTTTAATTTGCATTTCCTTAATGGCTAATGATCCTGAAAATACTATTTCACTGGTTGAAGGGATTGAAAACCAATGCCACAATGATGCTCTCCACTCATATGACAATATCTTATGAGGCTGAAATTGAGTATGAAATTTGAATGAGAATGGGAGTTCTAAAGTGAAATCTGAACTACATTGGGTTAGATAAAATGAAACATTTTCTTTTTTAGTATTTTGATAAGAACTTAATGTGATTTCCCCCTAACAAATATAGTATACAGAGCTCCCATGCTTGTTTGACAGAATCATTTTCTTCATGTACCATGAAGTACAAATGTTCTGTAGAACACACTTTGAGAAATGGCCAGTTATGTGACAGACCCTGTAGCTGGGATCTGTCAGAGTGGAGAAGAGGAATACTGGTTCTTCAATCCAGATTTCCTAAATACATTAAGCTTTATGTTTTCTACCACATAGAATTTTGATGAGTTCCCATGAATTTTTACTTGTGGGCAGTACATTATCATTTATCAGTAAGTAGTCAAAGTTTCAGATTTTATTTTCTACCTTAAAAATGTATTGTGAGGGGCTGGTGCTGTGGCATAATGGGTAAAGCCACCGCCTGCAGTGCCAGCATCCCATATGGGTGCCGGTTAGAGTCCTGGCCTCTCCACTTCCAGTTCCAGCTCTCTGCTGTGGCCTGGAAGGGCAGTAGAGGATGGACTAAGTCCTTGGGCTGCTGCACCCACGTCGGAGACCCAGAGGAAGCTCCTGGCTCTTGGCTTTGGATCGGTGCAGCTCTGACCATTGCAGCTGATTGGGGAATGAACCAGCGGATGGAAGACCTCTCTCTCCCTCTCTCTGCCTCTCCTTCTCTGTGTAGCCCTTTCAAGTAAACAAATAAATATTAAAAAAAAAAGAAATGTATTACGAAATATTCAAGTATGTGAAAAAGGTAAGAATAGCATAAGAAACCAGATTCAACACTTAGCAACATTTTGCCAATTTTGTTTCCTCTGTTCCTTTTACCTTTTCTTTTAAGTATAGTCATGTGCTGCTTAATGACAAGGATACATTGTAAGAATTGCCTCCTTGGGTGATTTTGTCAGTGTAGGTAAATTAATTGACTATAGTGTCACTAGTCAGTATGTTATGGGACCCTACTGTGTATGCAGTCCATCATTAATGGAAACATCATCTGGTGCATGATTATATTGTAAAGTAAATCATAGACATGACATAATGTCACCCTTCAATACTTCAGTATAGACCTCTAATACAGAGACTTATACATACATACATTGATCATGTCATCATCAAGCATAACAAAATGAGTAATTAATTGCTTAACATCATTTGATACCCAAGCCATGTTTACATTTCTACAATATCTAAAAGAATTTGTCCAAATCATTATTGTATTGACTATATTTTCTATAATTTTTTTAATATTTATTTTATTTGAAAGGCAGAGTTGCAGAGAGAGAGAGGGAGAGACAGAAAGAGAAGTCCTCTATCCACTGGTTCACTCCCCAAATGGCCGCAACGGCCGGGTCTGGACCAGCCCGAAGCCAGGACCCAAGAGCCTCTTCCAGGTCTCTCACATGGGTGCAGGGGCCCAAGCACTTGGCCATCTTGCACTGTTTTCCCAGGTGCATCAGCAGGAAGCTAGATCAGAAGTGGAGCAGCCAGGACTTGAACCTGTGCCCATATAGGATGCCAGCACTGAGGCAGAAGCTTAACCCTCTATGCCACAGCTCTGACCCCTCTATATTCTTGATACCCTGACATTTGGGGACTTGATCCTGAAGAGGTTTCCCTTCCTGGGGCTAACTAATGCCTGGATAGCAAATAACTCCCCTTTGAGCATGCCTTTGATATACAAACCAATTAATCCACAGCCCCTGTCATGAACCATCTGCAATATCAGACTTCCAAACCAAGTCAACATTCTTGCAGTCCTAAATCATCCTTGGGCAAGGTACTGGACAACTAGGAATCACTTGTATAGTCCAGAGTTTGTCAAAATTATTCAAAATATCCAACTGTTAAATTATTCTATGTGTACATCCTGCCTTTTCCATCTCATCCCCAGATGTTTTGCCCTCTTCCCTTTTGCCTCTTTATAGGTTGGTGTATTTCCATACGTGACCAGGAATGGCATGCACTGCCCCATTTCTAGGCGTCTGAGCACTTCTTCATCGGTAGCTTTGGGATCCGCATGGAAGGAAGGCCTATACTTCTGGGAATGGAGAAGTCCCTACCTGTACTTCTTGGGAAGAAAATTCCTTGTCAAGGTCCCCTAAGGTGCCTAAAGGTCAACCAATGAGGATCAGACCCGCCTCTACCTTTAACCCCCAGGCCCTTTATCTATAAAAGGAGCCCTCCCAATCTCTGACGCACGACTTCCCCAGTCCCCGCTCTGCTGCTCTGTTGGGACTGGGGAACCTCACCTGGGAGCAGAACCCCAATAAAAGCCTGCGAATTAATTGATTAGTCTGCCTGGGAAGATTTGTTACATGCTGGACACCTTGCATTCATGACAAACCACTTCCATGTCAGCCTGACCGTGGCTGATTAAAACAAGCCCAATTATATTTTTAACACAAGGATTTCAATACACTCTGATTTATCTTTCAAGTCTCCTTTAATTTGAAGGGTTTTCTCTTTTTAACAATAGTATCAGTTAAATTTTAGATTTAGTTGTTTGTGTCCTGGATTTGTTCCTTTATTCCTGAAGTTTCCTCTATACTGGTAATTAGAACTAAACTGTAATTATGGATCAATTCTTTGGGCAAGAATACTCCATAGGTGGTGTCCAGAACATCCAATGCATCACATGAAGAAGGGCATAGTGGGATCAGTGTTGTGGAGTAACGGGTTAAGCCATCACCTTCAACACCAGTATCCTATATGGACACAGTTCGAGTCCCAGTGGCTCAACTTCAGATCCAGCTTCCTGGTACTGTGCCTGGGAAACAGCAGATGGTGGCCCAAGTACTTGTGGCACCCATGTGAGAGACCCAAATGAAGCTCCCGGCTTTGGCCTGGCCCAGCCCTGGCTGTTGTGACCATTTAAGAAGTGAACCAGCAGATGGAAGATGTTTCTCTCTCGCGCTCTTTCTCTCACTCTGCTTTTCAAATAAATCTTTTTCTTCAAAAGTGCATAGTTTGGCCAATTTAGTTCAGATATATTATATAGCTCAGTTCTGCTCCATCCATTGTAACTTCCTATCAATTTTTCACTTTGTGGTTTTGACATCCATTTATATCACCACCTAGATCCATTATTTCATATTTTTGAAATAAGCAAAAATTTCATTCTGTTATTTAACTTTTACTGGCAAGAATTTTCCAATAATGAAATTTTCTTTACCAATATTTCATTCTTTTTAGTTATGAGTCCGGTGCTGTGGCATAGCAGGTAAAGCCACCGCCTGCAGTGCTGGCATCACACATGGGCACTGGTTTGAGTCCTAGCTGCTACATTTCCAATCCAGCTCTCTGCTATGGTCTGGGAAAGCAGTAGAAAATGGCCCAAGACCTTGGGCCCCTGCACCCATGTTGGAGACCTGGGAGAAGCTCCTGGCTCCTAGCTACAGATTGGCTCAGCTCTGGCCGTAGCGGCCAATTGGGGAGTGAACCAGTGGACAGAAGACTTCTCCTCTCTCTCTGCCTCTCCTTCTCTAACCAAATTTCAAATCATAAATTAAAAAAAAAAAAAATATATATATATATATATAGGGGCCAGTGCTATGTGGGTTAACGCCCTGGCCTGAAGCATGGGCATCCCATATGGCCGCCAGTTCGAAACCCAGCTGCTCCACTTCTGATCCAGCTCTCTGCTAAGGCCTGGGAAAGCAGTAGAAGATGGCCCAAGTCCTTGGGCCCCTGCGCCCATGTGGGAGACCTGGAAGAAGCTCCTGGCTCCCTGCTTTAGATTGGCGCAGCTCTGGCTGTTGTGGCCAATTGGGGAGTGAACCAGTGGATGGAAGACCTCTCTCTCTCTGCCTCTCCTTCTCTCTCTGCAACTCTTTCAAATAAATAAATAAAAATCTTTTTAAATGGCCGGCGCCGCGGCTCACTAGGCTAATCCTCCGCCTAGCGGCGCCGGCACACCGGGTTCTAGTCCCGGTTGGGGCGCCGGATTCTGTCCCGGTTGCCCCTCTTCCAGGCCAGCTCTCTGCTGTGGCCAGGGAGTGCAGTGGAGGATGGCCCAGGTGCTTGGGCCCTGCACCCCATGGGAGACCAGGAAAAGCACCTGGCTCCTGGCTCCTGCCATCGGATCAGTGCGGTGCGCTGGCCGCAGCGCGCCGGCTGTGGCGGCCATTGGAGGGTGAACCAACGGCAAAAGGAAGACCTTTCTCTCTGTCTCTCTCTCTCACTGTCCACTCTGCCTGTCAAAAAAAAAAAAAAAAAACTTTTTAAAATAATATATAGTTCATAAAAGAAAAGATAAATGTCCCATTCTTTTCCTTTATCAATATACCCTAGTGTATTACACATCAATGCTTTTGCTCAGGGGAAAAAAAGCTATTAAAATCTATAATGATAATGATAGGACATACAAGCCAATTTGAGAGGAATCCCCTGATCAAAGACAAATACAATTCAGCATATTTTTGAAAGCCACAATGGATTAAAAAAAAAGGTAGGTATTATGGCATAATATTCCATATTGGACTCCTGGGACTGAGTCTTGCCTCCAATTCCAATCCAGTTTCCCCCAAAGAACCTGGGAGGCAGCAAGAGAAGTCCAAGTCCTTGGGTTTCTGCTACCTATGTGGGAGTCCTGGCTGTTGTACCCATTTGGGGAATGAATCAGCAGATGGAAGATCTCTCTCAATCTCTTCCTTGCTTGCCCTTCAAATGGATCTTTTAAAAATAATGATGCAGGAGCTAAATAGGGTGTTTTTAGGTTTCCTTTTATGTTATTCCCCTTTGTTAAATATTGACCAAGGCTGGAGATTAGATAGCAGAGTATTTGTGTTTATGAACTGAAAAAGAATTTCTCACCTTCAGTTTGTTTGTTTTTTTGTTTTGTTTTGTTTTGTTTTAGGCAGAGTGGACAGAGAGAGAGACAGAGAGAAAGGTCTTCCTTTGCCGTTGGTTCACCCTCCAACGGCTGCCACGGTCGGTGCTCTGTGGCTGGCACACGGCGCTGATCCGATGGCAGGAGCCAGGTGCTTCTCCTGGTCTCCCATGGGGTACAGGGCCCAAGGACTTGGGCCATCCTCCTCTGCCTTCCCGGGCCACAGCAGAGAGCTGGCCTGGAAGAGGAGCAACCAGGACAGAACCCGGCGCCCCGACCAGGACTAGAACCCAGTGTGCCGGCGCCGCAGGTGGAAGATTAGCCTATTGAGCCACGGCACTGGCCTCACCTTCAGTATCTTAACAATAAGATATCTGAAGCTCAGTAACAGGTAAATCTTGGGGGAAGGCATTTCTATTGTCATCACATCAACAGTCTTTCATATGAACTCTCCAAAGAATACTATTGGGGTGGGTGTTGTGGCACAGCAGATTAAGCTGCCACTTGGGGAACCACACCCCAAATCAGAGTGCCTGAGTCTCAATTACTCCACTTCTGATCCAGCTTCCTACTAATGTACCTGGAAAGCTGCATATGATGTCTCAAGCACTTGAGTCCCTGCCACCCACACAGACGACCTGGACTGAGTTCCTCTTGGCTCCTGGCTTCAGCCTGCCCCAGTCCTGGCTGTTGCAGGCATTTGGAGAGTGAACCAATGGATGGAAGATCTCTGTCTCTTCCTGTCACTCTGCTTTTCAAATAAATAAATAAATATTCTGAAAAAGACTACTATTAATGATGATAATAAAATAATACTTGGTGGCTTAAAACAATAATCAGTTTTTATTGTCTCATCATTTTGTGGGTCAGGAGTTTGGTCAGTTCTACTGTCCTATATGGAGTCCACCTGAGGTCACTCAGTAGTATTCAGCTGGTGGCTGATCTGGAGGACCCAAAACTATTTCACTCAACTGCCTGGTGTCTTAGTGGCGTGTCTGGAAGAATGAATTCAGCAGGATGCCTCCCCCATCAACGCAGTCTCAGTGCTTCTCCATGTTGTATCTTCAGCAAAGTAGCCAGACTTAACTTGAGAGAAGATTTCAAGAGCTGAAGCAACCTTACCAGTAAAGCCTGGGTCCAGAAACCAGCACAGCAGTACTTGCTGGGCAAAGCAGTTTGCAGAGTGTGCCCGTATTCAAGGGTAAGGCTGTGGATTTCATCTCTTAATATAAACAGTCTAAAAATATTTGCAGCCATGTTTGCCACAGTTTTATAACACCATTTTTGAAGTGAAGAAATTATAGCACATAACAGTTAAGTTCAATATAACACAGTAAGAAAATGTTGGGATGTAGATGGTGGAAAAGTGTCTTTTCCGTATTTATTACATTAATAGGATTTGTTTCTAGGACCAATGTGCTGAAGTTTCAGCTTTGAGTGAGTATAAAATTTCTTATGACACATCAGTTGCATGTATAAAGCAGATTACTACATTCACAAAATATTCTATCACATAGGACTGAAGAGAATTATATTTTTACATTATGAATTTTCAAATGATGGGTAAGGTGCGAATGTTGTCTAAAGGCCTTCTTACATTCCTTACATTCATAAGGTTTCTCACCAGAATGAATTCTCAGATGCTGAATTAGGGAAGAATTAAGTCTAAAGGCCTTTCTACATTCCTTACACTCAAAGGGTTTTTCCCCGGTATGAATGCTCTGATGTAGAGTAAGTTTTTGGCGCAACCTAAAGGCCTTCCCGCACTCCTTACATTTATAGGGTTTCTCACCAATATGAATGCTCTGATGTTGAGTAAGCTGTGAGAGTAGCCTAAAGGCCTTTCCACATTCTTTACAGTCATAGGGTTTAACACCAATATGAATACTCTGATGTGAAATAAGTTGTGAGTAACGACTAAAGGCCTTCCAGCATTCTTTACACTCGTAAGGTTTCTCTCCAGTGTGAATTCTGTGATGGAGAATAAGATGATAGCCACGACTAAAGGTCTTCCCACACTCCTTACATTCATAGGGCTTCTCGCCAGTGTGAATCCGCTGGTGGAGCGTGAGCTGCTGCCGCACTCTAAAGGCCTTTCCGCACTCTTTGCAGTCATAGGGTTTCTCACCAGTGTGAAGTTTGTGATGCACTCTAAGGCCAGAGCCACACAAAAAGTCCTTGCCACACTCTTTACATTCATAGAGTCTGTCGGCAATGTTAAGCTTCTGATGTCGAGTAAGATGTGCATACTGTCTGAAGGCCTTCCCACACTCCTTGCATACGTAGGGCTTCTCACCGGTGTGAATCCTCTGATGCAGAGTAAGCTGTCCTCGCACTCTAAAGGCCTTCCCACATTCTTTGCATCCATAGGGCTTCTCGCCAACATGAATTTTCTGATGGACCCTAAGGTCTGGACCACATATGAAAGCCTCTCTACATTCCTTACATTCATAGAGTTTTTCACCAGAATGGAGTCTCTGATGGCGAGTTAGGTGTGCAGTCTGTCTAAAGGCCATCCCACATTCCTTACATTCATAGGGTTTTTCGCCAGTATGAATTCTGTGATGAAAAGTAAGCTGCTGGCGGACTCTAAAAGCCTTCCCACATTCTGTACATTCATAGGGCTTCTCCACAAAGTGCACTTTCTGACGTGGAGTGACGGATGCAGGTTTTCGGTAAGAGGACACTTTTTCAGATGTGCTTTTCACTTGAGATCCCTCTTGTCCTTCACATTTTCTTCTAGACTCCCAGTCATTTTTTAAAATCAGGTTCTTAAGGCCATGGTTTTTAATTCTTTCCATTATCTTAAAATGTGATAAACTTATTTCATAAATGTTACTTTCTGAAGATAATTTTTTGGTCTCACATCTGGTCTCCAACTCTAAAAGAAACAAGAAAACAAACACATGCTCTTTCTTTATCTAAAAGAAGAATTTCTACAGTAGAAACAAAAGACAACAAAACACCAGATAAATCTCTAAAATGTGGTTATTCAATTTGGATGGAAAAACAAAGCAAAAGGGAACACCAGAAAAATAAAGAGTTCATATAACAAAGTGAGACTGGTGATTAAGAAAACGTTTTAAGTTGGTGGTTCTCAAATTGAGATGTGGAGGGCTGGCATGGTGGCATAAAAGGCTAAGCTGCTGCCTGCAGCGCAGGCATCCCTTAAGGGCACTGATTCCACTCCCAGCTCCTCCACTTCTGATCCAGCTCCCTGCTAATATGCCTGGGAAAGCAGCAGAAGACGGCCCAAGTGCCTGGGCCACTGCACTCATGTGAGAGACCCAGATGAAGCTCAATGAAAACAGTAAGAAAGTACACCCAGGAATAAAAAATGGAAAGTGAAAATAATCTTAGAAGAGACAGTTTAAAAAAGGTGACTGGGGCCAGCACTGTGGCATAGTGGTAAAGTAACTGCTTGTAGTGCCGGCATCCCACATGGGCACTGGTTCGAGTCCTGGCTGTTCCTCTTCCAATCCAGCTCTCTGCTATGGCCAGGGAAAGCAGTGGAAGATGGCCCAAGTCCTTGGGCCCCTGTGCACCCGCATGGAAGACCGAGAGGAAAATGGATCTTTTTCTAGGAAAATATAATTTACCAAAAACTGACCTTAAAAGAGATACACTGTTTTTAATGCTTATTGATTTACTATCATCTACTTGAAAGGCAAAGTGACAGAGAGAGAGATCTTCCATCTACTGCTTCAGTCCTCAAAGTTGGCAACGGCCAGGCTGGGCCAGGCGAAAGCCAGGAGTCCGGAACCCTGGTTAGGTCTCCCACGTCAGTGGCAGGGACTCAAGTATTCGAGACATCCTCTGCTACCTCTCAGGGTGTGTGTTAGCAGGGGGATGGATTGAGAGCAGAGCAGCTGGGACCCACACATTCCAGTATGGGATGCAGGCATCACAAGCAGTGGCTTAATCTGCTATCCCACAATGCCTACCTATTTCTAAAAGGGAAACAGAGAAAGTATTCAGACTTACTATTCTTTCTTTCAAGAATTTTTTTTTTTAAAAAGATTATTTATTTGAAAGGCAGAGTTAGAGAGAGAGAGAGAGAATATCTTCCATCCACTGATTTACTCCCCAAATGGCCCCAATGGCTGGAGCTGGGCCAATGTGAAGCCAAAAGCCAGGAGCTTCTTCCAGGTCTCCCATGTGGGTGCAGGGGCCCAAGTACTAGGGCCATCTTCTCCTGCTTCCCCAAGCACATTAGCAGGGAGCTGGATCGGAAGTGAAGCAGCTGGGACTGAAACCAACACCCATATGGGATGCCAGCACTGCAGATGGTGACTTAACTTGCTATACTATAGCAACAGCCCCAAGAAAAATGTGTTGTTTTTTTTTTTTTTTTTTTTGACAGGCGGAGTGGACAGTGAGAGAGAGAGACAGAGAGAAAGGTCTTCCTTTTGCCGTTGGTTCACCCTCCAATGGCTGCCGCGGCCGGCGCACCGCACTGATCCGATGGCAGGAGCCAGGAGCCAGGTGCTTCTCCTGGTCTCCCATGGGGTGCAGGGCCCAAGCACTTGGGCCATCCTCCACTGCACTCCCTGGCCACAGCAGAGAGCTGGCCTGGAAGAGGGGCAACCGGGACAGAATCCGGCGCCCCGACCGGGACTAGAACCCGGTGTGCCGGCGCCGCAAGGCGGAGGATTAGCTTAGTGAGCCGCGGTGCCGGCCCAAGAAAAATGTTTTTAAAAGGTTACTAAAAGCTTTAAATACAGACCATCCAAATTCCACTTCAGCTGAGAGCTAAGAAAAACAAGGACCTCCAAACTGCCTTCATAAAGTAGTACTGCATTAAATAAAGATCGCTCACAAAAAAAGAAAACTGCACACCAATTATCTGAATACTGATGTAAAAATTCTAAACATCTCATAAAATGGCACATTCAGGGGCTGGCGCTGCGGCACAGTGGGTTAACGCCCTGGCCTGAAGCGCTGGCATCCCATATGGGCACTGGTTCTAGTCCCAGCTGCTCCTCTTCCAATCCAGCTCTCTGCTGTGGCCTGGGAAAGCAGTAGAAGATGGCCCAAGACCTTGGGGCCCTGCACCAGCGTGGGAGACCCAGAGGAGGCACCTGGCTTCTGGCTTTGGATTGGCATGGCTCTGGCCGTTGCAGCCAGTTGGGGAGTGAACCATCGGATGGAGGATCTCTATCTGCTTCTCTCTCTTTCTTTGTAACTCTGACTTTCCAATAAATAAATAAAATAAATCTTTAAAAAAATAAAATAAAATGGCACAAAGACTCAGTGCTGTTTATTACAAGAAGGTTATTAAACGTGGCTCAATATTGGGAAATCTATTAACATAATTCAACATATTAACAGAACAAAAAGGGGGGAAAAAGCTCTTGTACTCCAAAGATGCTAAAAAGGCAACTAAAAAACAAGAACTGTTCCTCATTAAAAAAAAAAAAAGGCTCAATAAAACAGGAGTGAAACTTCCCTAAAATATAAAATATATATAATCTTACAAAAAGGCAATTTGCTTACCATTACCCCTACTATTTAATTATGTATTGGAGTTATTAATCAACACAACTAAAATGAGGGGGGAAAAGAAGAGGCAGAATTAGAAAAAAGGCCAAACTGAGTTTCCAGATTATATACTTGTATAATTGTATAGAGTCAAAATCAAAATGGAGTGAGTGTGGCTAAAAGATAATTGCGGATCTCTTGCTTCTGTACATATTAGCTTTGCTTGCTAAAGACTAAGGGTGTATCTTGTGGAACTATGTAGGCCCAAATTCCAAGGAACTGAGAAAGTACTAAGCTGACAGAAATGTGCCCTGACCTGTTATCTTACAACCTATCTTGGGTTTGTTATTGTTCCTGGGTTTGTTATTGTTAACTGTTACCTTATAATCATATTCTCTGCTTTTTATTGTTCACTGCATACCAGGGGTTTGAAATTGTGAGCCCTAGTGGACAGAATATTATAAAAAACCGTGTAACTCGCTGTTGGGGGCTGCACTCTTGTAAGGAGTGTCGGTCCCGATTGGTTGCCTCTCATTTTCAATAAAATTCATGTGTGACTGTCACTGGTTTTTATAATATTCTATTTTAGCTGACGAGAGGATGCAACAATTGGAAAACTCAATAGGTTTAAATCATATAAATGACAACAAAATTTAGTAAGATTGCAGGATACAAAATCAAAATTTAAATACCAGTAGCCTATAAATACACATACAACAATAAAATATAATGGAGGGAAAAGATCCCATCCACAATAGTAACAAAATGGGCAAATTTAAATATTTACATAACCTTTATGAGAAAAACTTTGAAATACAAAGCATTTGGCATAAGAAATCACACACCAAATCATAAGAGGAAATTACTCTGCTTAAGGTGAGAGTAGCCTACCGAGGGTGTTCATGCTGAGAAGCTATTGAGCAATGAACAGGTGTAAAGACAATGACCAAAAACAGGGAAAGATTTTGCTCAAAGTAACAAGGTATATTGAATCTTGCAGATTATTTCCCTTGGACCAACCAGCAAATACTACTGTATTTGCTGTATTCCAGAGGAGTGACAAGGAACTGGATATGAGACAGGCCAGTGGTGGGGTTGGCGCAGTGGTACAGTAGGTTAATCTTCTGCCTGTGGAGTGAACCAACGGAAGGAAGACCTCTCTCTCTCTGTCTCTACTTCTCACTGTCTGTAACTCTCTCAAATAAATAAATAAATAAGTAAATCTTTTTTTTTTTTTTTCAAGAGAAAGGCCAGTGGCTGGTTAGTTCCTAGAAATTCAGCCATCTCCATGGGCTCAATTGACAAAGCACTCCTACCTCAAGAGGCAACTGTGTTCCAAGCAAGTTTAGAAGTTTCACTTTTTTTTTTTTTTTTAAGATTTATTCATTTATTTTGAAAGTCTGAGATAGAGAGAGAGAGAGAGAGAGAAAGAGATCTTCCATTTGCTGGTTCACTCCACAAATGGCCTCAATGGTCTGCACTGGGCCAGGCCAAAGCCAACACTGCTATCTCTTTTTTTCTTCTCTTTACTCTTTCACTTGCACTTACTAGCATGTCCTATTGACAGTATCTTAATTCAGATCATGTACTTAGCACCATCTCCTTTTTTTTTTTTTAAAGACAGAGTTACAGAGAGAGGTGGTTCACTCCCCAGATGTCCACAATGAGCCAATATGAAGCCAGGAGCCAGGAGCTTCTTCCGGGTCTCCCATGCGGGTGCAGGGGCCCAAGGCCTTGGGCCATCTTCTACTGCTTTCCCAGGCCACAGCAGAGAGCTGGATCGGAAGAGGAGCAGCTGGGACTAGAACTGGTGCCCATATGGGATGCCGGCGCTTCAGGCCAGAGCTTTAACCCATCGCGCCACAGCGCTGGCCCCACACCATCTCCATTCTTTTTTTTTTTTTTTTTTTTGGACAGGCAGAGTTAGACAGTGAGAGAGAGAGAGAGAGAGAGAGAGACAGAGAGAAAGGTCTTCCTTACGTTGGTTCACACCCCAAATGGCCGCTACGGCCAGCACGCTGCACCGATCCGAAGCCAGGAGCCAGGTGCTTCCTCCTGGTCTCCCATGGGGTGCAGGGCCCAAGCAGTTGGGCCATCCTCCACTGCCTTCCCGGGTCACAGTAGTGATGGCTCTTGCCTCAGGGAAATGTTTCTTTGATGGGGAGTTTGAGATTTCTTTTTCTTGTTTATGCTTTATTCGTGGTAATGGAAGAGTGAGTGACTTAAGCAGCCATGGCAAGGCAGATACACAGGCCTGGCTGCAGCGGAGGGTTGGGCAGAGTGGCTCAGGGCCTCGGTGCTGCAGGGGTTTGGTGTCTTGGGTGCAGCAGAGGGTTTCTGAGCACTTACCAAGCGTGGCTGTTTCTTAGGTGTGAGAGGTGCTGTGGTTTTTTGTGCAGCCACCATGTTGGTGTTAGGGGGTGGTGTGGAAATTGTTAATCTTATATAAAGCAACTCAATAAATTCTTTCAAGGTTTCCAAAAAAAATAAATAAATAAAAATAAAACATAATATCAAACATATTCTTTTGTTGTAGTTTTATTTGCCGTTTAAAAATTTGTGAGACTGGCATTGTGGCATAATGGTTCTGATCCAGCTCCCTGCTAATGTGCCTGGGAAAGCAGTGGAGGATGGCCCAAGTGCTTGGGTCCTGCACCCACAGGGGAGACCTGGATGAAGCTCCTGATTCCTGGCTTCAGCTTAGCCCAGCCCCAGCAACTGTGGCAATTTGGGAAGTGAACCAGAGGATGGAAAGATCTCTTTCTCGCTGCCTCTCTCTCTGTAACTTTGCTTTTCAAATAAATAAAATAAGTCTTTAAATTTTAAAAAATTATGAAAGGAAAAAGCATTTGGCATAAGTAAAGATGCTTCCTCATTGTGGTGCCTGAGTTCAAGTTCCAGCTAAAGCTTATTGCCAATCTAGGGAGACCTAGATTGAATTCCTGACTCCTGGCTTTGGTCTGACGCAACCCCAGCTGTCACAGGAATTTGGAAAGTCAATCAGTGGATGAGAGATCTCTGTTTATCTCTGTCTCTGTCTCTCAAAAAAATAGTTAAAAATATATGAGAAAAGTTGAAAAAACTTCTCGGATCATATTTTTTTTTTTTTTTTGACAGGCAGAGTTAGAGAGACAGAGAGAAAGGTCTTCCTTTTCTGTTGGTTCACCCTCCAAAATGGCCACTACGGCCAGCACGTTGTGCCATCCAAAGCCAGGAGCCAGGTGCTTCCTCCTCGTCTCCCATGCAGGTGCAGGGCCCAAGCACTTGGGCCATCCTCCACTGCCTTCCCGAGCCACAGCAGAGAGCTGGACTGAAGAGGAGCAACCAGGACAGAATCCAGTACCCCGACCAAGACTAGAACCTGGGGTGCCAGCACCACAGGCGGAGGATTAGCCTAGTGAGCCGCAGCGCCAGCTTCTGATCATAATTAAAACAGCCTTCCCATTCCACACCAGTCTCTACTCCCTGACTTCACAGCACTATCTTATTACCTGAATCAAATTTTCTATTTATTTACAGTTACATTGCTTCCCTTATCAGAAGGTAAATTCAATGAGGACAGGGACTTCATTGGGTTTACCATTGTACTGATAGCCCTGACTCAGAGCTATTTAGCTATGCAAAAGAGGAAAGCAATAGAATGAAAATATACAATGATTGTTAATAATGAACAAAGATAGTTGTTCCCACTCCTAGTACTTTCAAAGGGGAGGAAAACTGGAGAGAACCAAAAAAAGAAGAGTAACAAACAAACAGGTTAGTTCTTTTAGCACTACCTAAATAAGATCTTGATTTGTTCTCCAGAACTCAGATTTTCCTTCAGCTATAGACCTTTTTAAAGAGGTTTCTAAACAACATAACAAGGGGGGTGCCTCTTCCCCAACTGTTTGGATTGTTTGGTAGTAACAGCTTTGTTCTGCTTGACTGGCCCTCACTCACCTGGATAGCACCTTCTTCCTTTCCTCACAACTTTCCAAGGCTCTTTTCCTTGTTCCAATAAGGAAATCACATCTGGTTTAGAAATGAAGCGTCCTGCTTAGAAGAAAAGAAATATAAGATATAATGGAAATAAAAAGTAAATTCAAAATTACTTTGATTCAGTGTTGGATAAACTTGTAATAAACTATATGTAAAAACAGTAACTGATAAAGCTTTTAAAATCAAACAAAGCATGGCTTAAAACAATAAACAGCTGTTAGAGAGGGAGGAAAAGGTCTTTTTAAAACTGGTATTTGGGGGCGGCACTGTGGCGTATTGGGTAAAGCCGCTGCCTGCAGTACTGGCATCCCATATGGGCACTGGTTCAAGTCCCGGCTGCTCCACTTCCAATCCAGCTCTCTGCTAGGGCCTGGGAGGGCAGTAGAAGATGGCCCAAAGCCTTGGGCCCCTGCACCCGCATGGAAGACCAAGAAGCTCCTGGCTTCTGGCTTCGGATCAGTGCATCTCTGGCCACAGTGGCAATTAGGGAGTGAACCAGCAGATGGAAGACCTCTCTCTCTCTCTGCCTCTCTTTGTGTAACTTTGACTTTCAAATAAATTTAAAAAATAATGGTATTCCTACAAATGCTCCTTCTTCAGAGGCAACAGTGGCCTGTTTCAAATGCTGCCTCTACCACATCACAGTTGTATGATCTTAGGATTACTTCAGTACTTTATTTTCCTCATCCATAAGATGAGGATAATAACAGTATCATATACAATTATTGTGAAGACTATATTAAGTCTATCTATATTTAAACATTGCCTAAAGCACTATATATATATTTCATTAATATTAGTTATGGCTATCTTGTTGAGAAGAAAACAGAGGCCGGTGCCGTGGCTCAATAGGCTAATCCTCCACCTAGCGGCGCTGGCACACCGGGTTCTAGTCCCGGTCGGGGCGCCAGATTCTGTCCCGGTTGCCCCCCATTCCAGGCCAGCTCTATGTTATGGCCCGGGAAGGCAGTGGAGGATGGCCCAAGTGCTTGGGCCCTGCACCCCATGGGAGACCAGGAGAAGCACCTGGCTCCTGCCTTTGGATCAGAGTGGTGGGCTGGCCGCAGTGCACCAGCCACAGCAGCCATTGGAGGGTGAACCAACAGCAAAAGGAAGACCTTTCTCTCTGTCTCTCTCACTGTCCACTCTGCCTGTCAAAAAAAAAAAAAAAAAAAAAAAGGAAGAAGAAGAAAACAGAAGCTTCTTGACACATTTACTTTTTTTTTTTTTTTTTAAAGAGGGACTCTTTTTTTTAAAGATGTATTTATTTAGTTGAAAGCCAGACTTACACAGAGAGAAGGAGAGGCAGAAAGAGAGGTCTTCCATCGCTGGTTCACTCCCCAACTGGCCACAATGGCCAGAGCTGCGCCGATCTGAAGCCAGGAGCCAGGAGCTTCTTCCAGGTCTCCCATTGGGGTACAGGGGCCCAGGTCTTGGGCCATCTTCCACTGCTTTCCCAGGCCACAGCAGAGAGCTGGATTGGAAGTTGAGCAGCCAGGTCTTGAACCAGCACTCATATGGGAAGCCGGCACTTCAGGCCAGGGTGTTAACCCGCTGCACCACAGTACCAGCCCCAACAAATTTCTTTTATTTCTTAGGATACTCATTCAGTGTTAAATGCAAAGTTCTTCGATTTTAAATTTTTAATTGCAAAAGTAGATAAAACAGTATGTTTATCAACAAAAGGAATGAATATTCTTGAATTGCAAATAAAACCTACTGCTCCATTTACCCCCCCATAAATTGTGTGTTTATTTTTGGTAGAGAAAAACCAAGAAGCTATTTTCCTTACAGGTATATCAACAAATAACAAAATATCTAAAGCAATTTTGAGTTCAAACACAAAGTGAAATCCATTTCCTCTGACACTGGTAAGGCTGCAAATTACCCTGACTTCCGATCTAACCCCTTCAGAAGACCTCAGAGCCACGTAAGGATGGGGCAGAAGAATATATTTAATGAAGGTGTGTGCTTCCAGCAAAATAAAGCTCTACCATTCCCTTAAGAACCGGGAGCAGGAGTGTGTGTCTGGTGCATAAGTTAAGCAGCTGCTTGGGATACCCGCATCCCATTATTGGAATGTGTGGTTTGAGTCCTGGTTATCCTGATTCCAATTCAGCTTCTTGCTAATGAGTACCCTGGAAGGCAGCTGATGATGGCTCAAGTAATTGGGTCATTGCTACCCCTATGGGAAACTCAGATGGAATTCCCGGCTCTTGGCTTCAGCCTAGATCAACCCTGGCTGTTGCTGATATCTAGGGGAGTAAACCAGCACACAGATCTTTCTGACTTTCAAATAAAAACAAAAATAAATAAACAAACATTAAAAAGAAAAGAACACATGGGGCCAGCGCTGTGGTACAGTGGGTTAATGCCCTGGCCTGAAGCGCTGGCATCCCATATGGGTGCCAGTTCTAGTCCCAGCTGCTCCTCTTCAGATCCAGCTCTCTGCTGTGGCCTGGGAAAGCAGTGGAAGATGGCTCAAGTCCTTGGGCCCCTGCACCCACATGGGAGATCCGGAAGAAGCTCCTGGCTCCTGGCTTTGGATTGGCGCAGCTCTGGCTATTGAGGCCATATGAGGAGTGAACCAGCGGCTGGAAAACCTCTCTCTCTGTAACTCTTTCAAATAAATAAAATAAATCTTTTTTTTTTTTTTTTTTTTTTTTTTTAAGAAAAGAACACATAGCAGAAATTCAGTTTTTGAGGAGACAGATGATGCTGAAGAGAATCTAAATTTACCAGAGGAGATAACCTTACCCAGTGAGACCAAGTTGCTGTAGTTCTCTAACATCACATCTCTATACAAGTCCTTCTGTTCCAAGTCCAGGAATTCCCATTCTTCTTGAGAGAAGACTATGGATACATCATTGAATACCACTGATTTCTGAAATGATAAACCATAATTACAACTGAAATGAAAGAAAATTTGTTTCAAGATGGAAGGAGAAAAGGTGAGAAGAGATATTGTAGGAACTGGACTTGTATGGCAAACAAACAGGCTTGGGCTGCAGCCCTGTAACACATTGATTTAGGAAATGAGTGTCTGAAAGAGAGTGCCTATGTGTACCTGAAGGATCTTGTACTATTGTCTCTTATGTGAGGGTTTTCAAAAAGTTCATGGAGGGGACCAGCGCTGTGGTGTAGCCGGTAAAGCCACCACCTGCAGTGCCGGCATCCCAGATGGGCACCAGTTCAAGTCCTGGCTGCTCCACTTCCAATCCAGCTCTCTGTTATTGCCTGGGAAAGCAGTAGAAGATGGCCCAAGTCCTTGGGCTCCTACACCCACGCGGGAGACCAGGAAGAAGCCCTTGGTTCCTGGCTTCAGATCGGTGCAACTATGACCACTGCGGCCAATTGGAGAGGGAACCAGTGAATGGAAGACCTCTACCTCCCTCCCTCTCCCTCTCTCTCCCTCACCCTCGCCCTTCCTTTATCCCTCCCTCCCTCTCTCTCTCTGCGCCTCTCCTTCTCTGTGTAACTCTGACTTTCAAATATACAAATAAATCTTTTTAAAAAATGTTCATGAAAAGTGCGTATTATGAGAAAACTATACATAGATTTCAATCTTTTTTTTGTACCAACATATACTTATTTTTCCATGAACTTTTAGAAGTATCTCCATATACTCTGGTATACTTCAATTATCCGAACAGGTCTAGGAAAGAAAACAGAGTATATTTTTTAAAAAGATTTATTTATTTATTTGAAAGGCAGAGTTACAGAATGAGAGAGGGGGAGGCAGAGAGAGAGATGGTCCATCTGCTGGTTCACTCCCCATATGGGCACAACAGCCAGGACTAGGCCAGGCTGAAGTCAGGAGCCTGGAGCTTCATCCAGGTCTCCCACATGGTGCAAGGGCCCAAATACTGGGGCCATCTTGCATTGCTCTCCCAGATGCATTAGCAAGGAGCTGGATCAGAAGTGGAACAGCTAGGACTCAAACCAGTGTTCACATGGGATGCTGGCATCAGGGGCGGTGGCTTAACCTGCTGTACCACAAAACAGGCCCAGAGTTTTTTGATTAAATGAGATACCATATATTAGCTTTCTGTCTGCTATATATCTCCCTCATAAACTCTCAAAAAATGTGTTATTCTACCCCCTCCCTTTGAAGAAAAGATTTTTGGAAAAGGTTCCCTACAATATCTTTCTTTTATAGGATCTGAATATAACTAAAGAATTTCCTCTAAGTTTATCAAAGAAATCATAAGCATTCACTTTGTTATACAGATATTTTTAATGAACTTTTACAAATTTCATTGTGTAGGGACAGGTGTATAGCCTCGCAATTAAGATGCCAGTTAAGACCCCCCATATCCCATATCCAAGTGCCTGAGTTCAATACCCATCTCTGCTCCTGACTCCAGCTTACTGTTTATGTGGTGACTGAGAGGTAACAGCCCTGGCTCAAGATATAGGGTCCCTGTCATTTGCATGGGCGATCAAAATTGGGTCCCATCTCCCAGATTCAGCCCTATCTGGAGGCTGTTGTGGGAAATTGGGGAATGACCCAGTGGAATAGGGAGTTTGCTCTCTTTTTCTCTTCTTCTCCCTCTCAAATAACAAATTTTTAAAATAAAAAAAAACTAGATTTTATAATAGTCTGTAATAGATACTTAGACTATACTTGGATATTTTGTTTGGACAAAATTTTTTTTTAAAGATTTAGTTATGCCGGCGCTATGGCTCAATAGGCTAATCCTCCGCCTGCGGCGCTGGCACCCCAGGTTCTAGTCCCAGTCAGGGAGCCAGATTCTGTCCTGGTTGCTCCTCTTCCAGTCAAGCTCTCTGCTGTGGCCCAGGAAGGCAGCGGAGGATGGCCCAAGTGCTTGGGCACTGCATCCACATGGGAGACCAGGAGAAGCACCTGGCTCCTGGCTTCAGATCAGCGCACCGGCTGCGGCAGCCATTGCAGGGTGAACCAATGGAAAAAGGAAGACCTTTCTGTCTCTCTCTCTCTCCACTCTGCCTGTCAGAAAAAAAAAAAAAAAAATTTATTTATTTATTTGAAAGTCAAAGTTACACAGAGAGAGGAGAGGCAGGACAGAGAGAGAGACAGGTCCGATGGTTCACTCTCCAATTGGCTGCAATGTTCGGAGCTGTGTCGATCTGAAGCCAAGAGCCAGGAGCCTGTTACAGGTATCCATCACGGGTGCAGGGGCCCAAGGACTTGGGTCATCTTCTACTGCTTTCCCAGGCCATAGCAGAGAGTTGGATTGGAAGTGGAGCAGCCGGGTCTCTAACCAATGCCTATATGGGATGCCGGTGTGTCAGGCCAGGGCGTTAACCTGCTGCACCAAAGCGCTGGCCCCTTGGACAAAATCTTAAGACCCTCCTCCAATCTCAGAGTCTACATGACAATTCATGTATCTAGATTACCTTCTCACCTCCTACCATTTCCCATCTCTCACTGTACAGATTCCTTGTTCTGAAGTTTACAGTGTAGAGATGTAGCATGACCTGGAATCATCCTGTTCAACTATAAATGGAACCTTGCTCTTGGTGTGCAACTCTTAGGGATTCCCAATGAAGATCCTTGATCTCTGTATGCAGGACTCAGTTGCATTCCTATCCAGTCCTGAAAGCCTTACAAACCAGGAGATCCCCCATATAATAAGCCTGAGAGCAATAAACAGGAAATTTTATCTTACACACTGAAAAAACTTAAGTCTGAAAAAAAGTTGAGAGTTTTCCTTTGAGTGATTATACAAGCTCAACTTCTCTCATAAACATAAAAGGGACAGTCAAATGTCTCTTTGGAAGGATTTCACTTCTGCATCATTACAGTTTTTAGTAGAAGACTGAGCACATATAGGAGATACTGAATATTGTTCAAAAAATGCATGAACAATGATTGGGGAAAAAAAGAGGCTAAGGTAATAGGATAAAAATTGTTCTACGAAGCTTCAGACTTCACTGAATTTAGAAAAACCGAGAGAAGCTACTAGGATAGGGCTTTCACAGCTAGGAAGTTTCAGGATAAAGAAATGTTCACAGGACCACAACATAGTATTTCTGAGAAAAGAAAGAAACGGTAGCTTACATGGGCCATGGTTTAAAATGCAAAGACTGATCAGTCCTCCTTGAGATTTATTTGCCAGGAGAAGCACAGAATCCACAGAAGCCAGAGCTAGGGAAGGAAAACAAGGCCATGAGTAGAGAGAGGCCCAGAACTTCCAAAATGACTTCAGTTAATATAACTTTCCCCCTCTTCTGATTTCTCCACTATGCATGTGCAGTTGTACACACACACACCATGCACAGAGAGATTGGAAGGTGTCTGAAAAGGCTAAACCTCTGTAAATTCCGCATCATCTAAACCAGAATCTCCCAAGTCTTACAAGCCTGCCTGGAATCATAGGACACAAGAAGAGAAATTCATAAGGACCAAGTAGCAATCCAGGACAACTTCCAAAATCATCTGAGTTCATCCTCTCTGCTGACAATCAGAATCGCCCACACTTCTCTGCATTACTTTATTTGCCATTCTCTTTCCTAAAACCTAGGAGGAAAACATGTGGTGGATTCACCCTCTTGGCAGATAGACAATTATACATTTTTATTTCACAAGAATTTCCAAGTGATGGGTGCTTTATATACATTAATTGTACCTTTGGGATTGCTATTTACTAACTATTGTATCCATGAAATGGATCAAAAAATTCACTCTAAAAGAAATTAAATCATTTGTAGAAATTCAGTTTAAAAATAGCAAAGCTGCATTTACAATACTTATTTTTCTAACCAAAAAGCCAGATCTCATTCTACTTTAGCCTCTGAAACCCAGAATTTGCTGCAATAAGAAACCTAGAATGCACAATTCACTAAAACAGGAATAACATAGCAAATCACCAAAAGATATTAAATCTCATTAATTAAACTTAAAAGTATTGATGGTCAGTCATATTAGCAAGTATGTGAAGTCCAGTATACTGTACATTGTATAAATATAAAAGTATGTATAAACAGCATTTTAGCCAACTAATATTTTGACTTGGAGATTCTAATTTGGGGACTAAATAAAATAATTGTATATGTGGTCAAAGATATATTTAAGAATATGTTGAGAGGGGCCAGGCTGTGGCACAGCAGGTTAGAGCCCCAGCCTGCAGTTCTAACATCCATGGGCACTGGTTCGTGTCCCAGCTGCTCCACTTCCAATCCAGCTCTCTGCTGTGGCCTGGGAAAGTAGAAGATGGCTCAAGTGCTTGGGCCCCTGCACCCATGTGGGAGATCCGGAAGAAGCTCCTGGCTCCTGGCTTCAGATCAGCATAGCTCCAGCCGTTGCGGCCAAGTGGCGAGTGAACCTGTGGATGGAAGACCTCTCTCTCTTTCTGCTTCTTCTCTCTGTGTAACTTTCTCTCTGACTTTCAAATAAATAAATCTTAAAAAAAAAAAGGTTTATTTATTTATTTATTTATTTTTATTTTTTGACAGGCTGAGTGGACAGTGAGAGAGACAGAGAGAAAGGTCTTCCTTTGCCATTGGTTCACCCTCCAATGGCTGCCGTGGCCGATGCACGGCGCTGATCCGATGGCAGGAGCCAGGTGCTTCTCCTGGTCTCCCATGGGGTGCAGGGCCCAAGCACTTGGGCCATCCTCCACTGCACTCCCGGGCCACAGCAGAGAGCTGGCCTGGAAGAGGGGCAACCGGGACTAGAACCCGGTGTGCCGGCGCCATAAGGTGGAGGATTAGCCTAGTGAGCCGCAGCGCCGGCCTGTAACTCTGTCTTTCAAAGAAATAAATGCATCTTTAAAAATAAATCTTTTTCGGCCGGCGCCAGGGCTCACTAGGCTAATCCTCCACATTGCGGCGCCGGCACACTGGGTTCTAGTCCCGGTCGGGGCGCCGGATTCTGTCCCGGTTGCCCCTCTTCCAGTCCAGCTCTCTGCTGTGGCCCGGGAGTGCAGTGGAGGATGGCCCAAGTGCTTGGGCCCTGCACCCCATGGGAGACCAGGAGAAGCACCTGGCTCCTGCCATCGGATCAGCACAGTGCACCGGCCGCAGCGCACCGGCCACGGCGGCCACTGGAGGATGAACCAACGGCAAAAGGAAGACCTTTCTCTCTGTCTCTGTCTCTCTCTCTCTCTCTCACTGTCCACTCTGCCTGTCCAAAAAAAAAAAAAAAAAAAAAAAAAAAAGAGAGTACAGAGAGAACAAGAGAGATAGAGATCTTCCATCTACTAGTTCACTACCAAAATGGTCGTTAACAGCCAGGGCTGGGCCAAGCCAAGGCCAGAAGCCAAAAGCTTCATTTGATTCTCTTCTGCTTTCCTAGGCACATTAGCATGGAGCTAGATGGGAAGTGGAGCAGCCAGAACTTGAACTGGCCCACATGGGATGTTGGCATTACAGACAGCGGCTTTACCTGCTACACCACCACACTGGCCTCACTTACCTGTCTTTTTCCTGCATAGGTTTATCTATCTTAATAGATAATAAATAATGTAAGGATAACAAGCATGTTATTTTAGTCACTGTGTTTCCTCTAAGCACTGCACAAGATCTGGTATACTGTGAATACTTTATAAATGTCTGATCATTGAACATTAAGATTCCACTTCTAGAAATTTATTGAGGAACTATTTTTAAAAGTGTGCTGAAGTTCATTAGAAATAATTTATGACAACCAAAAATCAAATACCTACCACAGGCAACAAGTTGAATCAGTTATACTCTATTACATTACAGCATATTTTATAATTATTAATGGTAATAATTGTAATTAATGAAGAATTATAGTCATGATAAATTATCAGGTATGTAGGCAGACTAAAATAAATATATACAATGTTGGGAGGTGGTGGACCCTCAGATATTAAAAATACAGGCTTTCTTTGTCAGGATTCAGGATAGGACTCTAGGTTCTGACAGTTGTTTATTGTGAGACTCTGGACATGGTCCTTAATTTCCAGTGTTGACTTTTTCTTAATTTTCTGTTTCCTTATAGTGCAGAAATTACAAAATCTACCGTAGAGAATAAGGTTAGAATATAACGCATATATTTAATTTGCACTAAATACAATGAAAAACATTACATGTCCCTCATTCTACTAATAAAGAAAATTATCTTTGATAACTTATAGTGTAAAAATTTGAAATTTATTGAAAATTAACAATTTTTTTTTGACAGGCAGAGTGGATAGTGAGAGAGAGAGACAGAGAGAAAGGTCTTCCTTTTGCCATTGGTTCACCCTCCAGTGGCCGCCACGGCTGGCCCGCTGCAGCCAGCGCACCGCACTGATCCGAAGCCAGGAGCCAGGTGCTTCTCCTGGTCTCCCATGGGGTGCAGGGCCCAAGCACTTGGGCCATCCTCCACTGCACTCCCGGGCCACAGCAGAGAGCTGGACTGGAAGAGGGGCAACCCGGACAGAATCCGGCGCCCCGACCGGGACTAGAACCCGGTGTGCCGGCGCCATAAGGTGGAGGATTAGCCTAGTGAGCCGCGGCGCCGGCCGATTTATTGAAAATTAACAATCTTAATACTAGGAAACCTTTTTCCTTTTTTCTTAAAGCAATTTTCTTAAGCTTTTCAGGGTGTTCTAATAACACTAAGATAAATTTTAGAACTAGGCTTGAGAATGTTACTCTCTTAATTAGAGTTCATTTTAATTATAATATTAGCAAAAAGAGATCCACAAAGATCAAAACACAGAGCAAGGCCCTTCTTGCTCACTATCTCTGGCAGCTCTTAAGAAACATCATTCTGAATCACAAAACCTGCTCAAGAAATTTGATACTGTATCATAGTGAATAAATTAATAACAGTTCAATCAATAGGCTGGTGCTAAGGCACAGACAGTGCGATGGCAGTGCTGGCATCCCATATGGGCACTGATTGCTCCTCTTCTGATCCAGCTCCATGCTATGTGTCTGGGAGAGCAACTGAAGATGGCCCAAGTATTTGGGCCACTCCACCCACATGGGAGACCTGGAAGAGGCTCCTGGCTCCTGGTTTAAGATCAGCCCAGCTCTGGCCATTGCAGCCAGAGTGAACCAGTCGACGGAAGATCTTTCTCTCTGCCTCTCCTCTGCCTTTCAAATAAATAAATAAATCTTTAAAAAATCTCTAACTCTGAAAGAATATTTTACTTGATAAATTGCCCTGTTAATTATTTTAATAGATGTCTCCATACCTTGAAAGATATAAATTCTTAGAAGATTTTTTTCAAATTAGAGGGAAACCACTGTACTGCCCTTTTTACTCCATATAGCCACAGTAATATAATAAAACTTACTACTTTTTCAGCAAAGTGTTAGGAAGTCTCACTTCCTTAAATAATTAATTTTTACAATTTTATTTTAGAAAACAAACATATACATACATATAAACATACAGAAAAAATGGAAAACAAACATCAAAATAGTGAAATTAATTCTGAGTGGTAAGACTATGGGCAATGTAAATTTTCTTCTTTATACTTTCCTTAGGTTTCTGTTTTTCTTCTTTTTACAATAAACCTGCATTAATTATATCATTAGAAACTAAAACTATTTTTTTTTAATTTGACAGAGTTAGACAGTGAGAGAGAGAGACAGAGAAAGGTCTTCCTTCCGTTGGTTCACCCCCAAATGGCCGCTTCGGCTGGCGCTGCGCTGATCCAAAGCCAGGAGCTTCTTTCCTGGTTTCCCATGCGGGTGCAGGGGCCCAAGCAGTTGGGCCATCCTCCACTGCCTTCCTGGGCCACAGCAGAGAGCTGGACCGGAAGAAGAGCAACCGGGACTAGAACCCAGTGCCCATATGAGATGCTGGCGCCACAGGTGGAGGATTAACCAAGTGAGCCACGGTGCCAGCCCCACTAAAACTATTTTTAAACAAATAAAATTTAAAACAGTGGTATGGAGAGGAAGTACCTCTTTTTTATGATTTATTTATTTATTTGAAAGGCAGAGTTACAGAGAGGCACAGAGAGAGAGAGAGAGAGAGGTCTCCCATCCACTGGTTCACTCCCAGGATGGCTGCTACGGCCGGAGCTGCGCCAATCCCAAGCCAGGAGCCCAGAGCTTCCTTCAGGTCTCCCATGCAGGTGAAGGGGCCCAAAGACTTGGGCCATCTTCTATTGCTTTCCCAGGCCATAGCAGAGAGCTGGATCGGAAGTGGAGCAGCCAGGCCTTGAACCGGTGCCCATATGGGATGCCAGCACTGCAGGTGGGAACTTTACCCGCTCTGCCACAGCGCCGGCCCCAGTACCTGTGTTTTTATTCAGTGGAGAAAGACGGGGGTAAAGTACCTGTTGTGCACCAAATACTGTTGTACTTTAGTATTCTCTCACTGAATTTGGGAATGTTGCTTTTTCCTTCATTATGTTCAATCACAGAGAAGAATCTTGATAGTGAAAGTAGCCCGTTATTTTGATGAAGAACAGTAAAAGAAAAACCTGATAGGTATTATTTATTTCTGCCATGCTGATTTTACTTACAGACACAGTTTTCTTAACAACAGAGGCTTCCTCTCCAAACTCTGTTTTAAAATTTATGTAAATGGCAACCGCAATTTTGGTACAATTTCAAGGGATATCCATCCCCCTAAAAGCACCAAATGGATTAAAAGCACCTCTGGTTTTTTAATTGTTCTAAACTATTTGGGCATTTGGTCTATTTTTTCAAAACTTTTAGGAAATGCCCAACACAGTTTGGTATTTATATTTTTTCTGATCTATAAAAGGCCGGTGGAGAATTGCTCAGAATCACCACATAGCAACAAATAGCTAAGGTTTATTAAGTACTTACGAAATACCAGGCACTGTTCTAAGAGCTTCACACATAAAGTGACGTCACGCAAGTAACGGAAAGAATCTGCCAAGTGGATATGTGCACTAGCGAGGGGGCTGCATATCAGTTTAATGGACTAGACCTTTAAGAAGTAAGCAAATGCCCCCTAAAAAATCAAAATATATTTCACAGAACACAGAGGAAATATAATCCACCTAGACTTTAATTTTTAAAAAACCAACAGCAAGTCATTCCTCCTCCTCCTTTTCTTAGAAATCAGCAGGACCTAGAGAAGGGAACCTTACCCCAGGCCCTTCCTGAAGCCCAGCCGAGCCTGGTTAAATGAAGACACCACGCCACGACCGCACCTGCCCTACCACGCAGCACCCACAAACATCCAGAGTCCAGCGCGAGGGAAAACCCTCCGAGCGCGAGAGAAAGGCCACCCACGGAGCCCGCGGTCCGAGCTCGCGGCGGCTTCCTGGAGAGAACTCCGCGGTTCCGAAACTTGCCTTTGGAGCCCTCGGAGCCGGGAGGGCGCGCGCTGGCGTGTGCACGGGGGAATGCAGCGTGGTGGGCGTTCTGCCGGGAGCCGGCCTGCGGGGCCTCTCCAGGTAGAGCACTCCGGTCCCGAGACCGGATCTGAGCTTTTAGTTTGTTTGCAGTCTTCTCGCTAGAGCTCAGACGCCCAGACCGAGGGTCCTTTTCCTGCGCCGGGCAGAGGACGGAAGACGCTAGCTGGGGTCAGCGGCATCTACTTCCACGGCCTCAGCAACCTCCGCTCACACACGACGGCCCCGCACTCCCAGGGGGCAGACAAGCGCCATCACGCATCAGCCCACCGCCACAGCCCGGCCCTGTCACGCCCACAGACACAGGCGCGCACACACACACACTTACACCGCCGCCCGTCGCTCACACCCCGGCCGGAAGCGCGGGGCTCCCAGCGCTCCGCGGTGCCGCGGTCCCTTCCCCCTTTCGTCTCTTTACCCCCGCACCGCCGCACCTTTCCTACGGACGGCCAGGGCGGCACACTCGCGGCGCCGAACAAATCTGCCGGAGAGGCTCTGAGGCAGCGAGGAAGCCACCAGCCGGCGACAGCCCACAACGCCCGGACCTAACGGGCCCAGCGCCGGGGCTGCTGGGAAGGCCGGCCGGGCGCCCCGAGTGCGCAGGCGCGCCGGCCCTGGGGGCGGGGCGCTGCTCTGAGAGCCGCTTGCGGCCCCGCCCCAGCCGAAGCGGGCTGACAGGCCCTTCGAACCCGAGTCCGTCAGCCGCGGCCCAACCCGGAGGCGGGTTAGAACTACAAAGTGAGCTCATCAAGGATTCAGGACACAAAGTCAATACAAAATCAGTTATATTTCTATATATTTGCAATGAACAACGTGAAAGAGAAAATTAGAAGAAAAAAAGACTTCCTTTACAATAGTACAATAGTATATAAAAAAATAAACAGGAATAGATTTAACAAGTGCAAATTTTTTACTTTTTAAACTACAAAGACTTGCTGAAGGAGGTTAAAGGCGAGATGAATAAGTGGAAAGACATTCCTGTGTTCATGGATCAGAAGTCTTAATATTGTCAGTGTGGCAGGGCCGAGGTGCGCCGCTGGGTCTGCGTGTAGTTGTGAGACTGGGGCATGATGGCATTTGTGTGCCAGATTCTACAGATTCAATACAATCTCTGTAAAAACCCCAATTGCATTGCTTGACAGCATGGACAAGCTGATCTTAAAATTCATATGGAAACACAAGGGCCCTAGTCCGGCGCTGCAGCTCACTAGGCTAATCCTCTGCCTGCGGCGCCGGCACTCCAGGTTCCAGTCCCGGTCGGGGCGCCGAATTCTGTCCCGGTTGCTCCTCTTCTAGTCCAGCTCTCTGCTCTAGTCCAGGAAGGCAGTGGAGGATGGCCCAACTGCTTGGGCCCCGCACCCGCATGGGAGACCCAGAGGAAGCACCTGGCTCACAGCAAGCCGGCCGTTGCGGCTATTTGGAGGGTGAACCAACGGAAGGAAGACCTTTCTCTCTGTCTCTCTCACTGTCTAACTCTGCCTGTCCAAAAAAAAAAAAAAAAAAAAAAAAAAAGAAAGAAATACAAGGGAGCTAGAAGAAGAACAACAACAAAATCCTGAAAATGTACAAGAAAAACAAGACAAAGACAAGGCATTTAGCCTAGCAGTTAAGCTGCCTGCATCCCATATCAATGCCCAGCTCCAGCTTTCTCCCAATGCAGACCCTGGAGGCAGCACCCACCCATGTGAGAGACTTCTATTGAGTTCCTAGTGGGCATCTGGGGGAGTGAACCAGCAGATGGGAGTGCTGTTTTGCATGCTCTCTCTCTCTCTCAGACTCTGCCTTCTAAATAAATAATTTTTAAAAAAGATATATGTATTTATTTGAAAGAATTACATAGAGAGAAGGAGAGATGGAGATCTTCCACCTGCTGGTTCATTCCACAAATGGTCACAGGAGCCAGGAGCTTTTCTGGGTTTCCCACAGGGGTGCAGGGGCCCAAGGACCTGGGCCATCTGCTGCTGCTTTCCCAGGCTCATCAGCAGGGCGCTGGATCAGAAGTGGAGAAGCCGAGACTTGAATCAGTGCCTCTATGGGATGCCAGCTTTAACCCCCTGCACCAGGGTGCTGGCCCCTCAAATAATTTTAAGAAAAAACCTTTAAAAAATTGGAAGACTAACACCTTTCTTTGGTAAGATTTTAAAGATTTATTTATTTGAGTGGAAGAGTTACAGAGTGAGAGAATCTTCCATCCAATGGTTCAGTCTCCAAATGGCAGCAACAGCTAGGTATGAGCCAGGCAGAGCCAGAAGACAGGAGCTTCAGACAGGTCTCCCATGCAGGTACAGGGGCTCAAGCACTTGGGCCATCTTCCGCTGCTTTCCCAGGTGCATTAGCAGGGAGCAGAGCAGCTGGGACTCAAATCTGCACCCCATGGGGTGCAGCACTACAGGCAGGGGCTTAACCTGTTGTGCCACAGCACTGGCCCTGAAGAGGAAATAAGGCCACAACCAGAGACAGAGAAAGGAAAGCAGGACCCCCCACATCACCTTGCAAAGTGGCTACTTGCAGTTCTCTGGTGAAGCGGCTGCCCACGATTATCCTGTCCAGGGACGGAAGATGTCCTAACCTCTGATTTCTGTGACTCCAGTCACAAATCTGTCCTATCAATCTGCCCCAGGTATCTCTTTTTGTAAACATACTGGACCAGCTGGCTATTGGAAGTGTGGTCTCAAGTCATGTGGACCAGTTCCCCCTAAGTAGTCCTAAGTCACGTAGGCTGAAATTTATTAATTTTTCAAAGATTTATTTATTTGAAAGTCAGAGTTACACACAGAGAGAAGGAGAGACACAGATTGAGAGAGAGAGGTCTTCCATCCACTGGTTTACTCCCCAATTGGTCGAAATAGCCAGAGCTGTGCTGATCTGGTGGCAGGAGCCAGGTGCTTCTCCTGGTCTCCCAGGGGGTGCAGGGCCCAAGCACTTGGGCCATCCTCCACTGCACTCCCTGGCCACAGCAGAGAGCTGGACTGGAAGAGGGGCAACCGGGACAGAATCCAGCGCCCCAACCAGGACTAGAACCCAGTGTGCCATCGCCACAAGGCGGAGGATTGGCCTATTGAGCCGCAGCGCCAGCCTGGGAGCTTCTTTTTAAAAAAATTTTTTTTAATTTATTTATTAGGTAGAGTTACAGAACATGAGAGGAAGATACAGATCTTCTGTCCATTGGGTCACTCCCTAAATGCGCCGATCCGAAGCCAGGAGCTTCTTCCTGGCCTCCCATGCAGGTGCAGGGGCCCAAGGACTTGGGCCATCTTCTACTGCTATCCCAGGCCACAGTAGAGAGCTGGGTTGGAAGAGGAGCAGCTGGTACTAGAACTGGCACCCATATGGGATGCCAGTGCCGCGGTTAAGGATTAACCTTCTGTGCCACAGCGCTGGCCCCAGAGCCAGGAGCTTCTTCTGGGTCTCCCATGCAGGGGCAGTGACCCAAGGGCTTGGGCCATCTTCTACTGCTTTCCCAGGCCACAGCAGAGCTGGATCGGAAGTGGAGCAGCTGGGACTTGAACCAGCGCCCATTTGCTGGCACTGCAGGCAGCGGCTTAACCTGCTATGCCACAGCGCCAGCCCCATAGGCTGCAATTTAAACCCGCCTATGCAGTAATGGTTAAGGCATGATGCTAATGAACTCATAAATATAGGAAAAAAAAAACAGAGATCGAGGCTCAGTGTTAGGAGATGATTCCAGTGAGCCCGCTGGTGTTAATGAACTGTTTCCGACCCTCCACTCAGCCTCTGGTACCTGTTTGAACGAGAATTTCCCAACCCCAGGTTACTATAATACAGTCCAACACCTTTTTTAAAAAAAGTATTTTATTTACTTATTTGAGAGGTAGAATTACAAAGAGAGAGAGAGACAAAGAGAAAGGTCTTCTATCTGCTGGTTCACTCCCAAATGGCTGCAATGGCCAGAGCTGGGCTGAACCGAAGTCAGGAGCCAGGAGCTTCTTCCGGGTCTCCCATGTGGGTACAGGGGCCCAAGGCCATCTTTTACTGCCCTCCCAGGCCCTAAGCAGAGAGCTGGATATGAAGTGGAGCAGCTGAGACACGAATCGGTGCCCATATGGGATGCCCATGCTGCAGGCGGAGGCTTAGCCAACTATGCCAAGCACCAGCTCCCCACTAATACTTTTAAATTCAAATGTACCACAAAGGTAATCAATAATATGGTACCAGCATACAAATAGACATAGCAATTAATGAAATATAATAGAAAGCTCAGAAATAAATGCTAAAATTTATAATCAGTTGCTTTAAAAATAATTAATTAATTATTTGAAAGGCAGAGTTACAGAGAAAGAAATCTTCCACTTCTGGTCTTCCATCCCCAAATGACTGCAACAGCCAAGGCTAGACCAAGCCAAAGCCAGGAGACAGGAACTCCATCTAAGTCTCTTATGTGGGTGGTAGGGGCCCACGCACTCAGGCACCTCCCACCGCCTTTCCAAGTGCATTAGCAGAGAGCTGGATCAGAAGTGGAGCAGCTGGGCACCTGTATGGGATGTCGAGATCACCAGCAGTATCTTAATCTGGTGTACCACAATGCAGCCCCCAATTAAATACTTTTTTAAAAGATTTATTTTTATTTATCTGAGAAGAGTTTAAAAAAATCCATGGGGAAGTCATACTGCTTATCAGCAAATTATGTTGGGACAATTGGATGTTCACATCCAAAAGAATGAAATTGTACCCCTACTTTCTACTCACATATTTACCTCAAAACTGATCAATTATATGTAAGAACTAAAAAGTATAAAACATGTAGAAGAAAACATCTGTAAATCTTTGAGACATTGTATTAGACAATAGTTTACTACATATAACATCAAAAGCACAAGTGGGATCAGGCGTTGTAGTGTAGTGGGTAAAGCCACCGCCTGTGACGCCAGCATCCCATATGGGCGTGAAGAGTTAAAATTGTATATGTGCGGGTGTAAAAAGTTAAGCTTAAGCTTACAGGTTTAAACCTTCCTGGTGCAGCTGTAAAAATAAGACAGAGTGAAGTAACACCTTGGCAGTAGGGACTCCATTTTGGAGCACTTGAGACTCCATTCTGAGAAAGCACCCCCCCACCGTGAGACTCTGGTCTGAAACTATGATCTCAAATAGTCGGACAATAGCAGCGCACTACATCACCCTTGGCAGAGCACAAAAACACCTAGCATGATTGCTCAAGCTTAAAAGTAGAAAGGTTGCACCTGGGTTACCTGGGCTAATAATGAAGATGTGATTTGTCTGTGTCTTACATTAATGTCAAGTCCTAATTGCTAATTGTAATATTGTAACTGGTATTGTCAAGATTATAATAAATATTAATTTCACTTAGGTTTTAGGTTATGTTGACCCCAGTAACCATATACTCTCTTTTGATTTTATGTACTCTCTTTTGATTTTAGCAACTGTGTATAGCAACCATGCATAGCAACCATGTATTCCCCCCTTCCCGGTTTTGTGGTTTTTGCCTTTATAAACCCTAACCTTTGGTTATTCGGGGCTGCTCTGTTCAGGTATGATCAGACAGCCCCAGCATGCTGGATAATCAATAAATCTTTAACCCTCTGCTGGTTGCATGAGAGAAAAGTCTCTTGGAGTCGTTCCTCGGGCGGTGGGCTTTTTCTGACTCTAACAGGCGCCAGTTTGAGTCTTGGTTACTCTACTTCCCACCCAGCTCCCTGCCAACGTGCCTTGGAAAGCAGTGGAAGATGACTCAAGTGCTTGGGTCCCTGCACCCACGTAGGAAACCAGGAAGAAGCTACTGGTTCCAGATTTCAGATTGGCCCAACCCTAGCTGTTGCGGCCATCTGGGGAGTGAACCAGTGGATGGGAGATCTATGCCTCTCAGTCTCTGTCTCTCTCTCTCCCCCTCTGTGACTGTGCCTTTCAAATAAATAAAGACAAATTTCTTAAAAAAAAAAAAAAAAAAAAGCAGGACCAGTGCTGTGGTGTAGCGGGTTAAGCCGCTGTCTATAGCGCCAGCATTCCATATGGGTGCCAGTTTGAACCCCAGCTTCTGATTTGGTTCCCTGTTAGGGCATATGTGAAGCCAGTGGAAGGATGGCTCAACTCCTTGGGCCCCTGCACCCATGTGGGAGATCCTGATGAACCTCCTGGCCCCTGGCTTCAGCCTGTCCCAGCCCTGGTTGTTGCAGCTATTTGGAGAGTGAACCAGTAGATGGAATATCTCTCTCTCCTCTCCCTCCTTCTCCCCCCACCCTGGCTATAGCTCTGAGTTTCAAATAAATATATATTAAAAACAGAAAACAAAACATAAGTGATGGGTGGTATTTGGCCAAGCAGTCAAGATGCTGGTTAGATGCTTATCCCCCATATCCAAGTGCCTCAGTTTGATACCCAATTCTGGCTCCTGATTCCAGCTTCTGGCTGGTTGCAGACAGTGGGAAAGCTCAAGTAACTAGGTTCCTGCCATTCATATGAGTGGACTGAATTAAGTTTCTAGCTCCTGGCTTCAGCCTCAGACAGCCCCAGCAGTCTCTGGAGAATGAATGGGAAATATTTATCTTTCTGTCTCTCTCGCTCCCCTGATTCCTCCTCTCTCCTTGTCAAATAAATACATAAAAAATTAAAGGTTTACTTATGTATTTGAAAGGCAGAGTTACAGAGATAGAGATAGAGATAGAGATAGAGATAGAGGGGCTGGCGCCGTGGCTCAATAGGCTAATCCTCTGCCTTGTGGCGCCGGCACACCGGGTTCTAGTCCCGGTCGGGGCGCTGGCTTCTGTCCCGGTTGCCCCTCTTCCAGGCCAGCTCTCTGCTGTGGCCAGGGAGTGCAGTGGAGGATGGCCCAAGTGCTTGGGCCCTGCACCCCATGGGAGACCAGGAGAAGTACCTGGCTCCTGCCATCGGATCAGCGCGGTGCGTGGTGGCCACTGGAGGGTGAACCAACGGCAAAGGAAGACCTTTTTCTCTGTCTCTCTCTCTCACTGTCCACTCTGCCTGTCAAAAAAACAAACAACAACAACAACAACAAAAAAAAAAAAAACAAAAAAAAAACAACTGCATAGAGGCCAGTGTTGTGGCCCAGCTCGTTAAGCTGCCGCCTATGATACTGGCATCGATATGAGCACCAATTTGAGTCCCAGATGCTCCACTTCTTATCCAGCTCCCTCTAATGCACCTGGGAAAACAGCAGAAGATGGTCCAAGTTCTTGGGGCCATGCCACCCATGTGGGAGACCTGCAAGGAGTTTCAGGCTCCTGGCTTTAGCCTGGCCCAATCCCAGTTGTTGCAGAAGCACCTGGCTCCTGGATACAGCCTGGCCTAGCCCCAGCCATTGTGGGAATTTGGGGAGTGAAGCAGCAGATGGAAGATCTCTGTCTCTCCATCTCTCCCTAACTCTGCCTTTAAAATAAGTAAATCTTCACAAAAATAAAACCTGCATGTATCTCAAAATTCTTTTGAAACAATAGCAATATCTTTTAATTAAATTTTTCGTGAACATTTTGGGCTACTCTTTTATATAAACTACAAACAATTATATAAAAATAACAACAATGATGACAACATTCAGGAGGTGGTTGGCTCTGGCTTAGAAGGCAGGGGAGTGAGATGGCTAACAATAAAAAAAAAAAGCTAGATGTAAATTACTGTCAAGATCCTGGTTATGAGGCCAGTGCCATGGCGCAGTAGGTTAATCCTCCGCCTGCAGTGCCAGCATCCCGTATGGGCACCGGTTCTAGTTCCAGGTGCTCCTCTTCCAATCCAGCTCTCTGCTGTGGCCTGGAAAAGCAGTAAAGGATGGCCCAGGTCCTTGGGCCCCTGTACCTGCATGGGAGACTGGGAGGAGGCACCAGGTTCCTGGCTTCGGATCGGCGCAGCTCTGGCTGTTGCAGTCATTTGGGGAGGCTCCATTGGAAGGGAGACCTTTCTCTCTGTCTCTCTCTCTCAGTCTGTAATTACCTCTCAAATAAATAAATAAAAAATTTTTCAAAAAAAAGATCCTGGAGCCGGCGCCGTGCTCACTAGGCTGATCCTCCACCTTGCGGCGCCGGCACACCGGGTTCGAGTCCCGGTTGGGGCACCGGATTCTGTCCCGGTTGTCCCTCTTCCAGGCCAGCTCTCTGCTGTGGCCAGGGAGTGCAGTGGAGGATGGCCCAGGTGCTTGGGCCCTGCACCCCATGGGAGACCAGGAGAAGCACCTGGCTCCTGCCATTGGATCAGCGCGGTGCGCCGGCTGCAGCGGCGGCCATTGGAGGGTGAACCAACGGCAAAGGAAGACCTTTCTCTCTGTCTCTCTCTCTCACTGTCCACTCTGCCTGTCAAAAAAAAAAAAAAAAAAAAAAAAAAAAAAAAGATCCTGGTTATATTATTGAATGCACATTACATTATTAGGAAGAAACAAACTTGTTTGAAGACAGCCATGTATGGATGAGACATATAAATAAGAAAATATATAATTCTTTATGCATTCCACAAAGGAAATAAATATTACTAAATAAGTAGGTTAAAGTTCAAGTTAAATAAAATGCATAATCTCATAACATGAATTTTTAAAATATTTTAGTGAACAGAATTGTATTTAATACTTCACATTAATCTAAGAAATCTTAAATTCCCAAATCATAATTTTTTAAAGATTGATTTATTTGAAAGGCAGAGTCACACAGCAGCAGAGGCAGAGAGAGAGAGAGAGAGATCTTTCATCAGCGGGTTCACTTCCCAAATGGCCACAATGGCAAGAGCTAGGCTGATCTGAAGCCAGGAACCAGGAGCTTCTTCCAGGTCCCCCATGAGGGGGCAGGACTTGGACCATCTTCTGCTACCTTCCCAGGCACACAAGCAGGGAGCTGGATTGGAAGTGGAGCAGCCAGGACTTGAACCAGTACCCATATGGGATGCTGGCACTGCAAGAGGTGGCCTTATCTGCTATGCCACAGAGCCAGCCCCCTCAAATCATAAATTTTTAAAAATAATAATTTTAAGAATTTAAGCTTTGTAGATATAAAGGAATACAGTTTATCACTGTTGATTCCATATACACTGAACCATGCCATCATAACCCAAACTATATGGACATCTTTTTCCAAGGGAAATTTTATTTTATGTTTTAAGAGATTTTATTTATTTGAAAAGCAGAATTACAGAGAGAGAGTAAGAGACACATAAACAAACATGCAGAGAGAGGGAGGGTGGGAGAGATAAACAGAGAGAGAGAAAGAGAATCTTCTAACCACTGGTTCACTCCCCAAATGGCTGCAATGGCTGGGGCTGGGCCAAACTAAAACCAAGAGCCAGGGCTTCATAGAGGTAGCCCATGTGGGTGCAGGGGCCCAAGAATTTGGACTATCTTCCACTGATTTCCCAGGTGCATTAGCAATAAGCTGAATGTGAAGTGGAGTAGCCAGACATGAACCAGGCTCATATAGATGCCAGTGTTGCAGATGGTGGCTTAACCTGCTTGGGCCACATCACTGGCTCCCCAAGGAAAATTTTAACTGCATATAATGTGGAAAAATAAAATTAAATTGATTATTTATTATGGATTTTTTATAATTTCCACTTACCAAAGCATTACGTTAAATGTTATAAAGTTTGGAATCACCATTGTGGTAGAGCAGGTTGAGCCACAGCTGCGACACCAGCATTCCAAATGAATAGCTGCTTGGAGTCCTGGCTGCTCCACTTCTGATCCAGCTCCCTGCTAATGTACCTGGGAGAGCATCAGAAGATGACCTGAGTATGTTGACTCCTGCCAACCTCATGGGAAGCCTTGATGGAGTTCCAGGCTCCAGGCTTTGACCTGGCCCAGCCCTGGCCACAGTGGCCATTTGAGGAGTGAACCAACAGAGGAAGGATGGAAGCTCTCTTGTCTCCCTCTCTATAGCACTTTCAAATAAATAAATAAACCTTTAAAAATAAAACAATGTGTAAATATTGAGATCAATATCTTTTAGATTTTATAACTATAAAGCCCAAAAGAATTTATCACCTTATAATCAGTACCCTAATAAAATATATTATACTTTCAGACACTATTAGCATATTTTAAGTATCATGAAGTATTATGTTAGAGAGCACTGCTATATCAGTAGGTATGAGAAGGCAAGAAAGATAAGAATCATCAAAGAAATTTCAAGACATATATGTATTAATGGATATCTACTCAATGTCAACTGTACATTCATTTGGGATATTCTGAATTTAAAACAAATAAAAATATAGTCCCATAAGTGGTTAAAATAATTTGAAAAATTTTATGAAGAATCATGTCTTTATTTCCAAATATTAACTATATATTCAAAATATACATATCTTTACTTCCAAGTACAAAGTTATTGAAAAGTGTAAGCCAACATTGCTGGAACATGAGGACAGAAATAGATGTGGTGATACAACTGATAGTATTTTATTTTACTACTTTTTAAGATTTATTTATTTATTTATTTGAAAGGCAGAGTTAGAGAGAGAAGAGACAGAGATCTTCTTTCTGCTGGTTCACTCCCCAGGCCAAAGCCAGGAGCCAGGAGCTTCTTCCATGTCTCCTAACTGCATGCAGGGGCTCAAGCACTTGGGCCATCTGCTGCTGCTTTCCCAGGCACAAAAGCAGGAAGATGGAGTGGAAGTGGAGCAGCTGGGTTTTGAACCAGCAACCATATGGGATGCTGGTGCTGCAAATGGCAGATTTACCCGCTGTGCCACAGCACCAGCCCCGAGCATAAATACTGAGTTAAAGGAAAAGTCCATCCCAAAACATTAACCTAAACCACATTACACTGAAGGGGTTATACACTTTTATTAAGTTTCTACACTACAATGGCAGGTTTGGGTACTCATAACAGAAATAGTATGTCTCACAAAGACTAAAGTATTCACTATCCAACCCTTTGCAGGAAAAATTTGCACAGTGTTGTTCTAGAAGGTTTGGCATTTTTTTCTTGGTCACTCTTAAAATTTCAGTTGTGTAAATATATAGCTAAAGAATAGGAAACACAATATAAAAATATATCTGATTGAGGGCCAGCGCTGTGGCGCAGCAGGTTAATGCCCTAGCCTGAAGGGCTGGCATCCCATATGGGTGCCAGTTCTAGTCCTGGCTGCTCCACTTCTGATCCAGCTCTCTGCTATGGCCTGGGAAAGCAGCAGAAGATGGCCCAAGTCCTCGGGCCCCTGCACCCGCATGGGAGACCAGAAAGAAGCTCCTGGCTCCTGTCTTTGGATCGGCACAGCTCTGGCCGTTGCAGCAAATTGGGGAGTGAGCCATCGGATGGAAGACCTCTCTTTCTGCCTCTCCTCTCCGTGTAACTCTTTCAAATAAATAAATAAATCTTTAAAAATAAATTATACATATATATATCCGATTCTTGGGGTTCGCACTGTGGCACAGTGGGTTAAGCCACTGTCTGTGGCACCGGCATCCCGTATGGGCACCAGTTCAAGTCCTGGTTGCTCTACTTCCAATCCAGTTCCCTACTAATGAGCCTGGGAAAACAGTGGAGGACGGCACAAGTGCTTGGGCCCCTGCACACACTAGAGATCCCAAAGAAAATAAGTTTTTTGTTTTTGTTTATTTTCATCTACTTGAAAGCTGGAAAGAGAAACCTTCCTTCCTCTGATTCACTTCCCAGGTGCTCTGAAGAGCTGGCGCTGGGCCAGGCCAAAATCAGGAGCCCAGAACTTAATTCAGGGATTCAAGTGCTTGAACCATCTCCTGCTGCCTCCAGAATGTGTTAGCAGGAAGCTGGGTTAGAAGAGAGCAACTGGGAGTTGAAATAGCACCACGTAGTGGATGTGAGCACCCAGCTTTACAGGTTGGTTTGTTGTTTATGCTGTTGTTTTTTAAGATTTATTTATTTACTTGAAAGTCAGAGTTAGAGAGAGAGAGAGAAAGTCTTCCATCCGCTGGTTCACTCCCCAACTGGCCACAACAGCTGGAGCTGTGCCAATTCAAAGCCAGGAGCTTCTTCCGGGTCTGCCATGTGGGTGCAGGGGCCCATGGACTTGGGTCATCTTCTACTGCTTTCCCAGGCCATAGCAGAGAGCTGGATCGGAAGTGGAGCTGCGGAGACTGAACCCAAATGGGATGCCAGCACTGAAGGTGGCAGCTTTACCAGCTAAGTCACAGTGCTGGCCCATGGTTTGTTTTTTAATCTTTACACTTAAAAGATTAGACAACTTGGCTGGTGCCGCGGCTCAATAGGTTAATCCTCCGCCTGTGGCGACGGCAGCCCGGCTTCTAGTCCTGGTCGGGACGCCGGATTCTGTCCCGGTTGCTCCTCTTCCAGTCCAGCTCTCTGCTGTGGCCCGGGAAGGCAGTGGAGGATGGCCCAAGTGCTTGGGCCCTGGACCCGCATGGGAGACCAGGAGAAGCACCTGGCTCCTGCCTTCGGATCAACGCAGTGCAGCACACCGGCCGTAGCGGCCACTGGGGGGGAACCAACAGAAAAAGGAAGCCCTTTCTCTCTCTCTCTCTCTCTCTCACTGTCCACTCTACCCGTAAAAAAAAAAAAAAAAAAGGTTAGACAACTTGTCTCTGGAGAAATTTGATTGGAAATTGTCTTGTGCTATTTTCCCCCATACTCACTCCCCCAGTCTCCTTGGGTGTCAAGGACTTTGCTCTTTTGAAAGCTTCTCCTGTGAACTTTGTGCACACCCACTGCTCCAGTGTCTACAAAAGTAACCCAACAGGCCATTGGCTATGTGCACAGCTGATTGATCTTTGGCTTCCACAGGGTTTATCTTTTTTTTTTTTTAAACCAAAAAAAAAAAAAAAAAAATCAGAACAGCCATTTAAAATCAGGAAGTATCTATAACACATTTAAAATGTAAGATGAGCACTTGGCCTCACAGTTAGGGTGAAGTTTTAGATCCCACCTCCCATACTGGAGTGCCTGGGTTCAATTCCCAAATCCAGCTCCAAATTCCAGCTTCCTGCCAACGCAGGCCCTGAGAAGCAGCAGGTGATGGCTCAGTGGTTGGGTCCCTGCCACCCACGTGGGAGACCCAGATTGAGTTCCTGGCTCCTGGCTTTGGCCCAGCCCAGTCCTGGCTATTATGGACATTTGTGAAATGAACCAGCATATAGAAGCTCTCTTGCTGTCTCTCTCAAAAAGGTTTTTATCAAAATACACATTTCTGGATATTCTCAGAGTCAGCAGAATGCAAAATGGAACCTGTATTTCCACATAACATCACAACTAGCTAGAACTGGGCACTGAGCATTCTCTTCAGGTATTGTCCCAATCAGGGTCATTTTCATTATTCTCTTAATAGAAACAGTATGTTAATTTTTAGGGTGCATCCATTAATCTTCATAGCCGACAACTAAGAATAGTTTTCTTGTGTCATACCAATGCATTTCTGACAATATATTGGAATGGTACTAGGTGTCATTTCTACATAATTGAAACAATTCAGGGCTGGTGATGTGGAGTGGTGGGTAAAGCTGCCTCCTGCTGCGCTGGCAACCCATAACAGTGCTGGTACACGTCTTGGCTGTTCCACTTCCAATTCAGCTTTCTGCTATGGCCTGGGAAAACAGCGGAAGATGGCCCAGGTTGTTGGGCCCCCACATCCTTGTGAGAAACCCAGAAAAAGTTCCCGGCTCCGGGCTTCAGATCAGCCCAGCTATGGCCATTGTGGCTACTTGGGGAGTGAACCAGCAGATGGAAAACCTCTCTCTCTCTCTCTCTCCTCTCCCCCACCCCCCGCCTCTGCTTCTCTGTAACTCTGCTTCCAAACAAATAAAGCAATCTTTAAAAGAAAAAATTCCTCACAAGCTTCGTAAAGTTTTCCTTAAAAAGGAATTAAGTTCAGTGCTTTGTCAGTAATAGACAATTGATCCCACAGTTTTTTCCTGTATGGTGTTTTTTTTTTTTTTTTTAATCAGTACTGGTAACACGGTATTTTCCTAAAAATCCCTCTGTTTTAGGTTTTCAAATGCATCAGGAATTGTATTCAGTAGAACATTTTAAAACTCTAACTATAAGGTATCTTTCTATCCATTTTTCAAACATAATGCTGTTTGCCTTTCCACGATTTCTATTCAGGATAACCAATGTTTTGTCTATATTCTGGATTATTTTTACCGTAGGTATTACAGGATGTTGCAAAAAGGACGCCAATCTGAATGAAATTCTTCCTACATATTATCCTCACTACTTTCCCACCAACATCCAGGATTGTATTTATTTATTTATTTTTTTGACAGGCAGAGTGGACAGTGAGAGAGAGAGACAGAGAGAAAGGGCTTCCTTTGCCGTTGGTTCACCCTCCAATGGTCGCCGCGGCCAGCGCGCTGCGGCCAGTGCACCACGCTGATCCGATGGCAGGAGCCAGGTACTTATCCTGGTCTCCCATGGGGTGCAGGGCCCAAGTACTTGGGCCATCCTCCACTGCACTTCCTAGGATTGTTATTATTATTTTAAAAGAGCATTTATTTTGAAAGTCATTTAGAGAGAGAGAGAGAGAAAGAATCATGTACCCACTGGGTCACTCCCCAGATGGCCACAATGGCCAGGCCAAAACCAGGAGCCCGGAGCTTCATCTGGGTCTCCCACAGGGTTAGCAGGGGCTTGATCACTTGGGCCATCCTGTGGTACTTTTCTTAGGCTGCTAGCAGAGAGCTGGATCGGAAGTGGAGCAGTCAGGACACGAACTGGTGCCCATATGGGATGCCGGTGTCATAGGCAATGCCTTTACCTGCTACATCACAATGCTGGCCCCCTAACATCCAGGATTATTAATTTCATGTTCAATAGGAAATAAGTATTGATAGAAACTTTTCCTAATCCATTACTCTCAAAGAGTTTTTCTTTAAATAAATACTTTGTCTAATAGTGAGTAATCTGCAGAAAGTCATAAAACCTTTCAACAAATAATACTGATGACAATGATGACTGTCACAATGACTAATATTCAGTAATTATGTATTTATTATACGGCAGACACAATTCTAAGCACTGGTCTGTTAACTCATTTAGTCCTGACAAAACATTATGAGGTAGGTATTATAATTATCTCCACTTTATAATAATCATCAAGACATTTATCCATAAAACAAAGAAAAATGATCAGAAAGGCTAAGTAAAAAAATTGATGACTATCGTTTGGAAAGGGAAATAGGTATAAGAATGGCAATCTAAAAGAATGTCTGTCTCTTATAATCTTTACATTTTTAATAAGGAAAATGTATTCACTTTTTTTTTTTTTTTTTTGACAGGCAGAGTGGACAGTGAGAGAGAGAGACAGAGAGAAAGGTCTTCCTTTTCCATTGGTTCACTCTCCAATGGCCGCCGCGGCTGGCGCGCTGCGGCCGGCACACTGCCCTGATCCCAAGGCAGGAGCCAGGTGCTTCTCCTGGTCTCCCATGGGGTGCAGGGCCCAAGCACCTGGGCCATCCTCCACTGCACTCCCTGGCCACAGCAGAGAGCTGGCCTGGAAGAGGGGCAACCAGGACAGAATCCGGTGCCCCGACCGGGACTAGAACCCGGTGTGCCGGCACCGCAAGGTGGAAGATTAGCCTATTGAGCCACAGCGCCGGCCTCATTTATTATTTTTGTAATTCAAGCAGAAGACATGATTCGAAGATGTGCCTAGGGAGAACAACTATCAAGGACATGTAATTACTACTTGACATGTATTATTAAACTGATGAGAACAGATACCCAACTTGATCTTAGCCAACAGGCCGAGAAGCTATTGGCATGTATTACGGCAAAATACTGGAGGAAACTTCAGTGTTCATCAATAGGGATTCGATAAAACTATATCATGGTGGTACAATGAAACAGCTTGAAGATATTAAAAGATCTGTTTACTGAGTGCACAGTTGTTCATATACATATATGAAAACTTTAAATTTATAAAGAGCAAATCTTTAAAAATAAAAAAGGGCATACTTCTTGCAGATATTAAACAAACCATTATGTAAGCAGATGATTTCTATAGTCACATAAACTTTTAGATTAAAATATTAAGCATATAACAATTACAGACAACATATGGAGAAAAAGAAAATTAAAATCACATGATTGGAGCTGGCGCTGGGGGGTAACGGATAAAGCCACCGTCTGCAATGCCTGCATCCCATGTGAGCGCCAGTTCAAGTACCAGCTGCTCCACTTCCAACCCAGCTCTCTGCTATGGCCTGGGAAGGCAGTGGAAGATGGCCCAAGTCCTTGGGCCCTGCACCCATGTGGGAGACCTGGAAGAAACTCCTTACTCCTGGCTCCTGATCGGGGCAGCTCCGGCTGTTATGGCCAATTGGGGAGTGAACCAGCAAATGGGAAGACCTCTCTCCCTCTTTCTGCCTCTCTTCTCTCTATGTAACTTTGATTTTCAAATAAATAAATAAATCTTTAAAAAAAAAACACATATTACATTTCCAGATGAATTCTCTGATGTTTAAGGTTATAAAGATGTTTGAAGTGCTGTCTTTACTAGACTGAAGAACCTGATGTCAAGAGAAACAGGAGTTTTTGGGCTTCAGAAATTTCTTTTATTCATAGGGTGTTTTTCTACATGGTTCTTCTTGGGCTTCATAAGCTGTAGTTAACACATCAAATGTTCCTATTTTTAACAAGATAAATTCTCTGTGAACAGTTTTGAGCCATATTAAAAGCTTTCCACGTTTCATATATTCTGGCTTATCACCAGTACAAATTTTGGTGCTGAATAAGTTGTGAGCCATAGTTAAAGTTCTTTCCACATTCCCTATATTCATAGGATTTCTCACCAGTATGAATTCTATGATGACTAATAAGCTGCGAACTCTGAGAATAGGCTTTCCCACATATCTTACATTCATAGGGCTTCTCACCAGTGTGAATTCTCTGGTGTCTAGTAAGGTCTGAACCAGAACGAAAAGCCTTTTCACATTCCTTACATTCATACGGTTTCTCACCTGTGTGGATTCTTTGATGCTTAATAAGTTGTGAGCTCTGACTAAAGGCATTCCCACACTCCTTGCATTCATAGGGTTTCTCGCCAGTATGAATTCTTTGATGTTGAGTAAAGTTTGAACCACTACTAAAGGCCTTCCCACATTCTTTACATTCGTAAGGCTTCTCACCAGTATGAATTCTCTGATGCCGGGTAAAGTTTGAACCACTACTAAAGGCTTTTCCACATTCCTTACATTCATAGGGTTTCTCACCAGTGTGAATTCTGTGATGTCGTGTAAGGTCAGAGCCACAAATAAAGGTTTTCCCACAATCCTTACATTCAAAGGGTTTCTTGCCAGTATGAATTTTCTGATGATGAGTGAGTCTCGAGGGATGTCTGAAGGCCTTTCCACAGTCCTTACATTCATAGGGCTTCTCAATGCTATGAATTATCTGATGAGCAGTAAGCTGTGAGCCAGGTCTAACGGTTTTCCTGTATTCTTTAGTTTCACAGTATTTCTCTTTACTATTAATGATTTGTTGCAATGTAAAAGATGGATGCTTACTGAAGGCGGACAGGTCTTCCTGAGTGATCAGCAGCTGACTGAAACGTCTCTTCTGAGAGCCATGTAGTTTCCCAAACTGGTCATCACATTCCCAATCGCCTCTGAGCCCAGAACACGGAAGGTCTCGCCTGGTGAGTCTCTGCATTATCTCCCACTGGGCTGACTCGATTTCACACATCTCCTTCTTCAGGAAGAATTTCTTAGTCTCACAGCTTGATTCTAGGACGGGAAGGAAACAGAAAAGCAATCGCACATTTTTTTTCTTAAGAGAAGTGAAGTTTCAATTAAAGTGGGAGAATTAAACTGAATTTTTCAAAAATGGGTGAGAAAAGAGGGAGACAGAGGTGAAGTTACGTGGTATGATGAGGACAGTGATGAGGAAAACAAAGCCACAGTTACTAAACTTTCCTATACATCCCGATTACTCAGGGAAGGCTGCAAAATATACACATGCCTTAGTCTTACCTCCAGTGGTACAGCGTGACTGGAACCTCAGATACACACACACACACAGCCCAGCACCCCACAGCATGAACTTTAAAATACGGGACATGATTTTTACTACTGATCAGGGCTGTTGACAGAAAGATATGTACATGCCTAACAGAAAACTTCTCAGAGGCTGGCATATTATGGACTATGGTCATGTGGTTGCTTTCATAAATTACGTTTTTGTCGCTCCCCCTCTTCATGGAGGAACGACACTAAACCCTGCCTAGGCTTCATATCCGAGTCACGGCACCATTATGTCGCTCCCTGTCTTCGTGGAGGAGCGACACTGAACCCTGCGCTGTTCTTTCGTTTGCTCGGCCCTTCCCGGGTTTGCTGCTGGTTCTTCCCGGGTTGGCTACTATCCCTTCCACCTCCGTGGAAGGGCAGTTCCCCCTGCCACTTTCCTCACTTCCGCAGGGGAGCGGCACACCACTGGCCGGCTCTCTTGGGGGCTGCACAGGTGTTCCTTCAGATAGATGTTCCTGGTGCATGTTGTCTCTCTCCTCCTTTATAGTCCTCTTCCACCAATCCCAACTCTGCTACCCACATGCCGAGTACGCTGCTCTCCTCCAATCAGGAGCAGGATCAGCTCCTGCAGGTCATCACTCAAGCTGGCGAGAGGCAGCTGTGTAGAAGTTGTTACTCCCTTCTCAGCGCCATATTGTGGGAAAGCAGATGCATAGAATAAGTCTTAATTCCAGTAACTTAGTCTAGTCCGAGTTCCCCACAGTTTTAGTGGAACACAGCCACATTTATTATGTAGTGTGTATAGCAGTTTTAAGGTACAATGGCAGAAGTAGGTAGTTATGACAGACTGCATGGACTACAGGCCTAAAATACTATCTGGCCTTGTACAAGAAGCTTGCCAGTCTCTGGTTAGATCTGCATTATCCAATACAGTTACCATTAGCTACATGTGGCTATTTAAATTTAAAATAATTAAAAGTTCAAATTCATTTCCTCAAACTATTCACATTTGCAGTGTTTGACAGCCAAAGCAGAAATCACAAACATAACATACTTCCATCATCAGTTGAAATGTTGTATTTCATAGCACTAGTCTAGATTCCATAAATGGAGGGCCAGGGGCTCTTTAACAAATGATAAAGAAACAGAGGGTGGCAACCCAGGTATGAAATTATCTTAAGAAAAAGTATTGAGCCTGGTGCTGTGGCACAGTAAACTAAACCTCCACCTGTGGTGCCAGCATCCCATATGGGCACCATTTAGTGTCCTAGCTGCTCCTCTTCCGATCCAGCTCTCTGCTATGGCTTGGGAAAGTAACAGATGATGGTCCAGGTCCTTGGATCCCTACACCCTTGTGGGAAACACAGAAAAACTCCTGGCTCCTGTGGCCATTTGTGGAATGAACTGGCAGATAGAAAATCTCTGTCTCCCCCTCTATGTAATTCTTTTTTTTTTTTTTTTAAAGATTTATTTATTTGAAAGTCAGAGTCACAGAGAGAGAAGGAGAGGCAGAGAGAGAGAGAGGAGAGAGGTCTTCCATCCACTGGTTCCACTCCCCAGTTGGTTGCAATAGCTGGAGTTGTGCCAATCCGAAGCCAGGAGCAAGGAGCTTCCTCCGGGTCTTCCCACACAGGTGCAGGGGCCCAAGGACTTCGGCCATCTGCTACTGCTTTCCCAGGCCACAGCAGAGAGCTGGATCGGAAGTGGAGCAGCTGAGACCCGAACTGGCATCCATATGGGATGCTGGCACTGCAGGCGGGGGCTTTACCCACTATGCCACAGCGCCAGCCCCTATAGGACAAGTTTTAACTGCATGGAAAACAAAGAATCATATAAGAAATAAAATGTGACTACAGAGCTCACTAGTAGAAACTATTTACAGGGGCCAGTGTTGTGGTACAGTGTGTTAAGCAGCTACCTACAATGCCAGCAACCCACATGAGTGCTGATTCTAGTCCCAGCTGCTCCAATTCTAATCCAGCTATCTACGAACTCATCTGGGAAAGCACTGGAAAATGGCCCAAGTGCTTGGGCCACTTTATTTATTTGAAAGAGTTGCAGAGAAAGGTAGAGACAGAGAGAGAGGTGTTCCATCCGATGGGTCACTCCCCACATGGCTGCAACGGCCAGAGCTGTGCTAATCCTCCACCTGTGGCGCCGGCACCCCGGGGTTCTAGTCCCAGTTGCGGCGCCGGTTCTGTCCTGGTTGCTCCTCTTCCAGTCACAGCTCTGCTGTGGCCCGTGAAGGCAGTGGAGGATGGCCCAAGTGCTTGGGCCCTGCGCTCACATGGGAGACCAGGAGGAGGTACCTGGCTCCTGGCTTTGGATCGGCGCAGCACAACAGCCGTAGCGGCTATTTGGGGGGTGAACCAACAGAAGGAAGACCTTTCTCTCTGTTTCTCACTAACTCTGCCTGTTAAAAAAAAAAAACAAAAAAACAAAAAAACAAAAAAAACTATCCTAAGCAAAAATGAATACATCAAATCTATATGCATAAAGTTGTCTACCAGAATGATGTTTTTGCAAACAAGCATTGGAAAGAAGTCTAAATATAAAAGTACAAATACTTGAACTGTGCTAAAAGAAAAAAAATTCTAAGGGAAAACACATGTAACTATAATTACATACTCTATCTCATCTTTATGAGTTCCTTCTCTATTTCGCTGTCTGCTGCACACACATTTCCTTGCACACCTTCGTCATTCTGTAGGCCTGTGGACTCTGGGCGCTCAGGGCGCCGTCTTTATCTCATCTGTACTCACTACCAGGAAGCTCCTCAATCAACGCCTACCTAAACTCAGTGCTCTTCACTGTTTGGCTCCCTCTGCTGGAAACCATATACAATGACTTACCATTTATACTTCAGATTTCTACCCAAATGCTACCCTGTCAACCAAAGTTTCTCTTAGAATCTCACAAAAAACAGCCCCCTCTATGCCATTTCTCTATTTTTTTGTTAACACTTACTATTACCTGAAACATTACATAGTTGTTATTTTTTTCTTTTTCCAAGCTCTGGAGGGTAAGTTCTGGGAACAGAGGTTTGGCACATTTTATTCACTATTATAACCTCAGTTTTGAGAGAAGTGCTAAACATATATAATAGGTACTCAATAAGCATACATTGGATGAATGTGCTGTACTGGTTTTCCTCCTTAATACTAAATTTCTCTTTGTCAGCTTTAACATCTCCATGGAGACACAGCCCTCTATTTTTGACACTGTCTAAAGTGGATGACCTACACCCAAACCTCTCCCTGTGACTTCCACATGGATCAACTCCTCCTCTACATCATTGGCATTTATTTTCTGCTAAGTTCTCTATTTTAACTTATGATGCTTCTACTTTGTAGAAGTTAATATTTATAGACATGTTATAGTACTCCTAAGCTATAAATTCTGAAGTTGGATATTCCTTTTTTATTCTCTGCAGCAAATAGCTCATATATGTTAGAAAATCAGGGGCTGGCGCCAGAGCACAGTAGGTTAATCCTCCGCCCGTGGTACCCTTAGGACTAGCATAGTTCCGGCCATTGCAGCCATTTGTGGGGTGAACCAATGGAAGGATGACCTTTCTGTCTCTCCCTCTCACTGTCTGTAACTCTACCTTTGACTTTCAAATAAATAAATAAATAAATCTTTTTTTAAAAAAAGTCTTATGCTTGCACAATAAGCTCGAAGATGAAGTCTCTCCATTGACCAATTAGGTCAGTACCTACCACACCTCACTTACCTGGCCACTGACTTCTTGTTAGCTCTCTGCTAACCAACCAGGGCTCCTTCCCTTGCTCCAAGCAGGAGATCACATTTGGTTTGGAAATGGAATATCCTACTTACAAAAAAAAGTAATGAGATAAATTTAGAATGAGATTCCAGAATTCAAATCTACTCCCTTCATTTATTAAGACAGTCATGTTATTACAGAAGAGTCAAAGAAAAGTACAACTGTCTCATGAAATGTAACAGAAGATCTGAAATTTCTCCCAGAATTCAATGTAGTTTCTCTTTTTATCTCTACTATATTTAGGACATTTCTGTGGAGACAGAATTATAGAAACTCAACTGTTTTTTCAAAGATGGGAGAACACTTCACTTTGGGGTTAGCAGATCTTCCTGAGTAATTCTGGACAGATGTCCTTACCCATCGAAACCAGGTTGCTGTAATTCTCCAGCATCACATTTCTGTATAGAGTTCTCTGATCATCACTCAGGTATTCCCACTCCTCTTGAGAGAATTCTACCGATACATCACTGAACACCACCGACTCCTGGAACAACAAGCAAGCGTGTGACTTGATTAATAAAAAGTGTTTTCATGAAGGTAAGAGAGAAAGAAGATTAAGGTAGAGGAAGTGAAATACAGTGAGCATATGAATGCCTGGGATGGAAGCGGAGGACTGCAAACAGAAAACCACAGCTGGGTCACTGTGCCTCCACGGCATTCTGCTTCTCCAGACAAAACTGCCTATGTAGAGCGAGGTGCTTCCATTAATCAAAGAAGGCTGGGAAAGTACACAATCTAGGCCAGAGGAGTTTCCCAGGTAAATGAAGTTGTACATATGAGGCCCAGCGCAGTACCCTTCTTGCAGTAAATCATCTGTGTATGCGCTTCTCCTCCTCCTTTTCCCAACAGCTAAGAGTAAGATCTCAGGATAAGGCACAAAGACAAGACACTGAAAGCTTCTAAAGAGCAGGTCAGATACAAGGCATCAGGAATCAGAGGCAATGGATTTTGAAAAATGTCTACAAAAGTAGGAAATTGCAAGAAAAATCCTCAGAGAAAAAAATTTGACCTAGAATTCTACAACCAAACTATCAATCTGTTTTGTTTTGTTTCTGAGATTTATTTGTTTATTTGGTTTTATTTATTTGACAGAGTTTGACAGTGAGAAAGAGAGACAGAAAGGTCTTCCTTCCGTTAGTTCACCCCCCAAATGGCCGCTACAGCCAGAGCTACGTCGATTCGAAGCCAGGAGCCAGTTGCTTCTTCCTGGTCTCCCAAGCAGGTGCAGGGGCCCAAGCACTTGGGCCATCCTCCACTGCCTTCCCGGGTCACAGAAGAGTTGGACTGGAAGAGGAGCAACTGGAACTAGAACCCAGTGCCAATAAGGGATGCCGGCACCTCAGGTGGAGGATTAACCAAGTGAACCACAGTGCAGGCCAAGATTTATTTATTAATTTGAAAGTCAGAGTTAAACAGAGAGAGAGCAGAGGCAAAGAGCAAGCGAGAGAAGTCTTCCATCCGCTGGTTCACTCCCCAATTGGCTGCAATGGCCAGAGCTGTGCCAATCCAAAGCCAGGAGCCTGGAGATTCTTCCGGGTCTCCCATGTGGGTGCAGGGGCCCAAGGACTTGGGCCATTTTCCGCTGCTTACCAGGCCATAGCAGAGAGCTGGATCAAAAGTGGAGCAGCTGGGACTCAAATCAGCACCCATATGGTGCTGCAGCCAGTGGCTTTACCCACTACACCACAGCGTAGGCCCCTCAATCTGTTTTAAATGTTGAAAAAAGACATTCCTAGACATACAAAGATTGAACCCACTAGAAGATGAAAACTAGAAGATTGAAAACTAGAAGATGTGCTCTATCAAAATGAGGGAGTAAACCAGAAAAGGGGATGTCAGGAGAACAGGTAATGTATAGAAAGCAATGAAAGAAAAACCAGGGAAAACAATAGGAAAACTCAGAAAAACTGTGCAGCAGGTCTAGAAAGTAAACAGACAAGATATGGGCAAAGAGACAAAGGGAATGAGGAAGGAAGTCTGTATGTTCAAAAGGAACCAATGTGCTCAACTAGATGGATAACTTAGCTATGGGATGTGGCAGTAATATTGGAGATTTTGGATATAAATACACAGGAGACTAAGCAAATGGAGAAAAATGGTGATTAACTTCAGGAAAATAAAAGGCTGCATTAATACATGGCAAATAAAAGACTATATTAGAATAACACCATGAACTGGCTTAGCAGAGCACAATATCCAAAGCTATAATAATGTGAACATTAATAGAGAATGAAATTCACTCGGCAGTACATCAAGAGATAATGAGTAGGGGCTAGCACTGTGGCATAGTAGGGTAAGCCTCTGCCTGTGGTGCTGGCATCCCATATGGGCACCAGTTGAAGGCCCAGCTGCTCCACTTCTGATCCAGCTCCCTGCTGAAGGCCTAAGAAGGCAATGGAAGATGGCCCACATCCTTGGGCTCCTGCATCCACACGGGAAACCAGGAGGAGGCTCCTGGCTCCTGGCTTTGGATTGGCCCAGTTCTGGCCATTGCAGCCAATTGGGAGTGAGCCAGTAGATGGAGGACTTCTCTTTCTGTCTTTCCCTCTCTCTGTCTGTAACTCTGCCTCTCAAACAGATAAATAAATCTTTAAAAGAGCGAGATAATGCGTAAAATGAGTACCAACAATAGTAATTAAATCATATTCAAGATTTGATGACTAGCCTCCTGGGAGTGGGACTGATGATGAGATGACACCAGAATAGTACTGTTTCCCTTGTAAACATGTGTAAAAGGACTTGAAAAAATATTTTAGCTCAGGTAATTGAATTTTCATATAATTGAAGACTGATCCAATCTCAAGTCACACTATTACAACACACTTATTACAACAAATGTTTTTATTTACGTATTTTTTTCATTGAAGACTATCCTATACTACAGATACAAATAACAACTTTTCTTTTTGCATTTAGATATTTAGGTAGGAAGTGATTTTTAAAGACCTCCTCAACATTGGTCCATTCTTATTTATATCCAGCCACTGACAAATTGTAAAGTCCCCTTGTTCCTGAACTACAGGAAGTTGATGGAGAACGATCAGATTGACACAATGGCATTACTGATGTCAATTCTTCATGATGCTTAGGGGGCCATCACAGCTTTGTACCAACCACCAGTCACATCCCAAAATTCAAAAGCTTTTAAATTAGGAAATCCTGCAATATCTTAAGACTCAAATCAAACAAAACCATCACATATATCATCTTAGTAGAAAACCCAGGTCTGTAGAGATAATTGGGTTTTTCCAAATGAAGTACCCTTAATCACTCATTCCTATCCCATGAAATCACTGTCTAAGCAAATTAGATTCACCAACTAAACAAGTGAAATATATTATATATTTCTGTTGTATCAGGATTTCTGGCGAGGTCTCAGATAGCAGGAACGACTTAGTACAATAGTATATGAGCGCTGTTTAAAAGAAAGGGGAACTGCAGAAGGCACTGGGTTGTTTAGGAAAAAATAGGAGTCAAGTTATTAAGCACTCTGGTAGGTAACCAGAGTAAATAATCAATCTATGTCGGATCATTTTATTTATTTATTTATTTTGACATGCAGAGTTAGAGAGAGAGAGAGAGAGAGAGAAAGGTCTTCCTTTTTCCATTGGTTCACCCTCCAAATGGCCGCTACGGCCGGCGTGCTGCGCCAATCCGAAGCCAGGAGCCAGGTGCTTCCTCCTGGTCTCCCACACAGGTGCAGGGCCCAAGCACTTGGGCCATCTTCCACTGCACTCCCGGGCCACAGCAGAGGGCTGGACTGGAAGAGGAGCAACTGGGACAGAATCTGGCGCCCCAACTGGGACTAGAACCCGGAGTGCCAGTGACGCAGACTGAGGATTAGCCTACTGAGCTGCAGCGCCGGCCGTCAGACCATTTTTATACCAAGTAATGCACAATCTCTTTATGGGAAGAAATAAGCGTTCTTAATGGAAACTGCTAAGCAATATATATATTTTGACAGGCAGAGTGGACAGTGAGAGAGACAGAGACAGAGAGAAAGGTCTTCCTTTTGTCGTTGGTTCACCCTCCAATGGCCGCCACAGCTGGCGCGCTGCGGCCAGCGCACCGCGCTGATCTGAAGGCAGGAGCCAGGTGCTTCTCCTGGTCTCCCATGGGGTGCAGGGCCCAAGCACCTGGGCCATCCTCCACTGCACTCCCTGGCCACAGCAGAGAGCTGGCCTGGAAGAGGGGCAACTGGGACAGCATCCGGCGCCCCGACCGGGACTAGAACCCGGTGTGCCGGCGCCGCTAGGTGGAGGATTAGTCTATTGAGCCGCGGCGCCGGCCAATTTTCTTATAAATTTTAATAGGATAAAAGTTTTTCACAGAAACCTGTAATCCAATCACTTGGTTGACTAAGAGTTAACCACAAATTAAGCATATAAAAATGCCAACAAAGACTAACCACTTCTTGTTTCTATAAATATCTCTACCCAGAGAAAAACGTCTAAAGTGTCCTCTTAGCTGCTACCCTTTCCTTTACAATAAGGGGAGAGAACTTTGGCACTGCTTATTAACTGAACTGAAAGGTATTTTATGTTTTTAACACCAAAAAGTAACGTGCTGAGGAAAGAAAATGCTTACATGTCTAAGAGTAAAAATGACTATGTGAGCAAAAGGAAACGGCATCTCACCTGAGCCATGGCTTTGATATTCGTAGAAAAGGACCTCCGCTGGGCTCCTCTTGTGGAAAATGACAGAGCCGGGAGAGACAAAAGACAGATGAGATTCCACTGTCACAGCTCCCAGAATGACTGCTCCCCCTCTGTTCATCTCACATGAACATCTGAGTGGGATCAGTGAGAAGAATGACCAAATCTCTCATCATCTTCAATTGCACAGACACCCAGACTGTGATTACTGCAGGATGGATGTGGGCAATCCGATACGACCTGGAGAATATACACATTTGTACACAAAGAAAAATAACCAAAAATTTTTATTCAAATTATAGTACATTATACATAGTTATACACTGAACATATATTTCCTTAATATATCCTGCAATAAATCCCAGCTAATAAATATTGTGCTATATAATTACCTTGATAGCTACATTGTACCTCATTAAATGGATATATCTATTTATTTTCCTAATCTGAAATCAATGATTCTTTAGATTGTTTTCGCTCTTTACTGCAAAAAATAATTCTATAATAAATATCCGTGTGCATGTATCGTTGTATTCGTATGTGAGTTCTGAATGATTAGTTCCTAAAAATACAGTTGCTCAAAGATTTTATGCATTTTGAGTTTGGATAGACATACAGTTTTCAACTGTACACTCAAGTCCCAAGGGCAGACCAAAAAAAACTATCTTGCCTAGTTTCCTAAGTTTTTAGGATCTTAGCTTAAGATAACTGAAACATCTCTCTGTCTCCCTCTGCATTACTCTGCATTTCAAATAAATAAAATACATCTTATAAAAAATGGGGCCACTCTTGTGGCACAGTGGGGTTAAGCCTCTGTGTAACACTGGCATCCCAAATCAGAGTGTCAGTTCAAGTCCAGGCCGCTCTACTTCCCTCTAGTTCCCTGTTAATGTGCCTGCAAAAGCAGTGGATGGATGTTTGCCACATGGGAGACCTGAAAGGAGTTCTAGTCTCCTGGCTTTGGGCTGGCCCAGCCCTGAATGCTGTGGTCATTTGGAGAATAAAACAACAAATGGAAAATCTTTCCTGTGTCTCCCTCTCTGTCACACTTTCAAATAAATACAATAAATCTTAAAAAAAAAAAAAAGATAATCGAGACACAGAAAAGCTAGCATAATATTATTGAACCCTTAGAAAGATATTAAAATCAGCATAGCATTACCAATAGGAAGGAATTTTAAAAGTACAGATGGGGTCGGCGCTGTGGCACAGTGGGTTAACACCCTGGCCTAAAGCACCGGCATCTCATATGGGCACCGGTTCAAGACCCAGCTGCTCCACTTCCAATCCAGCTCTCTTTTATGGCCTGGGAAAGCAGTAGAAGACGGCCCAAGTCCTTGGACCCCTGCACCCAGAAGAAGCTCCTGGCTCCTGATCGGCGCAGCTCCAGCCATTGCTGCCACACAATGGAATACCTCTCTCTCTGCCTCTCCTCTCTCTGTGTAACTCTTTCAAATAAAAAATAAATCTTTAAAAAAAAAAGTGCTGAAACAATGTGAACATGGACTAAATTCACATCACTGATGCTTCTGACTGTAATAGTAGTAATGAACTTGTAATAATTAAGCATATTCTTTACATCTTCAATTTAAGATTTTTTAAAAAGATTTTTTTTATTTGAAAGGCAGAGTTACAGAGAGAGAGAGACAGACAGAGAGAGAGAGAGAGAGAGAGGTAGAGACAGAAAGAGAGGTCTTCCATCTGTTGGTTCACTCCCCAAATGACTGCAATGGCCAGAACTGGGCCATTCAGAAGTGAGGAGCCAGGACCCTCTTTGGGGTCTCCTATGTGGGTGCAGGGGCCCAAGCACCTGGGCCATCTTCCGCGGCTTTCCCAGACACATTAGCAGGGAGCTGGATTGGAAGTGCAGTAGCCAGGACTTGAACCAGCACACATAAGGAGTGGCACCATCGCAGGCAGTAGCTTTACCTGCTACGCCACAGTGCTGGCCCACAATTTTATATGAAAGGCAGTTAGAGAGAGAGAGAAAGACACACAAAGAGAGAGAGGTCTTCTATTCGCTGGTTCACTCCCCAAATGGCTGCAACAGCCAAAACTGGGCCAGGTGGAAGCCAGGAGCCAGGAGCCAAGAACTTCTTCCAGGTCTCCCATGTGTGTGCAGGAGCCCATGAACTTGGGCCATCTGCTGCTTCTATCCCAGGCATGTTAGCAAGGGAGCTGGCTCAGAAGTGAAGCAGCCAGAAACTGAACTGGTGCCCATGTGGGATGCCAGCGTTGCAGCCAACAGCTTTAACTGCTCCACAACAGGGCTGGGCTCCCATTTCAATAACTTCATTCTATGCTGGTCACATTCTAACCTCTCTGAGGCTGAATTCTTACTTACAGGAGATGACTCATCGCTTTATTAAATTCAGCTTTCTTTAATATAAAAATGCCTTAGCAAAGAGAACTTCCTCAACAATCTAAAAATCCATACACACAAGAATGGCTAAATCAAGAATGATAAATCCATAGATTGCAGTAATATGTAGCTATTTAAAAATACTTTTTGTGTTTTTTTTTTACATAAAATATTTTTAATATGTAAATAGTGTCTATGAAACACCTACTGTTGGGAGACAGCCCACCAGAGGCCTCCCACTCTTACTCATCTTGCTGGACGTGCCATTAATGCGAGGCACAGACTACTATGACTGCTCTTTACTTGGGGCCACTTCCAGGGTTGCTTACGCAGTGGATAACTTTGCAGGATAAGAGAGCATTTCTTCTGAATAAATGGCAGGTTGCTTACTGCTTGCTATAAAAGCAACGGTTTCTCCATGCTCACTATTTGTCAGTGGCTATGCAAGCTTACTGCATGAACAGCGTCCATGTGGGTTCCTTATGTTGTCCCCATGGGAATTAAGAGAAAGAGGAACTGACAAAAACTGATATCGTGCTGCTTACTGTGCAGTGACTAATAAGCCTTTGCTTCTGATCCAGGAATCTTATGGCCTTTTGTTAGCTTTCATAAAACTAACAGGCTAATTTATTAGCTTTTTTTTTAAATTTAATTTAAATTTTTTTAAAATTTTTTGACAGGCAGAGTTAATGAGAGAGAGAGAGAGAGAGAGAGAGAGAGAGAGAGAGAAAGGTCTTTCTTCCGTTGGTTCACCCCCAAAATGGCCACTGTGCCGATCCGAAAGCAGGAGCCAGGTGCTTCCTCCTGGTCTCCCATGGGGTACAGGGCCCAAGCACTTGGGCCATCCTCCACTGCCTTCCTGGGCCACAGCAGAGAGCTAGACTAGAAAAGGCAACTGAGACAAAATCCAGTGCCCCAACCGGGACTAGAATCCGGGGTGCCGGCACCACAGGCGGAGGACTAATCAAGTGAGCCGCAGCATCGGCCAATTTATTAGCTTTTTAAGTAGGGAAAAATCAAATCCTATAGCTAACATGCTTAATGTTGAAATACTGAATGCTTTCTCCTGGAACTCAAGAAAAAATTATATATATTATAATTTCTTTTTAATAATGTACTGGATGATCTAGCTAGCACAACAAAGAAATAAAAGATGTGAAAATTGGAAAGGAAGACATAAAGCTGTCACAATTCACAGATGATAAGACCGTAGACATAGAAAATCCTAAATAATCTACAAATTATTCTACTTAGGAAGTGGATTAAATAACATGGTCTGATACAAGGACAATAGAAAAATATTAATCATGCTTCTAGTAATAAGCAACTGGAAAATAAAAACATAACTTATTTATTTAAGAGTTTCTACAATTGGCCAGCGCCGTGGCTCACTAGGCTAGTCCTCCATCTGTGGCGCCAGTACCCCGGGTTCTACTCCTGGTTGGGGCGCCAGATTCTGTCCCAGTTGCTTCTCTTCCAGTCCAGCTCTCTGCTGTGGCCCAGCAAGGCAGTGGAGGATGGCCCAAGTGCTTGGGCCCTGCACCCCATGGGAGACCAGGAGAAGCACCTGGCTCCTGGCTTCGGATCAGCGCGGTGTGCCAGCCACAGCGGCCATTGGAGGGTGAACCAACAGTAAAGGAAGACCTTTCTCCCTGTCTCTCTCTCTCACTGTCCACTCTGCCTGTCAAAAAGAAAAAAGTTTCCACAATAAATATCACTCAGATGTAACAAAAATGTGCTTTAATAACTTCAACCAGTTGCTGAAATTAAAGAGCTTAACAAATACAAAAATATACCATATTTAACTATTTGAAAGATCCAATATTGATGAAATGTCAATTCTCAAATACAGATTTGCAAATAAAATTCCAGCAAGGATTTTTAGGGAGTAAAAGTTATCAAGTTTATATAGAAGCTGAAAGACCTTACAATAGCCAACAGTCTTTTTTTTTTTTTCCCATAAAATTTATTTATTTATTTGAGGCAGAGTTACAGAGAAAGAGGAGAAACAGAGAGATCTTCCATCTGCTGGTTCACTCCCCAAATGGCCAAACAACCAGGGCTGGGCCAGGTGGAAGCCAGGAACCAGGAACTTCTTCTGGGTCTCCCACGTGGGTGCAGGGGCCCAAGGACTTGGGCCATCCTCCGCTGTTTTCCTAGGCTCATTGGTAAAGAACTGGGTCAGAAGTGGGGCACCTGGGGCTTGAACCGGCGCTCATATGGGATGCTAGTGCTGCAGGTTGCAGCTTCAACCCCCTAAGCCACAATGCCGGCCCCAGCCAACAAGCTGGAAAAAGAAGAAGCTGGAGGACTAATACTTGAAGACAGTGGAATGATGAAAAGACAAATAAAGAAAACAAAAAGGGATATAGAACACAGCCACACATCACATACACATCACTTGACTGATGACAAAATGTCCCTGAAACTCTGATGGCAAGAACCGCCTTTTCAGTAAACAGCACTAGAACAACTTGAGTACGCAACTGGGGAAAAAGCTAACATCTATCCCTACTTCTCACTGCATGCAAAAATTAATTCAAGATGAATCACAGACTTGACGTGAATGCTAGAATTATAAAGCATCTAAAAGAAAACAAGGAAACTATCTTCAAGATTTTAGGGGATACAAAAAAGCACTAATCATAAAAGACAAAGGACTAAAAGCTGAGAGAAAAACAGAAAAAGACATAAAGAAGCCATCTTTTATAAGGTTTGAAAACATTCAAGTACACTCATAATTGGAAAAATAAAAAAACAACATCAACATGCTATTTCCTCACTATTATACTGGTGAAAATTAAAAAGCATGACAACACATGTTGTCCAGGCTCTGGGGAGAAACAGGCACTCATAAATCACAAGGGGGAATGAAATTGGTATAACAATTCTAGGGGAAAATTTGGTAATAACAAAACTATACAGCACTTATCATTAGATCCAATAATCCCGGTTCTATTTTTATTTTAAAAAATATTTATATATTTATTTATTTATCTGAAAGTCAGTTATACAGAGAGAAGGAGAAGCAGAGAGAGAGAGAAGTCTTCCATCCGCTGGTTCACTCCCCAATTGGCTGCAATGGTTGGAGCTGTGCCGATCCGAAGCCAGGAGCCAGGAGCTTCTTCCAGGTCTCCCATGTGGGTGCAGGGGCCCAAAGACTTGGGCCATCCTCCACTGCTTTCCCAGGCCATAGCAGAGAGCTGGATTGGAAGTGGAGCAGCTGGGACTCGAACTGGTGCCCATATGGGATGCCAACACTGCAGGCAACGGTGGCCTTACCTGCCACGCCACAGAGCCAGCCCCCAACAATCCCAGTTCTAGGGATGACCCTCAGATATCCTTCCCAGCAGTATGAAAATATACAAATAAATAAAGTTAACTCAGTGCAACATTGTGTATAGTGCAAAACTATGACCAACCCTAATGCCCACACACAGGAGAATAGTTAAATAAACCATGATAATTCTATGGACTTAAGTATTACACAGCTATTTTTTAAAAAGATGGGGGGCAGCACTGTGGTATAGTAGGCTAAGCCTCTGTCTATGGTGCCAGCATCACATATGGGCGCTGGTTCAAACCTGGGCTCCTCCTCTTTCAATCCAGCTCTCTGTTATGGCCTGAGAAAGCAGTAGAAGATCGCCCAAATGCTTGGGCCATTGTACCCGCGTGGGAGACCTGGAATAAGCTCCTGGCTCCTGGCTTCAGATAGGTCCAGCTCTGGCTGCTGCAGCCATTTGGGGAGTGGACCAGCAGATGAAAGACCTTTCTGTCTCTCCCTTTCTGTGTGTGCAGCTCTACCTCTCAAACAAATAAAGAAAACCTAAAAAAACAAACAAACAAACAAACAAAAAAAACTATGAACATCTCTTAGAACTGTTGTGAAGTGATGTTCAGGATATAAAATTTAAAAATAATACAAAAGAGGGGTCAGCAATGTGGTGTGGCAGATGAAGAGGCCACCTGCAGTGCCAGCATCCCATGTGGGCACCAGTTCGGGACCCAGCAGCTCCACTCCTAATCCAGCTCTCTTCTAATGTGCCTGGGAAAGCACTGATGATGGTCCAAGGAATTGGACCTCTGCACTCACATGGGAGAACTGGAAGAAGCTCATGGCTCCTGGCTTAGGACTGGCCCAGCTCAAGCCCTTGTGGGCACTTGCGGAGTGAACCAGTAGATGGAAACCCTCTCTCTCTCTGCCTCTGTCTCTCCCTCTCTGTAACTCCCCCTTTCAAGTAAATAAATACATTTAAAAAATACAAAAGAAGCAATGTATAAAAGAGCACCAATGCCATCTTTAATATAAAAAGAGGAGGTCATTCAGAGAGTACACACAACTGTTCATTTGTGCAAAGTAAATATGGGAAGGATAATGAGCTTGATTATGTACAAATGTGGGAAGGAACTAGATTAATGTCTTATACTCAAAATACCATGGATGCTACAATCAACCAGGATGCAGGGCAGGAGGGTCCCAAAATGCATCACATGAATGAAAAGGCCTGAAAAACCAGTATTCAAACAACACTGAAGAGAGTGGCCAAGAAAGGAGCTAAATTAAGTCATTCCAGAAAATGTCTTCTGACGTAAGTGTGAGGAAAATGAGTTGCACACTAACACCCTTCTGTAGTTAGTAAATCTGTTTTTTTACACAGGTGTGGGTTAGCAATTCTGAAACTATTTCACATGTATTCTAGGACAGCACAAATTATTGGCACTGAGAAGCAGGTTTCCCACTGCTGAAGAAAGGAGTAAGAAGGAAACATTCCAACCTGCGGGAAGATGATTCTACAGGGTCTGGCATGTTTCAGCATAACTTGCAGGTAGAGGTAACTGCTTCTGATACGCACTGTTCTTCCAAGATCTTATATGGTGAGCAGCCTTGGAAGACAGAGAGTCTCCCTCTGGAGAAATGGCAGGCATGCTCATAGGCAAGTTGCCTATGATCAGGAAGACACAAACAGCATCTTGCAAGTTTAAGTGAACCAGTGCCAAGAAATCCTCTGTACTCGGACTACTGCTAGGAGCAACAAACTGTCCTTTATCTCTGACCCAGAAGTTTAATGTCTTTTGCCAGCATCTACAACAGTATATTAAATCAACTTAACCTGTCTGCTTATACGCAGGATAAAATCTCAGATCTTCACAGAAATGTGGACATTTGGACTGGCATTAAAGTGAAAGCCAATAATTTCACAGAGGACAAATCTGACAAACATCTTAACCAATGATCAAAGTTAATACTAGTAGTAAGACTTACTGATATCATATAACTCCTCATATGTCACATTAAACACAGTATCACTTCTGTAATCTAGCCAAAAATGCATGGTCTAAATTTAACCACCAGGAAGCATCATACAAACCCAACTGAAAGACACTCTACCAAATCACTAACACTCTTCAAGTGTCAAGGTTATAAAAGATAAAAAGGAGCAAAAAACTATCTCAGATGACTGTATCTATTTATCTCATTAGAAAGACTAATGATACAAACAAATAAATCAATGTAGGATCTTTGACCAGATCACAGAATAGAAAAGAACATTAACAAAATCTTTCAGTCAGTTAAAAGTCTATTCATGTCTTGGTTTTCATTAACTGTACTGTGGGAAAATGGATAAAGAGTAAATGAGAATTATTTACTTACTTACTTGAGAGGCAGAAAGAGAGACAGATAGACAAAAAAGATTCCTATCTCCAGTTCACTCCCCAGATAACCAAGTCTGGACTGGCCCAGAGCCAGGAGCTGGGGGTCAGCCCCGGTCTTCCAAGCACGGCAGAAAGCCAACCACTTGTCTAAGCCATCACCTGCTCCCTCCTAAGGTCTGAAAGATGAGCCAAGCTAGAATCAGAAGCTGGAATTGGGAATCAAACCCTGGCACCACGATACAAGACACTGGCATTTTAACCAGTGGCTTAACCTCTAGGACAAACACTTTCACTCTGGGAACTCTTTATACTATGCTCACAATATGAAAATAAAATTTTTTAAATGAAAACAAAGTAATAAAAATAAAATAAAACCGGGAAATTCAGCAACAGGGACCTTAAGAGACACTTCAACAAAAGAGGATAACTGGGGCAGGCACTGCGGCACAGCAAGTTAAGCTGCCACCTGCCTGCAATGTCAGCATCCTGTATGAGCACCAGTTCAAGTCCCGGCTACTCCACTTCCAGTGCAGCTCCCAGCTAACGCACCTGGGAAAGCAGCACCCACGTGTGAGACCAGGATGGAGTTCCAGGTTTCTGGCTTCAGGCTAGCCCAGCCCCGGCTGTTGTGACCATTTGGGGAGTGAACCAACAGATGGATGATTCTCTCTCTCTCTCTCCCCCTCCCTGTAAAATAAATAAATCTTTAATGGCCAACAGACACATGAAAATGTGAACATCACCACACATCAAAGAAATAGAAATTAAAATTACTATCAAAATCCACTACACTGTCACCAGATAATGGAGGGATTGTGGAACAACTGGGATTCTCACATTGCTTGTTGGAGTATAAACAGGAACATCCGTGTAAAAAGTTGGTAGTATCTGTAAAACAATGCCCACCTTATGATCTAACAATTCCATTCTTAGGTATTTGCTCAAGAGAAATGCATTCATGTATTCATCAAAAATATAGCACACAGTTGATAACAGCCACATAATTTGTGTGAGCCACAAATAGGAAACTATCCACATATTCATCAATAGTGTAGTCATGTTTTAAAAAAATATTTATTTATTTTAGTTGAAAGGTGAGTTACATAGAGAGGAAGAGAGAGAGAGAGAGAGAGAGAGAGAGAGAGATTGATTGATTCCATCCTCTGGTTCATTCCCTAAATGGCCAGGGCTGGGCCAGGCCAAAGCTAGGAGTCAGTCTTCTTCCAGGTCTCCCACGTGGGTGCAGGGGCCCTAGCACTTGGGCCATCTTCTGCTGCCTTTCCAAGGTGCATCAGCAGGAAGCTGGATTGGAAGTGGAGCAGCCAGGACTTGAACCAGAGCCCTTATGGGATGCCAGCACCAGAGGCAGCAGTTTAACCCGCTGTGCCACAGTACTGGCCCCAATAGTGTATCATTATATTGCAATATTCCCAAATGTAATGAGAAGTATAATTACACTGAAAAACAAGGATGAACTTCACAAACATAATAAGGAACAAATGAAGCCAGACAGAAAAGAGAACACGTCCTATAATTTCATGTATACATGAACTTCAAAAATAGGTAAAATTAATTATTGATGATAGAATTCTGAATAGTTATGGGAGAGAAATGACTAAGAAAAGGCATTAAGGAACCATTTGGAGTTGTGGCAAAGTTCTTTATACTAATGTAAGGTATTGTGACACAGCTTTGTACTTAAAATTTCCACACTTTCCTATATACGCTGAATCTAAAATTTATTAAAAAAAATTATTGGAGGCATGTTTTGGTAGGAATACGGAGCAACAGGTGCTTCAAAAATTGCTGTGCACATATAAATTGCACACCTACTTTGTCATTTGCTTTGGCACTATTCTGTAAAGTAAAAGCAATCGTGTGAACCAGACACTCCACTGGCGGATGAACTTATGTAAAACAATGTTCATGGCAACACTGTTTATAAAACAAAACACTAGAAATATTGTTAACTCAAATGTCCACTGTTACTGGAAGGGACTAATAAGTGTGGTACACTTCAAAGTGCAGCATTCAACACAGCAAAAGAAATTCAATGAACCGCTATGATATTTAATATGGAGGATTCTCATATTCATAGTTGTAAGAATAAACATAATAAATGGCAAAAAACAGCCTTCACATAAAGTTCTGAAAGTGGACGGGGGAACTACAGCATAATATTTAAAGAGGTATACACAAGTGATTAAAAATGAGACCCCCTTAATCAAACACCCACAGGGGAACATTCAGCGACAGGAAACATACACCCAAAGCAGCCAGGGACTCCAGAGGTCACCTAAGCACAACCACACATTTATCCAGGCAACAGTCACAGTCACACCGCACTGTCACAGAAGAAAAAAAGACCCCACCAACACGACCACACACAGAGAGTACAACCTGACAGTAGTCACCGATATTCCCACCTGTGCTGTGCGGCACACGGTCACACTGTCACACGACCCCACGTCGCTACGGCGACAAACTTCCCACACCAGCACACACAACGCCGCCCGGGGTCCTAAACGCTCACACACGGTTGGGGGGGTAGTTATCGTGAGAAACTCACACCCATCCCAACAACAACCGGTTGGAATCGCACGGTCATTCACCAAATACTACCACACGATCACAACCACACAAGTTCCTTCTCACCTGCGCCGCCGCCGCACAAAGCCGAAGCTCGAGTTCCGGTCCCGCCCTCTCGCCCAGGTCTCACTTCAGGCCTTCCAAGCTCCAGAAGCAGCTAAACCCTCCTCAGCACCAAGAGTTGTTGCTAGCGAAGCCCTAAGGCTCCCGCCAGCGCGCGACTTTGAGACTGAACTCCCGCGAGAGGCACGACCACGCCGAAGAGGCCTCTGGGAGATGTAGTCAAGGACCTGCCAGTGGCCGACAAGATGGCTCTCGAGCGTCGGAAGTCGTAACGGTGTTTAACTGCGGCTCAGCCAAAATGATGGCGCCCCTCAGAGAACGGCGCCCGAGAGGCCTGTGGAGCCTCGGCTCAGACACCAGTCGGGGACATTTCAACGTGTTTTAGACGCGGGTGCTTCGCGAGCCCGCTCTACTATCTCCAGTAACTGGCGACCCCATGAAGAGGGCACGTTTACAAGTGCAGAGACTACGCACCCCTGGGCCTTCTGGGAAATGTAGTTCGGAGTAGAGAACAGCGCTACTGATGAACCAAAGTCTGAATTCTTCTGAGATAAACCAGAGACTTCTAGGCGTGCTAGTGCGCCCAGGGAGTACTCAGGCGCCGACTTCTTGGATCACCGTTTCGGCCTTTGTTCAGGGATGAGTTTGGCTTAGGGCTAAAGATTAGGAGACCCAAAGCTGGTGGGGGGAGGCCGAACGGCTGGAGACCAGGAGCCTGAGGCCTGAGTGGGAAGGATCATTAAACATGCGATGGGGCGAGGAAGGCGCAAAGAGAGGGGCTGGTGTTCTTCTGAGCTGCTGACTTCCATGTGTGTGCTGGGGTTTGCAGGAATCAGGTGAGGAGGGTTCCCCCTGTGTTAGTGGCTTAGGGTGTGTTAGGGGTCAGAGAAAGCACTCAGGACTTTGTGTGTATGTTAGAAATACATAAAACCTGTAGAGGAAAGAAAATTTTTTTAAGATTTTCTTTATTTATTTGAAAGGCAGAGTTACAGAGGGAGACGCAAGAGAGATCTTCCATCCGATGATTCACTTCCCTAACGGCCACAACGACCCGAGCTGGCCCACTGCAAAGCCAGGAGCCAGGAACTTCTGGGTCTCCCACCGGTGCAGGAGCCCACTCCACTGTTTTCCCAGGCACATTAGCAGGGAGCTGGATCAGAAATGGAGCAGCCGGGACTTGAACCCGTGTCCATATGGGATGCTGGTGCTGTAGGCAGATGCTTAACCCTCTATACCACCCCCAGAGGAAACATTTTTAAACACTACTCAAGGACACAAAGACTTAAAAAATGAAAGTAATAACATATTCTAGGCTAGAAAAACACCATAAATATGCCATTTTACATTAATTCTGAATTTAACAGAATCTAGGTGAACATAAGACATTTTTCTAAATTGAAATTATTCTAAATTTCAGATGAAGAACAAAAGCAAGGATGGTAAATCTGAGGGGGGAAGTAATGCAGGGCAGTTGGGGCTAGTTTTACCAGGTAATAAAACATACTGTAAATTTTCCAAAATTAACATAATATGCAACTGTTACCTAACGGCAGTGGAACAGAACAGAGAACCCAGAAATGAAAGCAAATGAAGAATTTTGCTATATAGTGATTGGGACATCTCAAATAAGTTGGGAAAAGGAGGGCTTTTCAATAATGGTAATAGGGATAATTTGTTAACCTGTCTAGGAAAAAGAGAATGGATTATACCTTGTACTGAACACAGGGGCAACTCCAAATGGGTCAAAATTTAAAACTAAAGTATTAAATTATAACTGGGTTAATGACTTCATAACCATGTGATGTTGTAGACCTAAGTTCAAAATCCAGAAACAAACATAAAAGGTTGAGCATTCCTACTAAATGAGGGGGTAGGGATAAGGAATATGGCAAACTATACAAAATATTTTGTTGTTACAAGCAAATGACCAATCTCCCTAATATATAAAAAGCACACAAAAAGGAATGGGCGTTGTGGCATAGCAGGTTAAGCCACTTCTTGGAAGACCTGCATTCCATATCAGAATGGGGGGTTCACATTCCTGGCTATGTTTTTATTTTTGTTTGTTTTTGCTACTCTTGATCTAGTTCTCTGGTAATGTACCTGGGAAGCAGTGGATAATGGCTCAAGTACTTGGGTTCCTACTACCAATGTGGGAGACATAGATGGAGTTCCTGGCTCCTGGCTTCAGCTTGGACCAGCCCTGACTGTTGCCTATGTTTGAGTACATACTTTCTGCACCAAACTAACCATGTTACATTTCTAAGTATAAAGTTCAATAGGGCTGAATATAATCACATTATTGTGCAACTAATCTCCAGAACTTTTACTTGCAAAATTCAGACTCTACACTCATTGAATAACTCATTTCCCTAACTCCTGGCAACCACCATTCGCCTTTCCACTTCAATTAATTGGACTAGACATTTAGTGGAACCATATAGTATTTGTCTTTTTGACTGGTTTAGCTCACTTAGCATAATGTTGCTAAGTTTCATCCATGTTGTAGAATTTGTCATAATTTCCTTCCTTTGTAACACTGAATTATATTGCATACCACATTCGGTTCTATCCATTCAGCTGTCAGTGAACACTTGAGTTGCTTCCCGTGTTGGATATTGTGAATACCACTGCTAAGAAAATGAGCACAAGTGTCTCTTTTTCCTGCTATCCCTCTTCCACTAGGCCTTTTGTTGGGGGAGTTTTGTCCAGGTTTTTGTCTGGGGGCCGAACAAGTTTGGAGACCAGAATGCAGCGTGAAGAGGATGAAAACTTCATTAGGCTGACAAAGGGGAGCTCCCAACAGCGGGAGGGGCTGGAGAAGGGGACCAGCCAGAGGGGGCTTGCAGCCTAGTGGTATTTATGGACTGCTTTCTACAGTTAGCTGGGGCAGCAGCCGAAAGGATTTTTGCTGTCATGGCTGTTATTGCTAGTCAGGGATATATGATTAGATTTGTCAAAAAAAACTTTTTTATCTTGTTTGGCAGGATTTTGTGGTTAGGCTACTTAAAATGGCACATCTGGGCCTCTCCAGATTGTGCCCAATATCCTGTTTTAACATTCTGAACATGCAGGCAAGGGACCTTGAAATGAAGGATTTCTGATCAGGCACAAAGTTTTTAAGATGGAGTCTATTTGGTCTTTCATTTCCAGGGCCTGAGGGCCCCACTCACTTTTGCCAAAATTGCTAGCCTGGAAGGCAGTGTCACACCTTTACAATGTCTTCTTACTTTATCTCCTTGTATTGTTATTATTTTATAAATAAGACACATAGTAGGTAGTAGGCATTGTGGCATATTGGGTTAGATCTGTGATGCTGGTATCCCATATGGGCGCGGGTCTGTGTTCCAGCTGCTCTATTTCCAATCCAGCTCCCTGCTAATGGCCTGGGGAAAGCAGCAGAAGATGGCCCACATGTTTGGACCCCTGCCACCCACATGGGAAACATGGAAGAAGCTTTGGCTTCTGGGGAGTGAACCGGTAGATGGAAGATCTCCCTTTCTGTAACTCTTTGAAATAAATAAACTTTAAAAAAAAGTATATATTCCATCCCCTGGAAAGGGGAGGGGGCTATTTTTTAAAAAAGATACATGGGGCCGGCGCCCCAGCTCACTAGGATAATCCTCTGCCTTCGGCGACGGCACCCTGGGTTCTAGTCCCAGTCAGGGCACTGGATTCTGTCCCGGTTGCCCCTCTTCCAGGCCAGCTCTCTGCTGTGGCCAGGGAGTGCAGTGGAGGATGGCCCAAGTGCTTGGGCCCTGCACCCCATGGGAGACCAGGAGAAGTACCTGGCTCCTGGCTTCGGATCAGCATGGTGTGCCAGCCGCAGCGCACTGGCCGAGCGGCCATTGGAGGGTGAACCAATGGCAAAAGAAAAGACCTTTCTCTGTCTCTCTCACTGTCCACTCTGCCTGTCAAAAAACAAAAACAAAAACAAAAACAAAAAACAAAAAAAACAAAAACAAAAAGACACATGGTAGGAGAAAAAAAGAACCTAAAGGATATATAATGAACCTGAAGTCTCTTCTGGATCTCCCATGAGAGTGGCAGGGACCCACGTATTTGCACCATCTTCTGGAAGAGTTCTTTCTCAGTAACTGCCTTTCAATTAAATGAATCAAAAAAAAAAAAAAAAAAAACGATAGAGGGAGATGGGCAAACACACACACACTCTTGCATCCACTGATTCACTGTTCAAATACCTGCAAAAGTTGGGGCGGGGCCCAGCTGAAGCCAGGAGCCAGGTCCCGTGTGGTTAGCACAGGCCCAAGTACTGGTACCATCATCCGCTGCCTCCCAGGTGCAATAGCAGGAAGCTGGGTGGGAAGCAGAGGAGCTGAGACTCCAATCAGGATCTCCAGTATGGAATGTGACCATCCCAAGTGGTGGCTTAACACGCTGCCCCATAACACCTGTCCCTTATACTCATTTTTAAAGAAAGATTAACTTAGATTTTAAAAAGTTTTTTAAAAAAGGGAAATTTGGTGTATTATGAAATGTCAAAATAAGACTAATAATACATGGTTATTAGTATAGTATAGGAACAGGGAAACAGTTAAAATACTGTAAACATTTTAGTACAAATGAAAATGTAATGCATGGCTGTTTCAGCTGAATGACAATCATATGGGTAAACAATTACATGGCAGAGTTGCAGTTAAATAGGAAAGGGATGGTGTCAATAAAGGATTAAGAGTAGGATCTTCAATGGGCATTAAAACACAGGAGGGTGAATGTAAAATATCCTGCATAAAGAACTGGAAGAAGGGGCCAGTGCTGTGGTACAGCGGGTTAAAGCCGCTGCCTGAAGTGATGGCATCCCATATGGGTACCAGTTCGAGTCCCTGCTGCTCCACTTCCGATCCAGCTCTCTGCTACAGCCTGGGAAAGCAGTAGAAGATGACCCAAGTCCTTGGGCCCCTGCACCCGTGGGGGAGACCGAGAAGAAACTCCTGGATTCTGATCGGCGCAGCTCTGCCTGTTGCAGCCACCTGGGGAGTGAGTGAACCAGTGAATGGAAGATCCTCTGACTCTGCCTGTCAACTAAATCTTAAAAAGGGGGGGGGGGAGGGGTTGGTAGGGTTCCACAAAGAAAAGGAGGCAGGCTGATTGCCTGGTAAGTCAGCTGAAGCTATTCATTTGTTTAAAAGCTGCATTATGTCCCTTAAAATTGTGCAAGTATTACATATCTAAACCTTTAAAATAAAAAAAAATTAAATGCAGTCCTTCCCCATTGACCTATTTCAGAAAAGTATTGCCTCTCTACCACACTTTCTTTGAAATTTACCACTGTAAACTTGCCCTTCATCTGTAGCTTGCACCTCGATGGGGAGGAGCTGTAGACCTGCAGGTAGGTACTGATAGCTGAAGCGATTAAGGCATTTTTTCTTGGGGAATGTTAAGTCAGTAGCTCGTTTGTGTGCTTATGTTGTTATCAGTCACTTCTCTTAAACTGTGTGCTATGTGATGGTGGCCTAGAAGACAGAGAAGACTGTTGTAAGATGTTCCAGATGACAATGTTAGTATTTCCCAGTGCTGAGCTGAACCACACTCTCCCCCACGTGGTGCTAGGGACCTGGAGGCTATGCCTCCTTGAGCATTGGCAGGACTGATGAAAAGGCCATGAAGGTGTTTTCTTGCCCTGGTAAAGTTAATAAACCTGGTGCTGGGGTACAGTCTTCTCTATTCTGTTTGTTTGCTTGCCATCCAAACCTGTGATTGTTGTTGGTGGGCATGCAGCCTTGTGTCAGAGCTGTAACAGGCCGCTCAACAACTGATGGGTTATTTTAATAATGCTTAAAACTGGAAACCCAGTTGGAAGAAATTAAAAATGAAGCTTCATTTTTTTTTTTGACAGGCAGAGACAGTGAGAGAGAAAGAGAGAGAGAGAGAGAGAGAGAGAGAGAAAGGTCTTCCTTTCCATTGGTTCACCCCCAAAATGGCCGCCACGGGCGGTGCCCTGCACTGATCCAAAGCCAGGAGCCAGGTGCTTCCTCCTGGTCTCCCATGCAGGTGCAGGGCCCAAGCAGTTGGGCCATCCTCCACTGCCTTCCCGGGCCACAGCAGAGAGCTGGACTGGAAGAAGAGCAACCGGGACAGAATCCGGTGCCCCAACCGGGATTAGAACCTGGGGTGCTGGCGCCACAGGCGGAGGATTAGCCTAGTGAGCCGTGGCACTGGCCAAAAATGAAGCTTCATTTATATGATGTTAAATGTTAGATGGTTTAAATATTTATACACTGAAAAAGCAAATAGTAAACAATTTGCAAGATGAAATCACAAGTGCAATCTAGAGCAAAAATATTTTAAACCAATCCAGAAGCAGAGAAACTTAATACATATTTGTTTGCATAGAATTTAAACTTTTCAATGGAAAATTCATTATGACAAAAACTAGACCAATTCCTAATGTCTAATATATGAAGAGGTCATCAAAATTGGCAAAAAGATAAACAGTTCTAAAGGAATATGGACAAACAATGTAAAAACTCAAAAAGCAAATCCAGAGGCAAGTGGTTTATACTCATTAATGCATAAATTTAAGTATAATTGGATAATACTATCTACTGCAAGGCTAGAGTTAGTACTCTCTTGGAAATGACAACATCCACTAAAAATTTGAAAAAGCAAGTGTCTTTTGACACAGTAATCTCTTCCTTATAATCTATTCCACAGGAACAAAAACAACTGTAACTTTAAGGGCCAATTACATAGATATTTATTGTAGCTTTATTTATGGTAGCAAATGAGCAACAATGAATCAAAAGGTGGTGGCTAAATAAATTTACAATATACAGTATCACAGAACATTATATAGCAATTTCTTATTTTATTCCACTTGACTATCACAACCATTCTTGTTTCTGGGTCCAGGACCCTGGCCAACATAAGGCACCAAAAGATTTTCATTCTAATTTGGTCTCTAGTAGAGCTCCTAATTGGTCTGGTGATTGCTTCATGGGCAGAACAATTAAGAAATATGAAGAAATGCCTAATGAAATCAACATGAGGAAGGTAAGAAAACAGGATAGTTTAGCCTCATATGTTGTTACTTGAGTATATTACCTCACAAAATTATCCCTTGCCTTTTTCACTCTTATCTGAAGAGCAACTTTCAAACATGCTAGTAACAAGCAGTGCAGTGCTATTCATACATTAACATTTCACTACTGAGTTTAAAACAAATTAATACATTTGCAATCAATCTTAAGGCTAAATGCTGTATATTCATCTTTAATCACTATTCAAAAACAGTACTAATAGCTTTCTATATATATTTTTTTAAAGGAATCAAGTAGGCAAAACTTCTCATGAAGAGAACAAAGTTTAGGTCTGAGATCTACCTTTTCAGCACCATTTCCCACAATGAAACAAACAAGGGGGGGGGTAGCAATTGATATCTGGCAGAGTAGAGGAAAATGGTCTGCAGGTTAAAATTGAAGCTAAAATCCAAGAGTTGGCATTTTATTCAGTAGCTTATAGAAAACCTTCTGGGTGACAGTTTCCTCATTTTAAAAATGTCAATTTCTTAATGCCAACACTGGTTATAAAATCAATTATGAATTCTCCAATTCAGCACCAGCAGTATGATCCTTACTTCTGTGATCCACCCAACCTGTTGCAAAATCATGTATTCTGAAGTGACATAATGGTAATAAACAGAAATAACTGCATTTGTCTCTCCAACTTAAAAATATTGTTTCATTTCATATTTTATTGGTAAAGATATGATTTTAGCAATACAGTCATCCCTTGATACCATAGGGAACTGGTTCCACACACTCCATTCTACAATCCATGGATGCTCAAGTCATTTATATAAAATGGCATACTATTTGCCTGTAACCGATGCCATATTCTCTCATATACTTTATCTCTGGAATGCTTGTCAGTACCTAATACATTTGAATGCTATGTAAATAGTTGCTTACTGTTGAGGGAATAAGAACAAGAGAAAAAAGGTCAGTACATGTTCATTTCAGATGCAATTTTTGGCTATTTTTAGCCATGATTGGTTGAATCCAGAGATGCAAAACCTATGGATAAAGGGCTGTTTTCTGTAAAATATTAACATCTGACTGAGACTATGAGTCCATTATGCAGTAGTCCCACATGCCCTGTACCTGTCCATAGCTTTCACACTGATAGGTTTTATGTATGGTCCACCTGGCTCAAAAATATTAAATGGAAAATTACAGAATTCCTTACACTTTTTAAACTGTGTCATTTTGTGTAGCATGATGAAATCACACAGAATCCTGCTTCATCCCCCAGCACAGGGATCATCCCCTTGACCAGCATATCCATGCTGTACTGTACATGCTGCCTGCCCATGTCACTTACCAGTACCATACAACATCAATTCCATAACCTTTATTTTACTTAATAACAGCCCTGAAGCACAACAGTGGTTCCGCTAGCAATTTGGATATGCCAAAGAGCAGATGTAAAGTGCTTCCTTCAAGTGAAAAAATAAAAGCTCTCAACTTAAGAAAAGGAAAAAGCAATCATGCTGAGGTTGCCCCTATCTATGGTAAGTTACTGCTGTTCATCTCTTTCTGTCCTTAGCTTTAATTTGTAAGTAGGTATACAGGAAAACACATAGCATACTTGTTTATATATATAAGGTTCAGTACTACCTGCAGGTTCAGATTACCTACTGGGGGTCTTAAAACCAATCTCCAGTAAATAAGAGGCACTACTGTAATATCTACTTCAGGTACAGCTTCCTCCTACAGCTAGCTACCTTTTAAATTTTCATGTTTACAAAAGAAATAGCAGAAATGATAGAGTGAATGCATACTTTAACCACAACCCAGAAACTAATATTTTGTTACATTAACTTGGAACCTTTCTTCTTAATGAGACATGTATTTAGGGACAAAACAAGTATACTGAAGTATCCTTTAACTGCCATGCTTGGTCCCATTTCCCTTCCATCCCTTCTTTCTGCAGGCAATCACTTTTGGGAACTGAGGGTGTATCCTTCAATTCATTCTTTATAGCTTTACATAAAAGTGCTTATCCATAATCAATGCTTGGTACTAGGCTTGTTTAGTGTTGATTTTACTCAAATTCACATAAGTGTTACTACAACATATTAACCATTTCATGATTCTTCTAATTCTACATTATTTTCCCTATCTTTTGTTGTTAATACAAATATTTGTTGTACCTAAATGATGGAGCATTTGACTGCATGACTCTATTTCACAAAGGACAGACCTTTGTTTCCAAATGTGGGCTACCATATTTCATGCTGCAATAAACAGACTGCAACTTGACTCCCTGTGTACATATGGCAGTTTCTTGGGTAAATATATAGACTTGAATGAAACTGCTAGGTATTCTGGAATCAATTTTACTGCTTCAAGGTTTACAAAACATTCTCTAAAATTCTAATAGGTTCTGCTTCTTTGCATTCTAGCCTTCAATACTTATGGAATTCATTACAAATCAATATCTTACTATAAGATCAAAGAGATCTATTTTTCCATATGAAGTCAATTATCACCCTGAGACTATTTTAATAATTATCCATGATTTCCCCACCACTGGGATACAAATCTATCACTTGAAAATTACCCATAAATCCATGCGTGTTTCTGGATTCAACATTCTGTCTCAATCTCAATTTTCCATGACTACCTCAACATAATTTTGATATTTCTACAAGTTATACATGTAACAAAGCATATAACAAAAATGATAATTTCAAATTCTTCTATTTCTTTGTCTTAATGCATTGGTGGCCTTCCAGAACAGGTTGGAAGGCCTTCCATCCATGACTGAAAACTAACTTCACTGAGAATGCGCCTCCAAGTATAGCATTCATAATGTTTGTTGTGGGAGTTCTGAGTACACAGATTTTCATTATACTGTGATACTTATTAAACATGCTGTTTTTAAGGTTTTGAGTTGCTGCTGAACAATTTCCTATAGTCATTCTTCCTAAATCCACGGCACTCATAGAGCCTTACTGAGTATGAATTCTCTGGTGTCGAATGTGGTGTGACTTCTGGCTGAAAGCTTTCCCACACTCACTACACTGATAAGGCTTTTCACCAGTGTGGATTCTCATATGTAGAGCAAGGGTTGAGAACTGAGAAAAGGCTTTCCCACATTCATTACAACCATAGGGCTTCTCACCCGTATGGCTTCTCATATGTACAGTAAGAGATGAGCTTTGACAGAAGGCTTTCCCACAGATTTTACATTCGTAAGGTTTATCACCTGTGTGAATTCTCACATGTACAATAAGTGATGTGATTCGAGAGAAGGCTTTTCCACATTTATTGCATTCATAGGGTTTCTCTCCTGTATGAATATTGTGATGTTTAATGAGATACTGCTTCTGCCTAAAGATTGTTCCACATTCATTACACTTATAGGGTTTCTCTCCAATATGAATTTTTTCATGCTCAGTGAGATTTGATTTGCCACTGAAGGCTTTCCCACATTCTTTACATGTATAGGGTTTCTCTCCAGTATGACTTCTCTGGTGTCTAATGAGGCTTGATTTCTGAATGAAAGCTTTCCCACACCCTTTACATTCATAAGGTTTCTCTCCAGTATGGATTCTCTGGTGGATAATGAGGTTTTCCTTCTGGCTAAAGGCTTTTCCACACTCATTACATTTGAAGGGTTTCTTTCCACTATGAATGTTCTGATGTTTAATGAGGTATTGCTTCTGGCTGAAGGCTCTTCCACATTGACTACATTCAAATGGTTTCTCTCCAGTATGAATTTTCTCATGCTCAGTGAGATATGATTTGCCATTAAAGGTTTTCCCACATTCCTTACATGCATGAGGTTTGTTTCCTGCATAATTTCTCTGATGCCTAACGAGGTTCGGCACCTGAATAGAAGCCTTCCCATATTCACAAGGTTTCTCTCCGGTATGATGTTTCTGATGAGAAAGTAAGTTTCCCTTCTGGCTGAAGGCTTTTCCACATTTATTACATTTATAGGATTTCTTCCCTGTATGACTTTTCAAATGCACAGTAAGAGATGAAACCCGAGAGAACACTTTACCACATTCAGTACATTCATGCGCTTTCTCTCCAGTATGCATCTTCATATGCTCTGTGAGGTTTTGCTTCAGGCTAAAGGTTTTTCTGCATTCATCACATTCATAAGGTTTTTCTCCAGTATGAATCTGATCATGTTGAAGGAGATCTGATTCAGGCTGAAGGTTTTCCAACATTCCGATCATGTGTAGGGATTTTCTCCGAGGAGAATTCCCTACTATAATGTTAAGATGTGACAAGGATGATACCTTTTCCACATTCACTTAAAGTTTCTAATGTTAACTCTCAGGTATCTAATAATCTTGAATTTATGATATAAGACATTTTTCAGACTGATATCCCAGAGATGAGATCATTATGAAAATGGATGAAATATCACATTCTCTTTATATTCTTAGTGGCTTTCTCAAAGCTTCTCTTAGATTTGAAGATAAATTATGTATAAATGATGTTCCCAACTCTCTTGAACTGAGTCCTATATGCAGAAGGCTTGAAGAATCAATATCTGTGCTCGGAGGAAATGCATTCCTGTTTCCTATGTTTTTACAGTTTTCCTCAGTCTATATTTCACTGAGAAAGATCGGACTTAATTCACAAGTTTTTTATGTTGCATCTTTATCTGTTTACAAACTTCCCAGGCTTCTTCTAAAAGGAAACACAAAAGAATCATCATTGAAAATGAGTAAATATGTAGCTCCTGACATGTAGCAAGCATCCAGTGAAATAATTTATCATTACAATCAACATCACTATAACATCTGGGAATTTTCCCACTATTAATAATAAAACTTCAGAAATGTACTAATATAAAATAGACTCTTTAAATCTAGTCTCTTTGTATAAAAGAAAGCTCAAATACAAATAACACTGATAGGTATATGTAGTTTTAACTACTTTTAAATACAACCATTTAAAAATTTCATAAACCAGTAAAATAAGAAAAAAAAGTAAGAGGCAACAAACTGGATGAAGGAAACATACATAAGATTAAGTGAGCCTATGATGATAAGTAATATGAAATAAAATGGCTAGAGCAATCTAAACAAGGTCCTGAAGCTCCACTAAAATGACAGTAAAAGTGTGAAAGGAGGTATATACTACTAAAAACTGGGCAGAATCGGGAAATCAAGGAAGGCTAGCAAATAAAGGACTACAAGTTAATAATAAAACTGAGTGGCTTAAATAAAAAACCAGCAGAAGAGGGTATCATCCAGAAACAAGGTAATTTGTGACACAGATGTTAACAGAAAAGTTCTATAACCAGAAAGACTGGGCAAGAGTAGAAGGTGTGGCTTATAAAAATGGCTGTGAAAGGATACCTCCAACTTTCCTGACTGGAAGGAAATGGGAAGTTGACCATCAAGACAAAGTACAAATGAGAAGCTCCAAATTAGTGATGACAGACGAAGTAGATGAGAGTGCCACAATGAAAGGAAGGCGATGTGTAGTTTATAGTAGTTTATATTTATATAGCATAAGGACCCAACCCCTTTCTACTGCTGAACTCCAAGAACACTGGTGGTTTCTCAGTGCGAGACAATAGGTTTCTTTACAGAAAAGATGACAAGCCCATGAGAATACCTACAACAATTAACATTAAGTCATATAAAAGAAATAGATTCCAGACTGCTACAGTGAAACCCAGTTTTACAAACCTCCACGATGCACACAGATTCTAACATTTTTTCTAGTACCTGAATGTTAGCCCATTATGCCCCATTATCCTACATATAACACAACTATAAAAGCTTAAATTGAGCAATAAATATATCACTTATGGAAACTTTAAAATAAATATTTGTAAGAGGTTTTTTTTTTTTTTTTAATTTATTTGACAGGTAGAGTTATAGACAAAGAGAGAAACAGAGAAAGGTCTTCCTTCTGTTGGTTCACTCCCCAAATGGCCGCCATGGCCGGCACTGTGCCAATCTGAAGCCAGGAGCCAGGTGCTTCCTCCTGGTCTCCCATGCGGGTGCAGGGGCCCAAGCACATGGGCCATCCTCCACTGCCCTCCGGGGCCACAGCAGAGAACTGGAATAGAAGTGGAGCAACCGGGACTAGAACCCGGCGCCCTTATGGGATGCTGGCGCCGCAGGCAAAGTGAGCCATGGCACTGACCCTAAGAGTTCTTTTGAGAATAGTAACACGTGAACAATTAAAGCATCTGAAAATATTTTTAAATAGTGAAAAAAAAAAAACAAAAAACAAAAAACAAAAAACAAAGTTTAGTGCAAAAGTTACCTCTAGGGGCCAGTGTTGTGGTGTAGTGGGTTATACCACCACCTGTGACACAGGCATTTCATATGGGTGCCAGTTCACTTCCCAGCTGTTCTACTTCTAATCCAACTCCTTGCTAATGTGCTTGGGAAAGCAGTGGAAGATGGCCCATGTGTTTACACCCATACCACCCACATGGGAGACTAGATGAAGCTCCTGGCTGCAGCCTGGCCCAGCCCTGGCCATTGCAGCCATTTGGGGAATGAACCAGTGGATGGAAGATCTCTCTCTCTGTAGCTCTGCCTTTCAAATACAGTAAATCTTTTTTTAAAAAAGTTGCTTTTACTAAATGTTAAACTTAACAAAAGATTATATACATAATTGACATGTAATTTAAGAAATACACACATAAAACTATTTTCTAGACCTAGCTTGTTTATTTTGAGAAATGTACTATATTTAAATGACCAAGACTTGAAAATACCTATATATAAATATGATGCTGGGATAATGTACATTGAATAGTAATGTGCAGTGCAGTATACTATTGCCCGACAAGCTAACATGTTGTTATTTGTAGTAAGGGTGTTTGTTGTTTGTTTTGTTTTAAAGATTTATTTATTTGAAAGACAGAGTGATAGTGGGAAAGACAGAGATCTACCATCCCCTGGTTCACTTCCCAAAAGCCTACAACACCCAGGTCTGGGTCAGGCTGAAGCCAGGAGCCAAGAACTCCATCTGGATCTCTGGTGTGGGTGGCAGGCCCAAGTATTTGGGCCATCTTCTGCTGCCTTGCCAGGTACATTGGCGGGAGCTGGACCAAAAGCTGAGTAGCTAGCACTATGGGGTACTGTCATCATAAACAGCAGCCTAACCTGTGCCACAATGCTGGCCTCAGGAATAAGGTAGTTCTATATGTGCTTGAGGTGAATATAAAAACTATCATTATCATCAGTTTCAGCTTTCACTTATTTGTCTGTCTGCTTTTATTGGGACTGATACACTGGAACCCAACTTCCTCTCTTCTGCAGAGTCCTTTTTTTAGCTCTAACACATTTGTTTTCCATCCATTAGCTGGAAATCTTCAATATTATCCTGATAAAGCCCTCTTAATATTTTTTTTTCTTTGACAGGCAGAGTGGACAGTGAGAGAGAGAGAGACAGAGAGAAAGGTCTTCCTTTGCCGTTGGTTCACCCTCCAATGGCCGCCGCGACCAGCGCGCTGCGGCCGGCGCATCGCGCTGATCCTAAGGCAGGAGCCAGGTGCTTCTCCTGGTCTCCCATGGGGTGCAGGGACCCAAGCACTTGGGCCATCCTCCACTGCCTTCCTGGCCACAGCAGAGAGCTGGCCTGGAAGAGGAGCAACTGGGACAGAATCCGGCGCCCCTACTGGGACGAGAACTTGGTGTGCCGGCGCCGCAAGGCAGAGGATTAGCCTAGTGAGCCGCGGTACCGGCTAAGCCCTCTTAATATTAATAATTTTAACATCCTCATTTTCTTATAAGTCATTGCCAGAAATGACTTTAGTAATATGCTGTTAATTTATAACCTCCATAATTAGAAAAAAATGCCTCAACCCTTCTACATATCATAACCAAACCTCACTCAAAATGACTAGAGTGCTAACACTATTAACATAAAAGAAAAAATGGTAGACTTCATCAAAAGTAAAAACTAATACTCTTCAAAAACAGTTAGGGGGGGCCGGTGCTGTGGCATAGGGGGTAAAGCCACTGCCTCCAGTGCTGGCATCCCATATGGGCACTGGCTCAAGACCCAGCTGCTCCACTTCTGATCTAGCTCTCTGCTATGGCCTGGGAAAGCAGTATAGGATGGCCGAAGTTCATGGCCCCTGCACCCGCATGGGAGACCTGGAAGAAGCTCCTGGCTCCTGGCTTCAGGTCGGCACAGCTCTGGCGTTGTGGCCATCTGGGGAGTGAACCAGCAGATAGAAGACCTCCCTCTCTCTCTCTCTCTCTCTCTCTCTCTGCCTCTCCCCTCTCTGTGTACATGTGACTTTCAAATAAAAATAAATAAATCTTAAAAAAAAAAAAAAAACAAAAAACACAGGCCGGCACTGTGACGTAGTATGCTAAGTCTCCATCTGTGGCACCGGCATTCCACATGGGTACTGTAGGTTTGTGTCCCAGCTGCTCCTCTTCCGATACAGCTGTCTACTTATGGCCTGGGAAAGCAGTGGGAGATGGCAGGAGCTTGGGCTCCTGCACCCACATGGGAGACCTGGAAGAAGCTCCTGGCTCCTGGCTTCTGACCAGCCCAGCTCCAACCATTGCAGCCACTGGTGGAGTGAATCAGCAGATGGAAAACCTTTCTGTCTCTCTCTCTTTCTGTAACTCTATCAAATAAATAAATAAAATCTTTAAAAAAAAATACAGATCACAATGGCAGGTATTTGGCCTCATATTTAAGATGCCATATGAGGCACGCATTTGGCCTAGCAGTTAATACGCTGCTTGGGATGCCCACATCCAATATTAGAGTGCCTAGATTTGAGCCCTGGCTCTGCTCTCAATTTGTTTCCTTTTAATGTGCCCCCTGGAATGCAGCAGGTGATGGCTCAAGTAGTAGTGCCACCAGTGTGGGAAACCCAGACTGGGTCAGTGGTCCAAGCTTGCAGCACTGGCCTGGTCCAGTCCTGGCAGTTGAAGACATATGGGAAGTAAACCATATAGATCACAGATTTCTTTATCTCTTTCTGTGCTCTAAAATTCAAAACAAAACTAAACAAAATCTACGGTCCATATTAATGCTTGCTTAGGTTCAATACCTGCCTCTAGCTCCTGACTCCAGCTTCCTGCTAATGCAGACCCTGGGAGGCGGCAGTGATGGCTCAAGTGAATGGGTTCCTGTCACTCATGTGGGAGACCTAGATTGAGTTCCTGGCTCCTGGTTTCAACCTTAGCCCAGCACCAGCCATCTTAGTCATCTGAAGAGTAAACAAGCTGATAGGGGGAGCTCTCTAATAAAAATAAAAAATAAATTAAAAAAAAAAAAAAAAAAACAGAAAAATTCCACAAGTTAAAACAACAGGCATGGGGCCGGCACTGTGGCACAGGGGGCAAAGCCGCTGCCTGCAGTCCTGGCTGCTCCACTTCCGATCCAGCTCTCTGCTGTGGCCTGGCAAAGCAGAAGATGGCCCAAATCCCTGCACCCATGTGGGAGACCTGGAAGAAACTCCCGGCTCCTGGCTTCGGATCGGCACAGCTCTGGCCGTTGTGGCCAATTGGGAGTGAACCAGCGGATCAAAGACCTCTCTCTCTCTTTGCCTCTCCTTCTTTCTCAAATTCTTTCAAATAAATAAATAAATCTTAAAAAAAAAAAAACAACAGGCATGCACAGATGGAAAAGCTGATAAAAATGCCATATCTACTACAGACATAGAACTCTTAAAATTCAATAATAAAAAAATTAAAAGCCCAATTTTTCTAAAATGGTCAAAAAAATGGATAGGCATTTTTAAAAATAAGATATAAGAATGGCCACTAAGTATATTAAAAGAAATTCACCTAAACAAGTAATTATGAAAATGCATATGGGGCTGGAGCTGTGGTGTAGCGGGTAAAGCCACCGCCTGCAGTGCCAGCATACCATATGGGCACCAGTTCGAGTCTCAGCTGTTCCACTTCCAATCCAGCTCACTGCTATGTCCCAAGCCCTTGGGCCCCTGCACCCATGTGGGAGACCTGGAAGAAACTCCTGGCTCCTGGCTTCGAATTGGAGCAGCTCCAACCATTGTGGCCAGTTGGGAGTGAAGCAGCAGATGGAAGACCTCTCTCTCTCTCTCTCTCTCTCTGCCTCTCCTTCTCTCTTTGTGTAACTCTTTTAGATAAATAAATAAATAAATCTTAAAAATACAATGGTGAAGTTAAAAGGAATGCCCACCCAAGTGTGAAAAAGGTGAGGTAATTACAACTCTCTCATTTCACTGCTGGTGGTAATAACAAATGGTATATATCCACTTCAAAACACAGCTCCATATCTTGACTGGTGTTAGTTGTAATGATTATATACAATCAGCAAAATTAATCAAATAATTTACTTAAAGGAGGTGCTTTTATATTATGCAATTCATACCTCAATAAAGCTGAAAAAAGAAATCCTTCTAAACTATAGCTGTAAAACAATAATGAATTATTTAATGATCCCCTTGTTTCTGCTCAAGACTGTAGACAGAAGGATAAAAAGTCCGTCTTTTCTCTCAGTGAGTTTCAATATATAATAAAAGTGAAGTTTAAGGTTAAATAAGGGAAAGGACCTTGATAGAAGAATAAAAAGCAAAGGTACAATGAATGTCATATATGTGAGAGAAATGGAAGAGGAGTATAATGGATCATTTTTAAAGCTAGAATAATAATCATAATCATTATAGAGAGAAGAGGGATACTAAAAACATATTAAAGTCTCCATTAGCCTTAGTGAGGAGTAAACTGATATTGTCTAACAAATAAGGATAAAACTAGAAAAAGTTATGACTATAAAGGCACCACAGAGAAGCTAAAATAAACCTTCCAAATTTTAAGGAAAGATATATTTAAAACCAAACAACCTAATAACCTAAAAAGATAAAAAAAAAAAAAAAAAAGATGAGGCAAAATTTAAAACAGAATGCATAACATAAATACATTAGAGAACCATTCCCAAACATATCCATGCCAATAAATAAGAACTTAACTATTAGAAAAAAAGGACTATGATAGACTCACACAGAAAATTCTGAACCCCCCCCCAACCTCCTGAATTAAAAGATCCAAGGGTAGTACCCAAGTATCATGTATTTGACATGATTTTGATGCATACCTACATTTATCAACTACTAGTATGGCAAAATCAACTAAACTGTATATATACAAGATATATATCTAAAACTGAGTATCAGATATGCTGAAAATAAACAGAACACACAAGACAAAACAAGAGAATACTCATAAATACATAGAAAAATCCATGAGACAAAAACATGTTAGTAACTGAGAAATCTCTCAAACCAAGAAAGAAAATCCTTAAAGTACAAGAACATATAGGCTGGCACTGTGGCTCACTAGGCTAATCCTCCGCCTGCTATACCATAGTGCTGGCCCCCAGTATGTGATTTAAAGGCTACACACACATACATGCACATACACATATATACACACTAAATAATAAATAGGTGAAAGCTAAAAATAAATAAAAGTTCCACACATTACAGAAATGGGAAACAGAGGGTCCCTTATTTTCTGAATTTAGATTACATAGAGAAATCAGGAGACTGAGTTGACAGAGTTCTGCTACAGGTTCCTTTGAGCAAGTATCTCTTGTGACATCGCTACTGATTGAAGTCAAATTTTTGTACAGCATTTTCCAGTAACAACATTGTTTTCATAAATGTAAAGTTATCGACCTCAAGCAAAATGGAAAAAATATATAGGGTAATATTTTCTGAGAGTATTCATAAATCAGAGCTCTTAAAACTTTTAGAGGCCAGGGCTAGTATTGAGGCGTAATGGGTAAAGCTACCGTCTGCAATACCAGCATCCCATGAGCACCAGTTTGTATCCCAGCCGTTCCACTTCTGAGCCAGCTCCCTGCTAATGGCCTGGAAAAAGCAGCAGAAGAGGGCCCAAATGTTTAGGCTCCTGCCACCTGTGGGGGAGACCTAAACGAAGCTCCTGGCCCCTACATTCAGCCTGGCTAAGTGCTGGCTGTTGCGGCCACCTGGGGAGTGATACAGTGAATGGAAGATGTCTGTCTCTCATTGTCAGTAATTCTGATTTTCAAAATAAAATAAATCTTAGGGAAGAAAAAATCTTTTAGAGGCTTAATACTCTAACCAGGTTATATTACTCTAGGAGAGATTAATCACAACAAGAGTTCTATAATTATACGCTCAATCATTGATTCAGCAAGTATATATTTATGATTTCTTGTGTCTAATGACGAAAACGTGGTTTGCAATTTGTAATGGGGTTTGACAATTCATAGAGTCAAACTTCCTCACAGGGTCTTCTCTCACTCAGATAGAAGAGCTTTAGAACCTGGCTGGACAACGCTATGAACTGCTGAAACAGGTAGCAGAGGGAGAGTGAATGGAGGCAGACAGCAGGAAGAGCAGCTACAAGTGTGACACTCGGGACATAAAACCTTTGAAGTTCCTGTGCGACTTTCAGGCAGAGCCGTCTGCTATGCATCTGAACGTGGGCATCCAGAGGTCAGGACAAGCCTCCAATCCAAACAGAACTGTGCCGCGCATCTGGGTCGGATGAAGCCACAGGGAGTGGGAAGTTGTTGCTCTTGATTACTCAGGGTGGAAACAGATGATCAAGGCCAGAAATGGAGGAGCACCAATAGTTAGGGACAACCAGAAATAAAAATCCCATCTTCTTTATAACTTCTACCAATTGTTTTTTGGATACCGCAAAAACTGTTTCTATATGAATTTTTGTATCCTGGTCCTTCACTTTTTCGATTTATAGAAAAATATGTGAAGAATAAGTGTGGGTGCCAGCATTGTGGTACAGCAGGTTAAGCCAAGGCCTGCACCACCAACATCCCAAATGGGTGCCGGTTTGAGTCCCAGTTGCTCCATTTCCATTCCAGCTCCCTGCTAATGTGCCTGGGAAGCAGTGGAAGAGGATCCAAGTGCTTGGACCCCCTACTCCCCACTTGGAAGACCTGGATGGAGTTCCAGTCCTGGCCATTGTGGCCATTTGGGGAGTGAATCAGTGAACCAAAGATATCTTTCTGCTTCTCTGTCTGTGTAACTCTCCCTTTTAAGTAAAGAAATCTTAAAAAAAAAAAAAAAAGTGTGACAAAATATTTGAAGTGTGTTTCTAAATAGAAGAAAGTTAAAAGCCATTGGGTCTGGGGACAAGCTAGACAGATCAGAAGTCACATCACCAGGCTCAGTGATAACGGGGTCTTTAAATAAATAGGTCTCTTGACTTCTGTGCCCCAAAGCTAGGACAATTTGCTGCCCAACTGTGTGCTGTCTGCTCTAGCGGACAGCACTCGTCAAGCGACTCCTCAGGTGACAGCTTCTCCAAGCAGCCCCACCAGTTTCTCTCAAGCCTTAAGAGAAATCAACGCCTACGATGAGTCTGGGCAGCAAGGTAAGCTTTTCGGAAATCTTTCTTAAAAAAGTCATCTTGATTTCGCTTCCTGCTCTACGCTGGGCCTGCTGTTACATAAGTCCCTTTTAAAATTACGTATCCACTCAATTCCTTAGCTGTTCGCTTATTCTCCAGAACACCGCATCCTTACTATGGTTAGATGAGAACAGTGAGGCTGACAGGTTACGACCGCCTCCCTCACTAACTCGGAACGAGTTTCTCACTATCTCTACAACCCAAACACGCCTGACACCGTCGCTCACCCACCTGCGAACCCCCGTCTCCTCGCGTCCCCTTCCCCCATCCACACGAGCTCTGCACACCATACGTCATAGGGGGCGAATCCTCTACGTCAGCCTCCCCAGCCCAGACGCCGGCGCCGCGAGTCCTCCCCTACAGACTGACTGGCCCGGTTCGGGACCCAGAATCCCAGGTACCACGGAGTCAAATCGACACTCACCAGCAGACAAAGACGACCATGGCGAGCAGGAGAATCCGCGCCTGCGCACTCCGCTGGAGGCCGATCATTCCCAGAGGTCTCCTGGGCGCCGCCAGGCTTGGGCTGGGGAATCAGACCGCATTCAGCCGATCTTGGTCAGTCCCCCACTTTTTTATTGTGGACTACATTTCCCAGAAGGATCAGTGGTTCCAGTCAGGCTTTCGCGCTTTTTTTTTCTTCCTCCTCTGCTAGAGCTTGTGGGAATGTTTCACTGGTGGGCACAGGAGTGCACGTAGGCGAGTCTCCGAACTATGTTAACTCTCTGTGTTTACCTCAGGAACGGGGGTTGGGTGTGCTAAGCTCAGCTCAATCACTGACGTGTCTTTATATAGGAGCCACGGTGGAGATGGATGCTAGGCCAAGATCCCCAGGTGACTTCCAGGAGAGGTTTGGTTACGGGAGGCGGGGTCGAAGGGGCGGGACAATCCCTCTGAGCGGCTCAGGCCAGACACCATCTTGTTCACTGCGGCGGCGGCTGTGAACTACATTTCCCAGAGGGCATCGGGCGCTGCGTGGATAGCGGTTCTGAAGAGAGCTGTCCTGGACCCGGGTCTCTGAATCATTCCGTCAGACAACTATAGACTGACAAGATCCAGTGAAAGTGAAGAGTTCAGAGTCAGGGGCAAGGCTTTAAGAGTTAAATCTCTGGGCAAAACAGGATGAGAAGGTCGGTTGTGAAACTGTGTGATTGTGTGGTTGTATGTCCCAGCGTTGTGTGTATGTGATTGCATACACACAATGTGTGCGGGTGTGGGGAGCGTTAAGCTGCGAGTCCCTGTGGTATGTTGTTAATGTGGGACTGTGTGAGACGCTGCGTGTGCGAGTGTGCTTTGGCTGTTCCTGTGAATGTGGCTGTGTGTCCCTGTGGTCGGTGTGATTGGTCACGCTGTGACTGTTTTTCCTGTATGTGTGCCGGTGTAGGGAGCTTTGTGACTGTGACTATGAATCTGTGTCCCCGTAGGGATTGTGACTGTGTGCAGAACTGTACGGAGAATGGAGGCCGGGGTGCTTGAGAATAAAGTTGTGACTTGGAGGCGGGTGTTTGATGTGTGACTGCAGCACTGTGTGACTGTCTTACCTGTGACTAATACTGTCACATATAGCCACTTTTTTAAAGATTTTATTTATTTATTTGAGAGGTAGAGTTACAGACAGTGAGAGGGAGAGACAGAGAGAAAGGTCTTCCTTCCATTGGTTCACTCCTCAAATGGCCACAACAGCCGGAGCTGTGCCGCTCTGAAGCCAGGAGCCAGGACCTTCTGGGTCTCCCACGTGGGTGCAGGGGCCCAAGGACTTGAGCCATCTTCTACTGCTTTCCCAGGACACAGCAGAAAGCTGGATTGGAAGAGGAGCAGCCAGGACTAGAACTGGCGCCCATATGGGATGCCTACTGTGCCACAGCGCCAGCCCCAGCCACTCTTTTTTTTTTTTTTTTGACAGGCAGAGTGGATAGTGAGAGAGAGAGACAGAGAGAAAGGTCTTCCTTTGCCGTTGGTTCACCCTCCAATGGCCGCCGCGGCCAGCGCGATGCGACCGGCGCACCGCGCTGATCCGATGGCAGGAGCCAGGAGCCAGGTGCTTTTCCTGGTCTCCCATGGGGTGCAGGGCCCAAGCACCTGGGCCATCCTCCACTGCACTCCCTGGCCACAGCAGAGGGCTGGCCTGGAAGAGGGGCAACCGGGACAGAATCCGGCGCCCCGACCGGGACTAGAACCCGGTGTGCCGGCGCCGCTAGGCGGAGGATTAGCCTAGTGAGCCGCGGCGCCGGCCCCCAGCCACTTTTTTAAGAACCATTTTATTTATTTGAAAGCCAGAGTTACAGAGCGAGGTAGAGCCAGAGAGAGAGAGGTCTTCCATTCCACTGACTCACTCCCCAAATGACCACAACGGCCAGAGCTGCACCAATCTGAAGCCAGGAGCCAGGAGTTTCCTCCGGGTCACCCATACAGGTGCAGGGGCCCAAAGACGTGGGCCATCTTCTACTGCTTTCCCAGGCCATAGCAGAGAGCTGGATTGGAAGTGAAGCAGCTGGGACTCCAACCAGTGCCCATATGGGATGCCGGGGCTGCAGGCTAGGGCCTTAACCAACTGCGCCACAGCACCGGCCCCCCATATAGCCACTTCTAGAGGCACAAGATATTTCAGCCCCTAGAGAGTAAAGGGGACACTTTAAAAATTTAACCATGTATTTGTGGGTGCAGTGTGATAATCTGATGCACATATTCAGCGTGTGGCGATCAAAAGGGGCACCCTTCTATGACACATCGAGAGGGCAGCCCCAGGATCCTCTGATAGCCCTCCTGTGGCAGGGGAGGGGCAAGCAGAGTAAGCACTCATCTGTCCTTCAAGAGACTTGGCGTGGTGCCTCCGGTCAAGCAGCCGCGGGGGTGGCCGCACACCGTAATAGGCTGGTAGGAGTCCCAGCTACTCCTCTTGGGCATCTAGGAAGCAAGGCATGAAATGGTAGATGTAGGCTCATGTACTAGAGCCCTGCCACGCAGGTGGGAGACCCAAATGGACTTCCTGGCTTCTGACCTCGGCCTGGCCCAGCCCTGCTGTTGTGGCTTTTTGGAGAGTAAACCAACGTTGTAATGTAATCACTGTCCCTCTGCCCTCACCTGCCCACCTCCTAAATAAATATTTTGAGAGAGGGAGACTGAGAAGTCCTGAGAGAAAGACGAAGTAATTGCTGTGACATCTAAAAGCCAGGTGTAAGGTGCCGTGTTTTCTTTGCTCCTGAAATGGTTTATTTTTTTCATGACATCATTTTTTTTCTTGGCAAATATCTAACAAAGACCTATCAAGTAACCTAGAATGTACTCTTTCTCTTTGGAAATATGTTCCTTGTACTCCCTCAATTTCTTTTATTAATATGGCAAATGGTTCCATTCATTTGGGGTGAATATTATTATGATTTTGTATACACAAAATTTTGTATGCACATATATGGATTTTGTATGCACATATATGGATACACATATATGTCTATATATACATATACTTAGACATACTATGTGTATACATGTGTATCTGAGAATATCTTAAATATAAGATACTGTTTTTCCACATGTGAAGCTAACCCAAAGCTCATATTTCTCTCCTTTCCTGCTATAAAAATCCAATTTCCTTTGAAGGAGCACTGTGTCTACCTCAAAAAAAAAAAAAAAAAGACAAAAAGCTCTGTATGTCCTAAGTTCCCCTATAGACATAAGCAAAAGTTGTTAGACTGGGCTTCTCTGACAGTTCGTTGAAGGTGTGGACATGGAGCATGACACAGACTTAGTGGGCATTTGTTCTTTTGACTCCTTTTCCCACTCCTGTGTGAAGTGGGGATATGGTGCTACACAAAGAACAGCTTTTCTTGAAAAAAAAATTAAATATTTGAAAGTCAGAGTTAGAGAGATTCTTCCAGCTACTGTTTTACACCCCAGATAGCCACAATGGCTGGGTCTGGGCCAGACTGAAGCTAGGAGCTAGGAGCTAGGAGCTAGGAGCTAGGAGCCAGGAGCTTCTTCCAGGTCTCCCATGTGGGTGCAATTGGGCCATCCTCCACTGCTTTCCCAGGCTGTTACAAGAGCTGGATCAGAAGTAGAGCAGCCAGGAAACTGGAATTCTGGCATTGCAGGCAGCAGCTTAACCCGTTATGCTACAAGGCTCGCCCCAGTATTACTTCTTTAAATGTTCTGTAGAATTTAGCAGTATAGCCATCACTGCTGCACAGTACATACTACATCACTTTGCCATCCTGGAAATGTTTTTTGTTTTTTTTTTTTGACGTAAGATTTTTTTAAAAGATTTACTTTATTTATTTGAAAGACAGAGTTACAGAGTGAGGTAGAGCCAGAGAGACAGTGAGAGAGAGAGGGAGTGTCTTCCATCCGCTGGTTCACTCCCCAAATGACCACAATGGCTAGAGCTGAGATGATTGGAAGCCAGGAGCCAGGAGCTTCTTCCGGGTCTCCCACACGGGTGCAGGGCCCCAGGACTTGGACCATTTTATACCGCTTTCCCAGGCCATAGCAGAGAGCAGGATCGGAAGTGGAGCAGCTGGGACTTGAACCAGCACCCATATGGGATGCCGGCACTCAGGCCAGGGCGTTGACCTGCTGCGCCATAGCGCTGGCCCCACTGATGTAAGATTTATCACTGCCTCAATCTCATTACTCATTTTTGTGTTTTTTACATTTTGTTTATTCTTGATTGATTCTTGGTGGGTTATATGTGCCCAGGAAGTTATCAGTTCTTCCAAGTTATCCAATTTATTGGCATATAATCATTCACAGAACTTTCTTACAATCTTTTGTATATCTGGGGTACCAGTTTTTTTTTTTTTTTTTTTTAAGGGAAAAGGTGTATTGTTGAGTGGGGGACACCTGACAGGCTGCCTCATCGTGCACAGAGAGAACAGCAGCCTGTACTGGGAGACTAGGTCTTAGGAAATCTCCTTTCACTATTCCGAACTCTCAAAGAAGTGGTAGAGATCCCAAAATGTTGGGGTTAAACTTGCTGTTTTAACAGGTTGTCAAGGTAGGAGACAACCAAGAGGAGGATCAGACAGAACACTGGATGAAGAAGTTCCCATGGTGACTGCACGTAGAGTCGGACTGGCAGATCCCGGCCATCTGACTAGAGGATATGGGAACAGAGGGCAGGGGTCATCACCCAAGCGCCCACTGGAGCCCAGGGCTTACCCCCTAGGAGGGAAACAGGAGGTTGAGTCATCCCCCATGCCCACTGTTGCCCGGACATAGTGTCCATAGAGGTTGTGGTGCCCAGTACCAGGACTTGACGAGAGAGTAGAACCACAACCCGTAGTAGTAATCGCCATGAGAATTTCCCTTTCCACGTCTTACCTCAGAATTTGGAGGGCCGGTGTGTGGATGAAGATGACAGAGCGTTCGGTGGTGAAGGAAGAGGTCCGGGGGTGAGTTTTGTGATTGGCAGAAATCCAGGATCCCAACAGAGCTCAGGTAGAGCAATGTCGATGGGAGAGCCTGGATCTGAGTAAGGAAAGGCCACCACAGAACACACCAAACACCTGAGTAAGGGAAAAGGTTTATTGCCCGTGCACAGACAGAACAGCCTGGGGT